TTCGTTGCTGGTGAGGCATACCGTCACTCTGCACATAAAACCACCTTCATCTTCGCTTCAGCTGGTATGCACCGGCAACCGAACAACTGAATTAACGCGCACCTTCCATTTTATTATGATAAAGTTTCTTGTTATGACCAATCGAGGCTGACCTGCCGGAGATGGGCTCGGCCTCGGGAATGTCTATTTGTACATATATGCATGCAGTCACGTTTTGACATCAAGGTTCAGTTTTTCCTAACATTCAATTCATCATCGCGGAGAAAAATTAACAACGTAATGCTGATGGAATTTTTCCATTGACGTACTTGAGCACGTACAAGTGATTCTCAACGAAGAGTGCGGCACATTCACTTGGTTCGCGTGACTTAGCCAAATCAGTCTTAACTTCTTCGAATGACAATATGTCCTTCAAGCTGCTCACGATATGATTGCCTTATCTGCGGGCTTCTCCCATTGCATGAATCCCGCGATCTAGCCTGATTAACGGCCTAGCCCCTTTGCAGGTAAACATCGTGGCTTCGTTGGTTTAAAAGGCTGCCGAATTTTGTTAGCATTCCTGTGTTTCCCTAATATCTAATATCCACTCTGTACCCCCGTTCGCCAACCCATATGGCAACGTCTCCGGTAGCAGAGGCCAGCCAGCAGCTCTGGTAAGTCATCTAGTGCACCAGCTGAAATATGAATTTGAAAATTTTCACAAGGGATGAGACGCTGGGTAGACTTCTGAGTGAGTACCTCTCATCTCAGGAATCAGCTTGTAATCTAATGCTGTTTTGCAGACCTGTCATCGGCCACAATTCAACGGAATGCTGACCTCGAGAATCGCTTAGCTGAACTCGAGGTCGAGCTTGCGGTCTGGAAACAAGCCCATGCGACTGCTATTGAAGGTGCAGACAGGGAGGCTAAGGCTCTCAAAGGGCGGTTGGCTTCTCTTAATTCTCAGGTGGCGTCAATGGAAACCTTCATGGTCAGTCTAATTCCCGCTAGGGCAAGTGGCTGTCTAAATTTATCCGTAATTTCAAACAGAGCCAGAGTCTACTCGTCCTCTGCGTCATTGACGGGGATGCTTGCATATTTAATGACTTGCTCCTTAGGCAAGGTCACGAAGGTGGCCGCCAGGCCGCACAACAATTGACGAGGGCAGTCGCAGATTATTTAACCAGCGAGGATGTTCACGTTCTCGGTCGACTGTCATTTTGGGTAACAATTTACTTTAACAAGGCTATACTGGCGAGCGTTCTCGAGCGACATAAATTATGTAGCCCAGAGCAACTTGATGCCTTCATTATGGGCTTCAGCCAGTCTTCGCCCAGGTTTGTTTTGGTTGATGTCGGATACGGCAAAGACGCCACCTTCACGAAAATTACAGGTCGGCATGTTTTGATTAATGTTATCTATCACTTACCCCATTTAGAGTATCTACAAACCTACTTGCGCTTCCCTCAAACTCAGAGAATTTTTTTTGCCGGCAAGTCTCGTCAACGCTCGATGCCGTTTACACAACTTGACGTAACACAGGTGGTCAGGAAAACACCTACGCTCCAACTATTGCTGCGCTACAAAATGACGGACTTTTGGGAAAAGTCGCTTTCTTGGAAGCCTGCCGCACGAGCCCAAACTACGCGCAGAAACACCGTTTACCGATTCTGACTGTGGACACATTGTTCATCAACCAGAGACTCTCGCCACCATTGAGGACACCTCCACCATTGAATATGAACGGTCTCAGTCCGACACTGACATCTGGTGGATTACCGACGCCGCATTCGCCACACAGTATGAGTGCTTCCGCGACGGGAAGGCTTGTGGACCCAACATTGGTGAGTCCACCTTCTCGTTGTGGTTTATTTTCGATGCTGATAGCTCCCAGCCCCTTCATAAGCGTGAGTTAAGATTGTGTTGATTAGCTGTGGTCAGTGCCTAGACACTCGACATTTTACCGCTTACACAGATTCTCCCCCACCTTGTAATGAATTCTATCTCATGTCCTGCACTAAAGGCGTATGTGTGAACTGCAAGTCTTCTTCACTTTACTAATGAACGTTTCGGTACCAGGGGGCTTGTAAATATTCGCATGACTATATCCTGACGCCAGATCAGCTGGCCACTCTTGCTGCTAACGCCAAAAAAGCTCCTTGTAATTTTCTAAAAAATGGCACGTTTATTCAACTTGACCTCGATGCCTCATTAAGTTTTGGTCATTATAGGTCTCCAGTGCCCATACGGCGAGCGGTGCTGCTGGGGTCATGTATGCCCTAACGGTCCGAAGTGTTTCCACCTGAGCAAGGGCAAATGCTGGTTCAAAGGCGGTTCGTGTCAACACGTCAGATAACAACCAGGTACTAACTGCAATATTTCATATTCAGAAAGTATGCATGATGTTTCGCCTCATCTATCACCTTAGCGTCCTTCCACTCTTGTTTGCCTGTTATTGGTTTATTTTATGTGCCACATGGCATGTACGAAGTAGCTTGACGTTTTATCGCGTTACCCTCTGTCTGCTTATTTGCTTACAACGTTGTAGTTCATGTGTGGTTTTTTACATGTTATTGTATCAATCGGATGTGGATTATTATTTATGTAGTCCGGAACGCCCAGCACTCTCCAGCACCGCATGCTCTAGAACATATACGTACACGGAGTGGCCGAGTATGGCATGACCCCAAAATCATGCCAAGACCCTTAGCACTCACATCTCCCGTTGTGTCCTGCGTTTTGGCTGCCACCGAATGGAGGCGTTGAAACGTTGATCCTCCGCCTCATTTGTCTCGTTCAAACCGCAATAAAAGCCTGGGTCGAGACTCGAAGCTTGAGCCTATCTGACAACTACAAAAGGTCAATTGTTTGGATCATGAGCCAGCCTAGGCACCAGGCGTGTGAAATCAGATCAGTAGATAAGTGCTTGAACAAGAATCTTGGCACTGCCAATTGTAAAAGACCCTTGGAAACTGCCCAGTACCACTCATCGACCTGTTCATCTCCTTCTAAGCCTCGAGTTTCACGTTTGAGATGTCTTCTGTATGTTTCGAGCATATACCTTGATGGCGATCGCTCGCTGATTGGTGTCTTACTGTAGAACGATGATCAGGATGATCTGAAGCCCTCTGCCACCCCAGGTGGGCAAGCGTCGAATGTAGAGCAAACAGAATGAGCAGCTTATTGAATCTATCCCAGGCTACAAGCCAACTGGCACTGCAAAAACAGCAGATGAATATGCCCAACTGGATGCAGAAGACGAGAGCTTGGCACGGTGGAAAGCCAGTCTTGGTATCACGGCTGGAGCATTAACTGGGGACACCTCAGGACCAAGAGTATGTTACTCCCAGTACTGTCTGTCCTGAAGTTGATGGGTCGTATAGGTGACAGTTCTGACCCTAGAGCTTGATTCACCCACACTGCCTCCTGGCAAGACGCTTGTCTTTGATCTCAATGACGCTGCCAAGTTGGCCGATACGAAGAAGAACCCAATCATCATCAAGGAGGGTGTAGAATATAAGTAAGTGCTCTGAAGTTATTCTCCGATGCTATGAGGCTGATATTGTCACAGCGTTCGGATCACGTTCAAGGTGAACCACTCAATTATCTCTGTAAGTGGCCTGTCTTCGTTTTGGCTTGACAGGTCTTAAAACCTTGTTATGAAGGGTGTACGATACATCCAGCTAGTCAAACGCGCCGGTATCAAAGGTATTAGTACATTCTCATGTAGTTTGGGACCTTGATGTTGATCACTCTATAGTGGACAAGCTCGAGCAAATGCTTGGGTCATACGGTCCCCAGGCAGAACCATACACGAAGAATTTTGACGTAGAAGAATCGCCGTCGGGGCTTGTGGCACGTTCAGGATCGTACAATGTCAGAAGCCGCGTTGTGGACGACGATGGAGAAGTATACGCAGGTTTGTGTTCGCAGAAGCTGTGATCGAGGTCTCTTAAACCTGACCTGCCACCTTTTCAGACTGGGAGTGGTCATTCAAACTTGCCAAGGAGTGGTGAATGAAGACTTCTCGCCTTATCATTTTATGACCTTTGTTGCATTACCCTATGGCATCATTTCGCATATCAGCTCTCGTATCTCCCTGGATGTACCTTTGTACCCTTTCGAACAGTCCCCACAGACATCGAGTGGCTGCTGATTCAGGCTGACAGAAGTTTTCCGCTAAAGAAAATATTCAGATATAACTGCGGGCTATGGAAATTTTGACCGGTCAGGTCGTTGCAGACTGTGGTGCCTTGTTAATATGCTAAGCATACAGGAGATTTTGACATAGCTCACAGCAATGCAACTAGTACTGCAGACGTCCGGGAAACAGTAGGTCCTGAGCGCTGAGCGAGATAACGAAAGCGCCATATCAGGTCTGCAGGCAAGCACTACTAGTGACTAGGACCGTCCATAGCCTACCTCTCCTTCGAGTTGGCCCTCAGCATGAGCAAGGACAAACACCGTGTCGAGCGATACGTATCCGAGTAGCGGTTGATGGCCTCCGGTAGTAGCGTTCGTCACGGTCGCACGCAGGGCGTTGGCGTTATCTTGCAACATTTTCTCGACCTTCGTGAGCGATTTGGCGCTTTGTCGGTCGATACTGTTTTGGAACAGTTGGTTGATATTCGTGTGCCTCCAAACTGCGCGCAGTGTTTGGTGTTGAAGTGGCGCGGAGTCCGTCGCCTTTCCATGTATGGATAGCGAAATCATGTGGTCCACTCAGTCTTGATGCCACCTGCGTGGCCTTTCTATTGACATGTCAAGTCAGGCAGCTATCAAACGTTTACCAGCACAAGGTCGTTCCGTTGTCCATGGTTTGCGGTGTTATACGAGAACTCTGCAGTTAGCCGGTTCTCAAATCATACACTCATTAAGCAAATGCGTATAGAAGATAACGGCGAAATAAAAAGGGCTTGCTATACATGAATTTGAATTTTGGCCGTCTACAGTTTTGAAACCACACCTCTGGTCCATCGTGTACTTGTCGTGAGAGTCAGGATTCAGGAACATACAAATATACACGCTCCTGTAAGCCGGGAACTTGTGTACTGCAGTGCAGCATGACCATCGCAGTACTAACCCGATTTTCCAGGTTGTACGGAGGACGCTGTTCGACGAGAAACTCGGCGCGCAATATACCATGGGTTGGTAGGCATACGTCTCAAACAGCTGGCATCTTGTCTTCAACAAAGGTGTTGGGCCGCCATGTGTCTGGGACTCCATCAAATGCTTCAACTGCACCAACAACCTGGGTCGACCGCCTTCCACCCAAAATTCGACCTTACCTCAACTTAATAAGAATAGACAAGCCAATTGGGACCTTATTGATGTTTTACCCTTGCGGTGCGTCAAACCGACTCGAAGTTGTGCGCTCTTCCAGCTCATCCTTCCTTCATCTAGCATGGTCCATAACCATGGCCTCATATGCCTTAGAGGCACCATTAACGACACCTCTGACATATCTCGGCCTATTTGGACTTGGAGCAGTGGTCATGCGGGGTGCAGGTTGCACCATCAACGACATGTGGGACAAAAATTTAGACAAAGCCGTAGGTAAGTAGAACACGCGCTATTATCGCGTCTTCTTTGCACTGACGCGTCATCACAGAGAGAACACAAAGTAGACCACTTGCTAAAGGTGTCATTAGCCAGAGACAGGCGCTGGTGTTCTTAGCTGGACAGTTGTCAGTGGGATTGGGAGTCTTGTTACAGCTGAATTGGTACAGGTACGCATCGTATTTACTTTCGCTCCGCTGTCGCAGGCGTTGACCTTTTTAATCATAAGCATCCTCCTTGGAGCTTCATCTATGTCTTTGGTGACCGTATACCCGCTCATGAAAAGAATCACCTACTGGCCGCAAGTCGTACTAGGTGCGTGTCAGTAATTTATGTCGTATTCCAGGACTGAAATGAAGATACCACAGGGCTCACCTTCAATTGGGGGGCTTTGCTGGGCTGGTCTGCCGTTGCCGGGGCAGTCGATTGGAGTGTTTGCCTCCCTCTATACGCAGGCGGAGTGTGTTGGACTCTTGTATATGACACTATATATGCACATCAAGTGGGTGTTACTGCACAATAAGCACTCTATCTTCTGACTATCGCAGGACAAAACAGACGACGTGAATGCTGGTATCTACTCCACTGCTCTGCTTTTCGGAGAGCAGACCCGTCCGATCCTCGGCGCGCTCTCGGCATCATCTATCTCTTTGATTGGTCTTGCAGGCGTTCTCAACGCTCATGGGGTACCATTCTATCTCGGCCTCGGTCTCGGGGCTGCGCAGCTTGCACGCGTCCTTTGGAAAACAGACCTTGAGAGTCGACTGAGTTGCTGGCAAGGATTCGTAGGATGTGGTTGGTCTGGATTTTGGATATGGACGGGAGCTCTGGCAGATTATACACTTCTGACTTCAGGTCTTATATGAAGGTTGTCTGCTCGAAATGTCAAAATTCGAGCAGTGGGTAAGAGTCTGCCAGAAGCACCAGTGCAAGTGACTGTTGATTTGGCTTTCTACAGTCAGCATCTGCGCCTCATTCCTCGTCAAATTCCTCATTCATGTGGTGTCAAGTCTTGCTTCACCCAAGTTGAAATAGATTCAATATCGATTTTTCTAGCTGCTTAGTTAGGGATCGGATACTTTTTTTTGGAAATTTTCGGAGATGGACGACCCAAAGATCTTGACTACTTGTCCGGGCTCTTTCTTCACTGTTAGCTATGGCCTCCACCTCATCTAGCATTGTGTTCGACGATATCTTCACGATTGATGCCATCGACAAGGATGGCAAAAAATTCGATCGAAGTCCGGACTTGCCTATGCGCATCACTTTTTGCCTGTGATTGACCTGTGCTATATATGTGAACCTAGTATCTCGGTTATACGCTCGTTCAAAGAACTATGACATGGAGTTGACGCTTGACTATAATATCGAGCTCTTCCCTATAGTGAACGGGGACACTTTCGCGATGGCCCTCGCTTCGTCACTGTCACGGGATGGTGGTGCACCCACCGCAGATGGAGAAGAAGACAAAGACAGAGATGTGTGGAGACCAGATGGTAAAGGAAGGAGAGGCCTAGAAGAAGATTATGACTACGTAATGTATGGGAAGGTATGGCTATGTTTTTCTTTTTTCCATCGCACAAGGGTTTGAATGTACTCATTGGTTCGACAGGTATATAAGTTTGATACTGGATCATCCGACGTCGTGTAAGTTTTTGCATGTTTGCAGTTCTACTGGCCCGCACTCATGTCCTGCAGCACGGCCTACGCGTCATTCGGTGGACTGCTGCTCTCGATAACCGGTTCATATCGACACTTGACTAATGTTGTTCTTGGCGATCCAGTGTACGTGCTACTCAGGAAATAATCGTCGTTCTGCAAAGCACTGCAGCACCCATTGTGATGCACGTACTCCGAGAACCATCAAACTCGCACTCAATGAACTACACGGTTGCGTGGTGCAGTTCCTGGTCGAAGTCATTGCTTCAGCTCTGAAAGAGCGTGCTCACGATTTCCCACTAAGCGTGCAATCAATACATTTCGTTACTATACAGATGAGCGTGAAATCATGTAAGAGATTCTATGGGTTAATATCGTAAGAGCCGTAGATATGGCAGGATTATCAAGTACTATATATGTGAGCGAACATGCTGATGAAAAGGAAAACTGAAAGCACTCGTGAATTATAGCATTTACGTGTAAGCACGGACAACAAGAGCATCTTCTGATCATGGAGCTGAGAGCGGGTAGCGAGGACTGCTTCGGGATCTGAGCCATCCTTTCATCGCAACGATGCAGAACGTCCAGCAGAATGCGAAGCATGTGATAGCAACGGCGAGGTTAAGGAACATCATCATATCTAACAAGTTCGTTCGTCAGTACGGAGGTACGTCGGGGTAGAGGATCGCATACCATCACGCCCTTTTCGCATAGCGGCAATTGTGACTTCTTCTGTGCTGAATATAAACACCAAACCACCACATGCAAGGAAGAAGCTTGCAAGAGCTTCTGTCGGCGGTCGAGATGGAAGGATAGAGCGGGGCGGGCCAAGCCAGACAAAGAAGTAGGTTAAGCACCTTAAAACCGAGAATCCCAAAAGGAGCCCTCCCCATATTTCGTGTATCTGTACCTGTTTCGAAGCCAGATTAGCTAGAAACGGAGTGGAAAAATTCCCATGGTACCTGGAAGAGATAAGTCTGGGCGTGAGCGCTCATTGCAGCACCGGTGACACCAATGACGAGAGCAGGAAAAGGGTTGAAGCTACCACGATAGCTTGGAGGCTCGGACACCTCAGCTGGGCCGACAGCGGCTGCAGCAGACGCAGCAAGCCAGCGGCGAACACGTTTTGACTCGATTCCCATCCCAACGAGTCCGGCAAACCAAAACATGACCTAGATGATCGTGAGATACGAATAGGCAGGAGAAGGCTGACGTACAGCAATACTTATATGTTGTACTTGCTTGGTGGTGTAAGGGTCACCAGAGTGAACGCCAAAACGTTCCATCCAAGTGTTGGTGATGCCGTAGAGAAAAATGACCAACGACTCCACGAATTCAGCAGAAACATGTTCACCACTCGGTGAGATATTCCAAGCCCACCCAAGCTCAGAGAAAGATCCAAGGTACCGAGCAAATGTAACCAAGCCATAACACCAGAAAATGCCGCCCTCTGCAGGCCTAGTAAGTGTCAACGCGTCCGCATAGAACGAGACCTACATACTGATTAGATGCGCAAGACAGCCGTTTACATAGCTTTCGCGACAGCCACCGGTATAGACGACAATACCTGACAGCGTCATACCAAAAGCTGCAAAGACCAATGCTCTCTCAAGAGTAGCAAATGCCCCTTGACCAATGCGGATCAGAGGAGCTTGTGGCTCGATAAGACCAGGAAGTTTGAAATCATGCAAGGTTTCGTCAGAGTGCCTAGAACCTTGCGGGGAATCAGCTTCAAACACGATCCTCTCCGATAAGCTCGACTTCGTATAATGGATTGCCCCCTGACTATTTCGAGAGTCGTTGACCCATGGTGCTGTTTCATCGTTGTCGGGATCATCCAAATCTTGGGTTTGGATAGTTGCAATCAGTTGATTCCGTCGCACATGGAGAGGATCCCTAGTTTCAGCGACCCTCAGAGGTTTCATTTCAGCTACATCAAACTCTGAGGGTTCCCCCGGGTCCAAGCTAGTGTACCTGGCTGTAACGTCGTAGACTTCATTACGTCCCAGGACAACATTCTGCCAGAATGGTTTCAAGGAAAAGTTGCTTCTGCTCTTTACGAACGCATATAGACGAACGAGAAAGCGAACGATGTCGAGCGCAGAGAGGCATAAACTTAGGATTAAAACCAAGTAACCGTGGGATGCATGGGTTGATCCTTCATACCTGCGGTTGAGATAGTCAGGAAAATGCCGGAATAATTGATCGATCATTGAGTGACGTTTCGCTTACATATCTGGTGTCAACTTCCTGTATAATGAACCGGATGCACACCCGAGTGCGCATAAACTGTAGAATGCAACTACGACGAGCCCATGCCATGAATGCTTTAAAGCGCGCATTGCTATACCTGTGTAGCCCATTTGACATTAGCGCGAAGGTGCATGATGCAGGTACGTGATGTTTTCTCACCAACAGGCAGGGCGACGAAGAAGGCAAGAGTCATAAAAATGATGTGTAAGGCCATGAGTGCAGGGTAACGGGGTACGGATGGGTCACGATGCTCGATATCGATAGACCAGTAAGAGGGGGGAGTGGGAGCATGCCACTCAAGGATCGCGGTCTCGTTCAGCTCGGTCAGAGGTGCGCCTTGATGCATATGCATATGATCATCGTCACGTCTGAAGACTCCTGACGATGCCAGTAGATCATGAGGAGTTGTATGTGTTTCCGATAATTCAAGGTCCGCTACAGGGACTGCCAATACTGATAGGGGTTCGAAGAGGCTGATGGCGAGAAGAGGTGCGGTGACGACAAGAGATAGCCAAGGTGAGTGCATTGTCTCTAGGCAAGAATGAAAGGAATGAGTGACATTATGAATAATCCTCCTATAAACGCCGATCGGATTTTTTGTCAGCAAGCTTGCACTACGACTCGGATGAGCTCATCCGAGTCAGCAAAGGGAAATTTCCCAAAACACGGCTCCGAACCCTTGGCCCACTGGATTGAACATGTCATATGCTGCTACGAGGCTTGGCTGGTAACTTTTACAATCCTACGATTTCCTCTGCAGCCAGAACGAAAGCTTTGGAGGCTATCGGCCCGAGTCTGTCCAGCTGGAAGCCGTCGCCATCTCGGTAACCCAGCTTAAACACCGTATCGATCCGGACATTCAGTACACAGGTGGTGACTCAGGTGAGTTGCCACTGCCCTCTTTCTATATGTTTCCATGAGATTCCATTGCGTACTCACTATTGACAAAGTTGTAGAAACTAATAGTGTCTCAATTAGGAAACGTTCGGGTTAGACCACGTGTATCGTGTTCTGAAACAACCAAATATGCTCTAGCGAAACGTTTGGTGCGTCTTCTTGTGTGCTCCAATTCAGTACTCCGTCCTTATCTTTCAGAATAGCTTGGACCCACAGCCAAGGACTCCATTTTGAAGAAGTGAAGACGTATTGGGATGCACACATGACAGCACGCTTAGCCCGGCGGCCTACAAAGCTCAAGTTGATCCCCTAGTTGACAACGCCATTCTCCCGGTGTGCCTACTCGGATCACCAAAAGCTGTGCCAGACGTTGGCGTGAATGCTGGCCTGGACTGTTGCAGGTCCCATGTCACAACATCGGTTTACTCCCTTCTCCCATGCCTCTTCCCCTCTGGCGATCATCAGATCTGGCAGCGGAACTACCTCTACGTGGGCAGAGGACCTGACTATCCAATGCGCTGTGGGAGTTCTGATTTATGCGTTCATGGATCAGGTTTTCCATGACATATTGTAGGCAAGTTTGGGAAGACAGCCTATCGGTCAATGCCGAGGTGCTGAGTTACGTTGCGACAATAAGGTGGTCGCCGGCATATCATGCCGTCAGATGTACGCTGCGGCTCGTTTGACTCATGCTGCTTACTTGCTGACATATGTTGGTACAGCCTTCAGTGGAAAACTTACCAAAATGACCTTATGCGATGAAACACAGCTCTCGTTCAACTTTCGCTTTTAGCACTAGTCCCTTGAGGCGAATGAAACCGCTTTCCCATAAAATTTGTGCTCGGCCGTCACTCAAATGCGGGGTGTTTGCGTAATCCGTAGCGAGCAAATTTTTGGCTCTTTTCATCGGGAAATCTGTTGTTGATCGCGGTACGACCTCAGATTTCAATATCAGTTACTTTTGATGTTTCTAAGACTCGGCGGTGTGTATGATGCTTCCATTGTGCTACATTGGTGTCATTGATGTGATGTACATATTCTATGCTATGGTGCACGCCGCACGTCACTGAGTACTGAGTAGTCGCCGCTACTTTTGTGCAAACTTCAAAAAAATTGTATCCCTAACCACTGGTCCAAATTAGGCAGGGGCGGGAACAGTGCAGCCGCGGCAAGTTACACTACCCATTGCATACAGTACCGAGCGATAGTGAATTATATCAAGTATTCCTCGATACAAGGGCCATCCATCATGGCCAGAAAACCAAAAAAAAAAGAGAAATGTAGCTGTACCATTCGAGATGCCCAGTTGTAGGTCAAATAATTCAGCACTACATGCACACAGACGAGTTCCTGAAAGGGTTTTTGATCGTGTATAGCTACATTAATGTTGGTAGTGATCGACACCACAGTCGATCCTGCATTATGATATAAAGTTCAGACTATGACGGACCTAGATGTCAGGTGTGAAAATCACCGCTTGCCTCAGATTTATGATTCATCTTCACGCGCTTAATAGTTGGCATCCTGCTCAATGAGCGCGACGGCTCTTGAAGAGCGAGGCTTAATGGAACACTTGAAGGGTTTAGGGTGGCTAGAAGGGCATATATCCGGTTCAGCGCCGGACGTGATCAGATATGCAACATACCTGACTGTGCCTGATAATGGATCAACCTCAGGGGTGATCTCAATACCGTTCTCAACGACCTTCGAGATATCGAACACGGCCAGTGACATCGCGGCGGACAACCAGACCGAGGCTTCAGCGAGGTGAATACCTGTAAACGAAAATGAATTCAACGTCAGGATACAGTTTGGGAGTCTGGCATACCTGGACAAAGACTGCAGAGCAGAAAGTTAGCATGGCACAAAAATCTACTGCATGCTTACCGTCTTCCAAAGCCGAAGCAGATCGCGCGGGGATCTTTCTCAGGCTCCTTCCCATCATTAGCCAAAAAGCGTTCAGGATTGAATTGCGAGGGGTTAGCATATCTCTTCGGGTCATTCAGCATGAACCTGCCATTATATTCTGTTCAAACATCGAATATGAAAAAAAGGCGTACTTACCAGATATTAGGCATGACAAAGGCACCTTTTGGGATGTAGTACCCGTCATGGATATCGTCCTTAGAGACACAGTGAGGAAAACCTGAGATGGAGATACCACTCAGTAACTAGATAGTGCATTAAACGAGATACACAGACCGGTAGGGGCAACAGAATGCCATCGTAGGGCCTCTTTGGCAAGCGCTCTGATGTAGGGGAGAGAGTCTTGGTCGGCGAAGGAGGGAAGACGATCAGGACCGATAACAGCATCTATTTCAGCCTGAGCCTTCTTCTGCACGTCAGGGAATAGCGTCATAGCTAGGAAAAACGCGTTGATAGTAGAAACAATCTGGGAAAATAGTGTACCACTTTCAAAAGATGGTTGTCAGAAATATGGAGGGAGGGACCAACAGTGTCGGAACCGCCGGCATATAGACCTGCAGCAGTCCATTTCACGAGGTGCTCGTCTTCCGCTGACAAAGTACCGCCTCCCAACAGTTTCGAGGTGAAAGACTCCGAGGCAATGCCAGCAGCCTGTGATAAGTCAAACTTCAACGCATACTTGCAGAATTATAGATGATGGTCACCATCTGATCCACGACGAAATTGTATGGTGCAGAAACAAATTCTTCAAGGTTGTCGTGCCATTCGTGGGCCAGACGCTTGAAGCCAGCACCAGGGAACCATTCAGGGACCTTGGCCACTAAAATGGTGAGGCCATTGGAAGCAAGCATCTGAATGCTATGGCTTACAGAATGGTATAACATCAGCCATGAAAGCGCCAGGAGCGCTGGCACGCGACCACTCGCCCATAACGCGTTCTGCAAGGTCAACGAAGGGATCGTCATTCTCTTTCACCTCGTAACCATGAGAGATGCGAAGAATCACAGCGGCAGCGGTGCTATAAAAATCAAGATCGTGTCGATGCAATGATAAATTATACGTACTGTCGAACATGTACCTGTAGTTGATTGGGTTTCGCGAATACACGCTTGAGGAATCGGCGAGTCTCGACCTCCTCGATTTGGCTGTATGTGCCCACAGCGGCGCGGGTGCCAGTGACGCCGTGGAATTTTTTGCGGTGCCGGCGTAGATGGTCGCCATAAGGGAGGAGAGTTACAACATTTTTCCAGCCAATAAGTTCGCCACCAACAGTAAGAATAGGACGGTCAGAGTAAATAGCGCCCTTATTGTCTAGCATGTCCATCGCAGTCTCGACAGAGTTCAGCACTATGATGTGTTGACCCAGAACATTGATATGCGAAATGTCACCTGTCGACAAGATGTTGAAATGCAAGATTGTGTGAAACAAGAAACACTCACCATACTTCTTGCCCCACTCTGTGAAGGTGAGCCAGGGCCTGATGTAAGGCATATCCATGACGTTCCCGATGAGAGGCCATCCCGGAGGGCCAGGGGGATATGGAGGGTTCTTCTTGTTGAACACCTGCTTAAGTAGATATACTCCGACACAAACGAGGCATAGGTAGAGCCCAGTGACGTTGGTGAGAGCCAGCATGATCTAGTACTAGGAGAGGACGATCAACTCGAGAGTGGGGTTGCAGAGAAGCTTGCAGGACGAGATGAAAGGAGTTTAATACTGACCATCTTATCTATGACCTAAGCTTGGGCCCGTCACAAGGCTTCATTATTTTAAAAAAGTCTGAAACGGAACAAAAAAAAGATCATCAATCTCATTGAAGTACCCTTTGGTACATTGCACTAGCACCTGTTGCTAAACACCGCCCACCCGGTGACGAGTTTCTCGCTGCTGTTAGATAGAGTGTGACACATCTGGTAAATGGCCGCTCTGAGGCTAACCTACATATTAGTAGACTCTTGAGCCAAAGTCTTAGACTGATGACCAGTCTGTCTATGAGGCGAGCCGTCGTTGCAGTCTGTGGATAGGGCTACTAGGGGCCTTTGCTGAGTTTAAATGGTGGAGATCTCGGTTGTATCACGGTGGAGTAGCTAAATTGATTACCGTTGGAGTAGGGGGTTCTAGGGTAGGAGTTACGCATCAGGGGCCTTTCCATAGCTTAGTCAGCACGTAGACTAGGCATGCGCAACTTGGTTGCTCAGTCTCTGGGCTGCGAGCCCCTCGGCCTGCTCCACCGTACTATGATGGTAGTGACAAGGCCCACAAAGGGTTTTTTGATCTCAGACACGTTCTGCAATTGAGTTACTTTGTGATGTGATCAGTATGCAAACGTACATGTAACACACTAGTACTGTCACATGTCGCTGTAACGACATATAGTACTAGTTAGCTGCTAGACGTTGGCGCGAATGACGCCCTGGGCTGCGGGTCCCATGCCACAACATCGGTTTACTCCCCACCAGAACCGGCAGCGGAACTGCTCCGCTGTGGGCAGATGACCTGGCGCTGCGAGAGTTAGACATGTAAGTTAGCCTATCGGTCAATATTTCAATGCCGAGATGCGGGCAGCATGCTGTGTGTTTTTCTTTTTTTCTGATGGTATGATGGTTCCATTAAGTGCCACATTGATGATATTTCACCTTCCAATTACATAATTCCTCTTATCTCTTTTAATTTGTCAAGGATTATTTATTTAAATCGACAGCTAATTATAGCATTCCCATTATCATCTCAGGCTGTCATTCTGACTCCCTATGGCGCCTATCCTAGCGTGTTCAGTTTCTTAGTTCGCCGTTCAAAGGCTGACTTCGAAACCCAACGCGACCATCCTGCAAAATGCGTTGGCAAACAGTCAGGCAGTTCCTCTGGGGGGAGGTACCCTCCTCAAAGTTGGAGCAAAGGCTGCTCCTGAAATTGGACTGGTTCATTTTGTCTTATTGCTGTTTTATGGTATGTTTCATTGATTGATCTTGAGAAAACGCTGATTGCAGCGGTGGTAGTATTTCACGAACTGTGAGTTTTACGTTGTTTATCTTTGTCATTGGGCATGTTGCATGCACTGCAGTTTCTAATGCAGGAAGCCTTTGAATGCATTACGATCGCACGTTAGCCTTCGATGATATAGTCACAGCGAAGCTTTCTCCAAACCCGAGGCATTTTCGCTTTAGCGTTCTTACCACTTCATAGATCCGGGTAGCTGTTTCTGACATAATTCTCGTAACCAGACCTTGATCGAGCGAATGTAAACAATGCATATGTATCGGGGATGAAGCAAGAACTCAACATGCAAGGAAATGACTTCAATGTACGTACTCCATATATGTGTTTTCAGGGAGGTTTCTCTGAGCGCCTCCGCAGAAAATAAATACGATTTTTACGTGCGGCTACATTGTCGGGATGATCCCCAGTAGGCCTTTAGTAGTTATATCACCCGAGGTGCCCTATTCAATGCTTGTCAGACAACTTGATGCTCCAGGTCGTCCCACCAAGATTGTGGTTTCCGTCGATGCAGATAGTATGGGGTGTGCTCACCTTCTGGTTCGTTTCGATTATCGAGAATGCAACAAGCACGGCATTGATAAATTTGATGACATAGTTCAAGTACCGTCCATAACGTTCAACAGGTAAGGCCCTCCATGTCATTGTTTCCCTGCTAACCGCTTCCGCAAATAGCTGTACGCTATCAGATTCTTCCAAGGCATATCAGAAGCATCGACCTTCGTAGGCACGCACTATATTCTTGGATCGTCAGTGTGCTTCATTTCTTCAAGGAACATTCTCTTATTCTCTTATACGCTTCTTGAAGATGGTATAAATCTGGCGAATTGGGGAAGCGCTCGGGTATTTTCACGAGTTCTGGTCTAGCTGGGACACTGTAAGGTAATCATCCGACGTTCGTTCATTTTGCTGACATTCGATAGGTTCTCTGGTGTGCTTCAAGCAGCCGTTTACCAGTAAGATATCATGTTTTCCACCAAGATCGAAATTTTCAAACCAGTGTTTTATGAGACATCTTGGAGGCGTCGGCGGAAGAAGTGGATGGCGGTGGCTGTAAGTGTCCCCAGATTTCTGATCGGAGCGCCAGCGCTCAGAGAACCATTTAATTTAGGTTCATAATCGATGGTGTAATCACACTTCCGATTGCACTTTACGGCTTTCTCGTCTTCCCTGATGTGCCATCGACCACCAGAGCATTTTATCTCAGTGAAGAGGTATGTTTTTGGAGATATGTCAACATCCGTTTCTCAGTTGTATTTATCTTCCCCATAGGAACGGGCTCTCTCTCAAGACCGTCTCGACTCGGATGTTGTCCATCATAGTCTCTCTTGGGATCTTGCGAAGAGAGTGCTTAGCCGCTGGCGTTGGTACGGATGTAGTCTCCTCGTAAGCATCTTTCGTTACTCGACGAGTATGGATAAACACAGTTCGTACAGTTTGCCATCTCAGGAGAGACTGAAAGTTTCGGCTCCAACAATCTGATGGGCCAGTGGCTGTCTGCCATAGGCGGTTATACAGTCGAACAAGTTGGTGGGTACATTACGTGTCTGCATCTTTCTTTCCCTGATCCGTTTATCAGATTACTATCCGAGCGGGGTCACAGCTTTCGGAATTGCATCCACACTCGTCTGCGCTACTTGGACAGATTATACGCGAGCAAGATGGCCCGTACTCGTGTACATGTGCTTCTGCTGCACAGTCGCTGCGATCTGTATTCTTGTGTGGAGTAGTCCAACGGGGTTGAAATTCTTCGCATATTGTTCGTTGTCTCTACTGAGGCTACCGTTTTGCAAACTTAGTTCGTCCCTCTTAGACTTTGCAGGAGCCTCGTATGCCGGACAAGCTACCACATTTGCGTCAGCTACTTCTTTGCAACTATCATATTGACTCATGCTGAATTGATTGTTCTGCAGTTGGGCAAACCAGATATGTGCAGATGACTATCAAGAGCGTGCTATTGTGCTTGCCTCCATGAAGTGATTTTAAAAAAAAATTCCTGCTACGAAACTGACTTGGACATCAAGCATGTGGAACAACGCGGTTAATGCCTGGTGGCCACTCCTCTTCTACCCTGCTACGGATGCGCCCCGTTTCAAGAGGGGTATGATCGCAATGATTTGCACCTGCGCAGCGACATTAGGAGTGACTTGGCTAGTCTGGTACCTTGAGCAGCGAGAGCAGCGTTTGGCAAAAAGGAAAGCCGCGAAGCATGGAATGAGAGAGGCCAGTCCGAACCCCGTCGAAATAGACAAGCCCTTGAAGGACGAGTAATAAGGACTTACAGTTCTTTGCGTGGCTTCTCGATCAAGCAGCCAATATACTCTAAAACTTTCTGATTCATGCAAATATCAAAAAAAAAACAGTATAGATACAATGATACTGGGAACAACAACAGCAGTCTAGAATGGGTGATTGATCGCCCTACGCCTACATGACAGCTCAACAAGAATCACCAACATCCGATGAGCACAGCACATCAAAGTGGATTAATTGAAACTATAAAAAACGGAAACGAGCGCTGCTCGAAACAATTTGAAGGCAAGGGAGCATAGTCGGACAGGAAACCAACAAAGCAACTGCCACTTGGGTATCGGGAAAAAAAGCACTGGGGTATATTTAGTGATCGACAACCTGCAAACCCATACTTAAGTGTGTTGTGAAAGTTCAACAAAAATTCAACATGCCTCGACCATTCCTGTGTAAGGATCGTCCTCCGAGTCATCAGGTAGCGCAGAAGTCGGCAGATCACCGGGGGGTACAGAAATATCCATTGATTGAGAAATCGGTGAGATCGGGACATCCTGGTTCTCCATGTAATAGTGCGAGGGAAGAACCGGAGATTGAGATGGGTTATAAACGGGATTTGGCAGGAGAGGTGGAACAGGTTTTCGGTTTGAATATTTGCGAGTGAGGTTGGCACCACTTGTACTGGCTGAACTAACCGTATCGGCCGCACCACTCGGATCAACAGCGTCACCCGTATTAGCTATGCCACCCGTGTTAACTGCACTGTCGAAGTTATAGACGGGGCCTTGAGGGGGAGGGACATGATAAGCAGTTGCCTGCTGTTCATATCCTTGTGAGCCGTAGTAACCGTACTGAGGAACGGTCGGTGGCGCGTATGTAGGCTGCGGACCGTACCCATAGCCATGGCCATGACCTGAGGAACTGCTACTAAGCCTGTATTTTTCAAAAGTGTTCGTTCCCTTCTCCTCATCTCCATAGTGCTCCCTCACGACCGGATCAAACGTGATAGCATCGGCGATGTCGCTCTCAAGACGATTGCGCTGACGACGACGGATAGTGAATGTGACGATGACGAACATGATGATCATGATAACGATTCCAACTATGGCGAACACCCCACCCTCCAGGGGCTTGTTCTGGAAGAATGACTGAGGAGCTGCAGCGATGGTAGACGCTGAACTGGACGTGGTACTAGTCACGTAGATAACGCTAGTACCGGAGGTTGAAGTAAAGACGATCAGAGAAGCAGATGATGTGGGTGTGGATGTGTGGGTGGGTGTGGGAGTAGGCACAGGCGTAGGCGTGGAGTTGGGTGTAGTTACCGACGTAGATGTTGTCGAGGGGGTACTCGTGCTGGGGGCCGGTCTGGTTAGTCTGACACGACTTGCAATATATGTGTAACTTACGAGGGAATGGAGGTACTAGTAGAACTGGATTGTTGGCTGGTAGTGATGGAAGGGGCGGAAGGGGCGGAAGAGCTAGGAAAGCTAGAAGAGAGGAAGGGTCAGGAGTTGACTCGCGGATGTAATAGAAGATACCAACGTAGAAGTGGTAGTTGCCCCGCCACCGAACATGCTGCCCAAAGCACTAGTAATTACATCAAGAGGGCTCTCGGGTGATATTGTGGTGCCAAAGGTCGAAGCACCGGTTCCACCACTGGCGTTACTTTAGCTAGCAGCTCACTGTTGCAAAACGAACAATGTCTTACGGTAAGCCTCCGACTGCTGAGGGTGTCAGAATATCACTTCAAGATGGCAAAAAAAACCTCACATCCATCCCGTCGGGCAAAATGAGTATGGAGTGCATCCATGAGGAGTTGTCGTTGATTTAACAGAAATGAGCGGCGATTGAGTGAGTGTGTAGATGAGACAATTTCTTTAAATTTTGGTTGTTAGTTTCCTTTGAAAGCAAGCAAGCAAGCTGACAGCAAAGCTTTGGCTAGGTGGCAGTTTGACTAATGAAGAAAGAAGAAAGAGAAAAGACTGTGATGAAGTTAGTTGTTGTTGAAACGATGACGATCAAGTTCAAGAAGCTTCCCAATCCATCACATAATAGTAATAATACCACCAATTTCAAAATTTCAACGGCTGATCACTTTTTACAATCCTGGGCCATCGTTGGCATCACAACTCAACAGAAACAATAGTGTCGACGTCAACTTGGAGGGTCAGTGAGACGGGGAAACATAAGACTGGGAGGGACACGAGTACGTAAGTGACAACCTGCAGTTTTTTTTATTTAAATAAAGGGCGCCTAACGACGATAATCACAGTACTTTGAGGATACAATAATTTCACTATAAGACACATGGGTATATAATGTCAAGAAAGAATACACCAAAAATCCCTTCATCAATGGATTAATCTGGATGAAAGACCATAGCTTTCTCCAGCCTTTCTCTCCATTATCTCCCGAAGAGGCCCAAGCAGTCGTGTGAATGAAGGCGCGTCCAGTGCCGCAACCTTCAACTTCGGCTGCGTCGCATCTGTCCGACGTACCGCACTCACTGTCGCCGCTCTGGGCTCAAGTCTGAGCAAAGATAGCTCTATTGAGGTGAACGTCAGCTATTTAAGACCTAATGGAGAACAACACCAAATCACTCACCGCCAAAATAATCACCCTTCTTCAGCCGGCCCACTGTGATCTGGCGGTACTCACCCTCCTCTCCTCGTTGTGTCTTAGTGACAATGGCCTCGCCTTCCTCTACGAAGAAGAAGGTATCTCCCATCTCCCCTTCCCGAAGAACCGCTTCTTCATCGGGATATACTGTGCTGACCAGAGCGTCTGCTATTTTACTACACTCTCCCGGCTCAAGGGAGGATAAAAGGGGGACACTGGAGAGGAACTGCTCATACATCGTCCTGCGCCTGTGAGCCACTTTCAGAATGATTGTGCGGAAAGTGATACGGTCAAGAACCCAGACAGTGGAGGGCTCAATTGCCTGCACGGTCGCCGCTCGTGGATGACCATGCATCAATGCAAGCTCGCCGAAAGAAGTTCCAGGTATGCGCTCTGAAACTTTCTGACCAAACACGGGATGATATCCCGGCTGGAGGAATTTTTCGGGCTGCGAGGCGTGGTTTTCCGCATCCGCTAGCCAAGTCGGCGGTAGCGGTCCAGGATGGATGTAGCAGTAGAACAGTCCTGATTCGACAACGTAGAAGTATTCTCCTACATCTCCCTGCCGAATAATCACATCATTTGCGGCAAGCTTGTGCTCCTGCATTGCATTGAGCACGCCAGTCTCCTGCTCCTCATCGAGATCACGGAAAACCAAATTATCTGCAATGGATGATTTTATGCGGCGAAGTTGGTCAGCTGTCTTGGGGTATACGGGGAGTGGATCGTCGTGATCACTGTCTACTGCGATAGGTTCAGCACTGACTGACACACGACGTGCCAGCATGGTGGCCGATGGTGCATGGAGATAATCTCCAAGGCCAAGAGAGAGCGAATTAGACATGGTCGGCGTTGAAGACACATCATACCGTGCGAATGAGTTGGGATCAGTGGTTAGCGGGGAGGTTGGGGGTAGTTCACGTCCATCGAGGGTGAATGTCGGGGCAAGCATGCCATTGGGAGCGCCATTTGTGTCCAAGGACAAAAGCGCATTTCCTGGCACATTAAGAGTCCCAAACGGACTGTGCGAGAAACCCGCATGGTGGGAGGACGCACGACGCTGAGGGACCTGGGAAAACGGAGAAATGGGAGTGGGCGTGGAGTTACGAGGGGCGATATTGACAGGGGAGTCCAGATAGAACTCGGATGGTAGCTCATGAGCTGTGGAGAGACCACGTTGGTGTAGGACGTCTCGTATTCGCGTCCGCTGTTCTTCCAGCCGAGACTGAAACCAACTAGCGCAGAACTGGAGGGCGTCTTTAGGTTGCACTCGGCATACGTCGCGAGTCAAGTCCTGAATAAGAGTGTCGAATGTAGACATTACTCTAGATTATATGATCCTCGCTGTTCAGGACAGTGATCAATGGGGCTTGTTAGATATGTGTTATACTGGATGTGTGAGTTTGTTTTATAGTCGTGAGCCACTTGGTAAACTTTTGGTAAGGCACCGAAAGCTTAGGAAACAAAAGACGCGTAACCACGTGCGTGTCATTACCTTTCTTGTTCAACCTCACTCATCAAGTCGATCGCCGGAAACATATAATGAGCTCAAAGCCCTTTCATAAAATGTCGCGTGTTGTCCTTCTCGGATCAGTCAAACGTGTACTCCGCCTGACACTTAAGGGGAGCGTACTATTCATTTCAAGGGTCGTATCTTGATTAATTCCAATGATCCTCCAGCCTGAGAGTCCGCAGTAGCCCGGGCCAGGCTAGCCTGAGCCTGGTGTTCAAGATCAGGCTAGGGCAACTCTCTTTTGGAACCTCTCCTTGTAAGGCCACCTTGCCCACTTTCAATCGAACCAACGTAGATTCCTCCCCGTGGACGAAACGTGCTATCTGTGTTACAAGACTAGTGATTACAACATTCTTCTATCCCCGAGGTGACAATACATATAACAGGAACAATGCGTATGAAAAAAGAGGGAAACATCAAATACATAAAAAAATTTCTACACCACCAGAAAGCTTTGCAGCACTATCGTGCATGTTGCTGATACTGTGCAGGAAACCCTCCAGGGTATCCAGGCGCGACCTGTTGATTCATATGAGCTTGTGCGTGGGCATGTGCCTGAGCCTGAGCCTGAGCCATTGCTTGGGCCTGGGCTTGGGCTTGAACTTGCGCCTGCATTCTTGCAGCGTCCTGACTGCTGTACATGGGCTGCTGCTGGCCATGTGGATAGACTGACGACGGAGTTATTGAAATTTGAGACGACGACCCTGCTGGAGGGATTGGATTGTGGGGTTGCTGTTGTTGTTGCTGTTGTTGTTGCTGTGCATGGGGGTGAGGGTGAGGAAAATTGAATTGAGGCGGTGGCATCGACCCTGGAGTCGAACTTGGGCCGTAGGTAGGGGCCACCGTGGAGGTAAAGTAAGGGTGCGAAAGGGCTTCAGTGGCCGTCATACGCTTGGCAGGATCAAATTGAAGTAGACGTTCAAGTAAGTCGAGGGCTGCATCGCAGTCAGTCTAGGCCCCACAAATCATCAGGCCCCATTAATCACCTTGTGGCGAGGCCTTAGGAAGCACTTGGGCAAAGGAAATCTTTGGGTATCTTGGGTATTGCTTTAGGGTAATTTCGGGCTGGAAGAAAAATGAGGATTCTCCACTTCTCGTCATAGTCAAGGGATCTCACCGATTCAGTCGCTATCTTCCTCAGAACTCGATCGTCCGGCGTGCCGACAATGCGCATGATATGAAGTAATTGGTCCTGGTTGTCACGGCCACGGAAAAGAGGCACTCCAGAGATCATCTCCGCGAAGATGCAACCGCAGGACCATACATCAATCGATGTATTGTACGTGCGTGATCCAAGAAGTACATCTGGTGCACGATACCATAGTGTGACGACCTAACTCCACACCCTCAGCTGTGTCCCAGGGATACTCACTTACACGAACGTACCTCGTTGGAGAATGTGTTCACTGGCACGCCAAACGCACGTGCTAGACCAAAGTCACCAAGTTTCAGCTCCCCCTTGCGATTAATAAGAAGGTTCTGAGGCTTCAGGTCCCGATGTAAGACCCTGTTCTCATGGCAAAATGATGTGCCCTTGAGGAGCTGGTACATGAAACTTCGCACGGTCATAGGGTCAAGCGCTCCGCGATCGCCGTGTTGGTCCATGTACTTTTTGAGATCTTGATCACAATACTCGAAGATAAGGACAAGCTTTGTCTCCGTGTGTATAACATCGTGGAGGCGAACGATGTTGACATGCTTGAGTTCCTTCATGAGGGAAATCTCACGGATGGCGGTGGAGGGTGTCCCTTCCTCTGCGTCAAGATGTATCTCCTTGAGCGCGACGATCTCATTGGTCGTTCGAGAACGACCCTACAACTCATATGAATTTCAAAGAAATATTAAGGAGAAGCTGTTGTGACGTACTTTGTAGACCGTGGCGTATGTACCTTCGCCTGTATAAGCAATGGTTAGGGTACAATCCCTGATATCGTACATCGTAGATCATACCAAGTTTCTCTAACTACTTTATGTCAGCTTGCATGTTAAAAGAGCGACAAGGAGTTTACCTGAATGTAGTTCATCGTTGGTCCCGCCACTGCAGCTGATTACCTGGGGTGATGGTGGTAGAACGGTAGAACGTAACAGATGAAAAGATCGTAAGCAGGCCCTTCCTGTCCCTTTTTTACACAACGATAGACAGTAAATCGCAGAAAACGGACAGTTTTGTCAGGCGAGCGTGAATGCCGACTTCCTAGTAGTACAAGGTGCCTTCGCTCGAGGAATAAGTGAGACCGAACTTCTTCCAGAATCCTGGCGTTTTCTCTGGCTCCCGATTAGGAAGTGCAAGAAAGTATTAGCTAGCACGTGACTTGCAGAATATTTGTTTCTCCCCGTCCATCAACTTCAGGTATATGCCTGAGCTCGTATTACTCTCCTGGATTGTCCTAAAATTTGTTTGAGCAGCTAAAAAGGACCACGGCCATGTCAAGTGTCCCCCCATCCAAAAAAGCGCGCACTAAGTCATCTTCGCGCAAAGCCAAGCCGTCCATATCACAGACCGCCCAAGATGAAGTCCTCATAGACTCAGAACCTGCATCTACTGTACGCATCTAACACCACGACAAAAAACAAAAACTTGATATACATTTTTCGTAGTCTGCATCCAAAAATGCCCGGTACGCCGAGCCCTCATCTCTCGCGGTACACTCTGGCGTCGAGCTCGGGGAAGATCAAGCAATGGAAGACCTTGCCGCATCTCAGATCGAGGGCGCACTAAATGCCGATCTTGCGGAGCTCTCCCTAGGCCAGCGTCTCGCCGCAATATCAGGTGACGCACGCCCCTCCTCATCAGACTCTGAAGAAGAGCAACTCCAATCATCACGAAAACAAAAGCAGGACACACCGAACGTTATACCTGCACACTCACTTACCCGGACACTTATACAAGCGCTCCACTCGTCTGATTCAAGACTGCTTGAGACTTGTCTTGCACATTCTGACCCAGCAATGGTACGGAATACCGTGCGGCGATTACCGCCCCAGCTGGCGGTACCGTTGCTCACGGCTTGCGTAGAGCGTCTCGGCCGTGGCCCACGCGCAGCAAGCATGAAAGGTGGTGGCGGGGGTGCCAGTTCGCAACGCGGAATTGGACTTGTTACATGGGTCAAGACCGTACTTGCGGTCCATAGCGGTCACCTTATGACGGTACGTTTTTGAAATAAAGAAAAACTGTTCCTTGTATACGTTGCAAACTAATTTGAATTTCATCTATAGATGCCCGACCTCGTTTCACGGCTCTCGGGTCTACATGCGACACTGACTTCCCGGCTGGCATTACAAGATTCCCTCCTCTCACTAAATGGCCGACTAGACATGGTACTCTCACAGATCGAGATGCGTTCTTCCACAGCACCAACACTGCTTGCACCTCATAAGAACGGGGTTCCTACAACATCACAAGGCGAGAGGCAGCCAACAAGATACGTGGAAGGCGAGAGCGAGGAGGAGGGCATGGAAGCCAGTGTGGAGAGCGGAGAGGATGAAGGAAGTGTAGAGGATATAGAGCTCGGTGGTGAAAGTGAAGCTGAGGAAACGGATGAAGAGGGGAGTGACGAGGAAGAAGAAGATTCAGACGGCGAAGGACCTACATTAAACGGGTTCATTGATGATGAAGCAGAGGAATTCGAGGACGACGAAGAGGACGATGAGAGTGAATAATATACATTCGCTTTGCACCTTGCATATCTAGATGATCTACTTAGCATCTAATCCAGTATGCACACCGTTCGAATGCAGAGCTGGCCGTGCAAAGTAAACCCAGAACAAAATAAATATCCAATTATTATAATTTGCTATAAATCATCCACCCACTCTCCGCCTCTGACACGCTGAATATAAGTTTTCACCCAAGGAGCACGCCTTCCATCCTGCACTTGTAACACAGCTGTCATCTCCTCTCTCTTTTTGTCTTCTTCACTTAGCTCCTGGCCCTCCGATCTCTCGACCTCTCGTTCCATTACATTTGCTTCTGTTCGCAAACGTCCTTCTCTTATCCTCAGCGCTGCGCGCCTACGATTCCATACCTCCGGATGGAGAGTCAGCACAAGCAAACTTACGAAGGTTGTCACCTTGTGCATCAGACTCGGTGGTGAAGAAGGGGTGCGTGATGAAGACGTTGGCCAGAGTGACTTGTTCTCTGTATCAATGCCTATGCGCGCAAGGAGTTCCAGAAGAGAGGTAGAGTTGCTGGGGGGCGGAGGACCCTGCGCTTCTTGATTTTGTGCAGGCGTTGGTATGTCAGACTGGGCAGGAGGAGGTGTAGAAGGTGCAGGAGTCGCTGGGGGACCTCCAAGTTGACCCTGACCTGGAGCCTGTCTTGCAGCCTCCGCGGCAGCAGCAACACCAGCTAAGCGTTCCCTCTCCCGATTGAGTGGTCCGAGTACAACGTTCCGCACATTCGTCCACATCTCATATATTATCCATGCGATGATGCACAAGCCCAAGAGCGGCTTGCGTGCTGGGGAGAAAAAGTACAGCAAGAGCAAAGTCCGGAATAATACCATCACCAAGGGGGCCAGTAGTAAACGGATCGGGATATCTGGAAGTATCTGGGCTTCACCTCCGGGTGCTGGGACGTTCGCTCCAACGCCCATCTGACCATTAACGTCGACATCGACATTAACGTTCGGGATAGCACGAAGTGTGGGAAGGCCGAGCTGCTGGAGAAGGTCGTTTAATTGATGCGGTATAGTCTCGTTGGAAGAAGTGGTCGGTGTTGGTGTCGATTGTTGAGGTAATGGTTGAAGACACAATATTGAAAACGTATAGGTCAAGACCTTCAGAGCATGTACTTGTTCAACGGTAGGCTTTGAACCTGGGTTGCGGAGGGAGAGGTATGACTTGCCACTAATGATAATTAATTGAAGCACATCTCACTATGCGAGAAATTTGGCTCACTCAGTCGTCATCAATTCGTATCGCAGTCCAGAGCCGTCACCATGCTGAGAGAAAGGGTATTGCTCATCCAGGACTGAAGGCCAAACGTATCCCTTCTTCTCAAGATTCTCCAATGCAACTATGCGAGATGGAATCACTGAGTATTGTGGGTGCTCGATGAGTCCTCTAGTGAGCTTTGATAGAGCAGCCTGATGGATATAAGCAATGAATTGGTGCTCCAGGGGTAAATGTGCAAAAGGATGGGATTGCACCCCGGGAGGCGCCGAGGGAGTGTTGGAAGGAACGTCTCTTTGTAATGAGGGAGATTTCCCTTTGTCGGATATAGATATTGTGGTTGCCGTTGCACTAGAAGATGGGGGAGGACCAGACCAACCGGAAGGGTGCACTGATAAATGGACGGTGCGTTGCTCATCTACCGCCTGAAACTTGGGTCAGATGTTGTTCGCAAAAGTCATAGATTCCTCATTACCTTCCATATATCTGAAATTTTCTCCTGGTCCCCGAGGTAGCGCCCCCTCCAGATTATGCGCTGTCCCTCGACACGGGGCTGTCCAACGCAAGACGCTGAAATTGCATGTTTGACATCGAGTACGGTAGCGGAGATAGAAACCTTAACAGTAAACGAAAGAGAGTAAGTGGGAAGCTCGATGCGAACAGCGACGAGGGACTCGGTCATCGTTGTGGTGGTGGTGACAAGTGATGAGATGGTAGTTGCATACTAGGCCAAGTCCTACGTGGAACTCGTCCACGTGACTCATGTGCCGGTGTTTCTGCCAGCTCTTGCCAGTGAAGTTCATTTGATTTGACACCGAGTCGATATCTGCTGAATTCTCCAGGTTGTAAAACGTCCTGAACAGTGCACATTGCAGGCACATATGCCATGCGCGCAACATATGTCTTCGACTTGCAGCTCGCATGCAGGGAGAGTACTTTAGGTAAAGTTTTAACGCGTCCGCAGTCACTGACTCCCCGCATGCACGCAACATTAATATTAATTCTTCAGTGCCCTTTTCTCACCAGTGAGTATTTCCTGTCACTCTTTTTATTCCTACTGGTCGCGGGTCTCCATGGGCCCACCAAGGAGGTGATTCACATACATTATTATTATCCGGATATAAATATCATCAGGTATGGGCTTATTTTCTGCCCTCGTACTGTGCCATCAAATTGACTTTCGCCAGTCATACCACATCCTGAATTACCATCTGGCTGTATGGGCCTGATTGGTGCAAACCCCACTATGTGGACATAAGAAACGATTAAAGAACAAGTTGAAGGTAATTCGCTGAAATATCTCAAATAGACTGAGAGGGGCTGCCACTGATTCATTTACACAACTATGTGAGAAGCTCAAAGCCCTTCAAGCAGGCCCTTATGTGTGGCTTCTGAGCCTACCGACGTCAAGGTCAGCAAGACTACTTCAACGAGCCATCGTACAGGGGCATAAGAATAAGCATTGCCGGTGTCTCTGACAATCAAGTCCAGACTTTGAGACTTGTTGCGATGCACTCCGAGGCAAGGCGTTGTTCAAGCTCACCAGGCTCCGCTGGCTTCGAGCGGGAAGCGACTTCATATTTTTGTTCTTCGATAAGACGGAAGTTCGTGATGCGGCGTAATCATGCGATGATTATAAGTACATCATGCCTAGCTTCCTGTCGACAGCCTATCGTACAGTGGTATTCACCATTGAACGAAATCGCAAGAAAATACTATTCTACGTCGTACAGTGTGTGTCGTAAATGACATACTTGACTGAGACTTCGACTGCAAAGTTGATACGTCTTGGTTCTGTTCTGCCAATGACTGTCAATAGTCTGTTGACGCGAAAAAGATCGTTCGAAAGGCCGGCCGATCGCGTCGGGAGCTGTCACTATGACAGGTTCTAATACTTTCTGGTTGTTCTTATTGCTGTCAGTATATCATTCAAAAATTGTTGATGCTTCTCCGACACTCTGTCTTAGTCTTACGCTTGGTGTTGTTTGGCTCCCTACTTGCGGCGGACCCACCTGCTGATGAAGCGCTGGATATACTGGCCTTCTTTGTTTTTAGGTATGGCTTTTTATATCATGAACATGAATGTATTCTTATCTGGTTCTATGGCTGTTCTGCTAGCTGCAGCATGCCATTCGCTTGGGTCGCAAAAATGACTCAATTCAATTGGGGCATGATGCTGAACGTTACTATTGCACGATATAATGCTGGTAAGTACGGAGGACGATAAGGCTTGTTGAGTCGGTTACGCCTGCAAAGTTTTTGTATTGGAAACTTGTGCTGATGGTATCACCTCAGGACAAGAAGGACGACGAGAGGGCTGGGGTCAAGCTCGTCTGGGCGAAGGCATTTGTCCTGCATTGAGTGTATTTGATGCGACGTTCTTTGCGTGCATTCTGTGGGCTGGATACTCGAACGGCTAGCGTCTCCCGTCCTGCTTGATAGGTGTCATCGCACCGTTCCTCCCAGTGTCTCCGGCATATTTGGACCTTTGATCATAATGATCCACAAGACAGCTGGAAGGCATACATGGTGCGTCTGATTAATATAGACACACATTTTATTTGAATATCAAATTGTACTCCAGGCAAGTCGTCATGGCGCAGCGATGGTCTGCGCTCTTCTGCGCTGGATTGGACATAGACTACTACATCAAACTCGCTTCCCTCGCCGGGTGGACATACATCCAGCAAGTGTGACGCCTTTGATGTCGGTTCTACGATTGGACATCTATAATACTTCAAATACGATCTTGGGCCCATGTGCATGGTTAGTGTTAGGCGATTCCTTGCGCGTGCCATGTTCGACGTTTATCTATTCTATCCGACATCGAACGGCAACTGCACCACGTCCAGCCCCGCAATTGAAGAGGTCTATCGCGTGCACTATTCGAGCACGATCCATGAGGCTTCAGACCAGAGCAGCGCTTTTCTGGTACACTTCAGTCCTTCGTGAACTTTCTCAAGAGGTTGGTTGGACATATATCACGATGGTGAGCTGTGGATTGTAGATCGTGATTGAGAGTGGTCAAGGGGTAGAACAAACCTGATGTGCTGCCCGATCATGACTGCATGCATTGTCTGTTAATGTATTTAATTATGCTCCACTAGGTCGATATATCCGTCTTGTGTATACTCTCGCACTTTAAAACTACTTGCTTTCTCGGAGATAAGTTGCGTGATCGTACTGACGCTTTTCAAAATGAGACAAGGTCTTCGTGTCAAGTCCGCATGATATCAGGCTCTATCTTGATTTACTATACAGTAGATTCACGAATAATGCGTGTGTTGTTCACGTCAGAGGACAGGTTACATCGTGCTGATGTTGAACCGAGGCATTCTGTACTGTGCCAGTCCCGTACAAATACTAGCTCCTCTCGCAGTCAATTATATTTATCACGGTCCATAAGAGTGGGAACGAAGTCCACGAAAAGTACATGAACAGAAGGGCACAATAACTAGAGTGTTCCCTAACCATTAAAACCCCGGAATTTCCAATCATCCGGAAGCTCAAGATAGGGATGTCGTCTCAGGTGCGAAGCAGATGCGCGTTCGTCAGGATTGCTGCAAGATTATAAGGTAAGTGGTATCATCCGAACGAACTTGAATAACTTGCATTGCAAAACATAAATCCCGGAAATTCATTGCAAGATCTGACAAGGTAACTTCAGGAGGGATGGGTGGGCGCTTGTTTTGTTTCACCTGCGTACAGAATATAAGTAATGCTCCTGTAATACAAAGGTACAAGACAGACTTTAATGGTGACCATGATCAGTTCATCCTCATACCAGGGTCGCTTTCCTGTCAGCATTTCCAACAACACGCATCCCAGACTCCAAATATCGGCCTTGACACTGTACCCTTCCTTTTGATGGCAGATGACTTCAGGTGCCATCCAAGGTAGTATTCGTTGCACGCTGGTGAAGGGAAGTTTATGTATTTTATCCTCCATAGTGGAAAACTCTAGATCAGAAAGCTTGCAACTCCCATCTCTCTCAAGTAGGACGCTATCAGCTTTCAGATTCTGACCGGAATCAATAAGAATTTTTCATAACGTTTCAGATAGGCCGAATCGGCCACATACCCGGTAGATTATTCGTCGCGAATGGAGGTATCTCAAACCTCGAAGTATTTGGAGCATGAAAAATTTTGAGACATCCTCGCTGAACCTGCCCTTTTCGCGAAGACAATAGCCTAATGCACTTCCCGACACGTACTCCATAAAGCTGCGTCATATGTTTGAATCAATACTGCCAGGTGGCCACATTGCTAGAAACTCACATATTCATAACCCTTGAATGATCCACAAAGCACTCTTCAAACCCGAGATATTGGACGATATGACGATGGTTCAGATCTACCAGTAGCTTGCTTACTCTTTCGACGGAATGTACGAAAGTGGCTTGACACTGATCGTTCTCGTCTCTGATAACTTGAGGACTATCAACTTGTTTAACGGCAACTAGTTGGGATTTGCCCGTGGTCATGCTAAGAGCCAGGTAGACCCGACCGTAAGTTCCTCTACCAATAAGCTCACCACGGATCCATTTGACGGCGGCTGTGGGTGGAAACAATAAACGATTATTTTCTGATACTGTCTCAAGAGCTTTTGAACCGTACCATTGCTACAGCGAGCCCGGCTGTCTGAAATATTTCCTGCAGGTCCTGGACTCATAACACAACAGCTGGGAATCGGATGAGAAGCTTGCTTGTTCGGCATCACAGCTAAGGGACGCGAGGATTCGTTCTGACGCCATGGACCCGCTTAAGGTACTTATAATAGCGACGACAGTTCGAATGAATTTGGGGGTGGCGCGTTCTTGGCACTGCAGTTCGGAGTCATGGATAATACTGCGGCAGTGGCGAGTTTGAGTTTGATTTGATGACTCTCGTGAGCGACCCTAGGACCAGGCTAAGTGGCTACTGGATTTCATTTGCATGCTGTAGCGATACAGGATCGCCCGCTTAAACAACGACAACGGTTCTGCCCGACTTGTGCCCGAGACTTGGGAAGAGGTGGCAGTTGGGCGGCTGTACCCGAGATACTTTGTAGCTGGGCGGCATCGCAACCTATTTGAAGTGCCCATATGTATGCAAGTAACAACAACCTAGACTCGTGACCAGTCTGACTATGCGTCAATTTGAGATGGTGAGAATTTATTGACGTAGTCAGACTGGTCGAACTCGGAGTGATTTGGCAGGCGAAGCGAGGAGTTTGAAATTTGGCAGATGCCGGTATGCCGCTTTGGGGTAACATTACCGCAAACTCTTTCGTTCGTACCGTGAAAAGTACAGTATCCTCTCAAATACAACAGTACATCACGCTGGAGCACTAATAATTGATTAGGATAAACTGCTCGAACTCCTGAACCCATTATTTACAAGGACAAATTTAATGCCTTGAGTGAGTGAAAATGTTGTATCTTTAGCGTACGTGATCTCGCTGCAGCAATAAGTTCAAAGGTGACTGACAGTGATAGCGGTCTTGTTGGGAGAAAGGAGTAGAGGGAGAATCATAGCAAGGGTCTTTCCAGAGCCTGTCGCAGCTCGAAGTACAACGTGTTCCGCAGAAAGTAATGATATGAGGCATCTGAGCTGGAACAATTTCGCGAATCGGACGTTGTGATCCTTGGGAAAGAAGATCGAGTCGCGAGAAAGCCTCGAGAACTTGCTGGTGTTGTGTCGTTGAGAGGGACCTCGTAAAGTCCGTTGGGAGATTCTCAATTGTATCTCGAGCAGTGAGCGATAAAGGTCGTACAGAACTCATGGTTGAAACTTAACATAGCATAGTACAGTCTGAGCGAGAGCAGACGTATAACTTGTGCCATATGATCGTAACTACCTCCGGCACGACCGGCACCTATCAAATTTCAAACTCCTCGCTCCGCCCTGCCACGCCACTCCGAGATCGACCAGCCTGGCTACACCACTCGTGCAACCGTGGTAGTATTAGGCCAGGCTGGTCACGAGCCTAACAACAACCTCCTGAATCCTGATCAACTCCTGATCTTCATTCTAGAATCTAGCCTCACTCACTATATACACATGATATCAGTACTTGTGCAAATCTTTTGCAATTTAGACCATACAGTCAAACTCTTTGGAATAAACATCGTTTGAGGTGTCAGTCAACTTTCATTTGGCAATGCATTGGCTGTCGAAAGCGGTCGTTGTCAAGGACATCTGATCCTGAGCCAAAACCTCACTCTCCGACTGCCGCCCAGATCTTGATCGATATTTTCAACCCTTCGCACATAGTCATTGAACTACTCGCTAGTCGTCCGGATGCTCTGCTTAATTATCACGCGCACCTCCAACGGGGATCAAGACTGTCTATACAGATTTGTACTCTCATCTTATCAGACACATCAAATCCATTCTTATAGTACTATTGTCAATGAAGTCTGTACTCGGATGTCACAGTATACCAGCGTGTTAATCGTGATCAACTGATTGTTCAATGCTAGGCGTTATTCACAATTAGGAGTCTGACTTACACCGCAGGTATTTGTTGTCAAGAGTATGTTGTAGCTCCGAAGGGAATTTGACCGTACTACTTCTATGATACACTCTTGAGTATATAGTGAGGTGCATCTTGATATTAACTAAACCTTTGATACCTCCAAAGTGCGGCCTGCAGCAGAGCTTTTATAGGCCAATTCAATCATTTCGATCACCTGTGTCGTTTCTGCCCATTTCACCTCAAGTTCCTCGTTGTTACGGATAGCACCAGCAAGGTTCTTGAAGAGGCCAATATACTGGCCCGGGGCATCCGAAGGCCAGCTATAGGCAACCATCAGCGCCGCCAGGAAATATGAGCGAAAAGAACGATTACGTTGTCTTTGTGATCGTCACGCCATCGTCGGCGATATTTTCGACGATGCCATAGATGGACTCAGGCTCCAGTCCATAACTTGGTTCAAGGATACTGCTAACAGAGGACATCGCTTTCAACTGTTCCTCTTGGGTATCGAGGCCATACTTGGTGAACATTCCTTTTGTGCCGCGTACTGCGTAGCGTAGCTGAGGGGATTTCACTGATAGGATGTGCGAGCGGAGAAGCACGGTGAACCGGTTTGGGAAAAGAGTCCCAGGATTGTAGTGTAGATAGATAGTGAACTGCAAATACATATTGAAAATGCTGCTAGATAGCTGCAATGATATTGGACTTACGATGTCGTCAACTTCCGGTTTCGTGACACCACGGATATTTTGAATGAACGCAGTGATTTGCGCGGGTCGGCCGAAGAGTTTGAGAGCTTGGTCTAGGAGATGTGAACCGAGATCATATACTGCGCCCGCACTATCCTTCCAGGAAGACCGTATCCCTGCACGGTAACGATCATAGCTAAAGGAAGGTGAGGAAATCAAGTTAGTTTGATCAACGATCTTCCTCACTGAGACTCAAATTCCAGTAGGTTACCAAGGGAGAGAGGCGAAGAGGAAGGAAGTGAAAGCAGGCGCTTCAGCGCGAGGTGATCCGAGTCCCAGCGTCGATTTTGGTAGCCGTAGAGAACAAGGCCTTTTGCTTTGGCAATGGCTGCAAGCTCGTTTGCTTCTTTGACCGTCTCAGTCACAGGTTTATCAACGAGAACTGAAGTGGCTGAGAGCAGTTTATGCGTGGAAGAAGTATTTTGCTTACCATGTTTGCCGGCCTCAAGAGCAGCTTTGGCAAATGAGTAATGTGTGTCATTTGGGGTTCCCACAATAACAAGCTCAATTTCAGGGTCGTTCACGACCTCTTCGACTGTCCTGTGTATTTTTGTTGTAACTCCAAAGCGCTGCTGCACTTTTCCTCCGGGAGTCTGTGGGTTGCGCTCCAGGACAGCGGTAAGAGTGAAGAGTTCGGGCAAAGCGAGTACGAATGGTACATGAAACGTGAGCCCAGCAAGACCCACGCCGAGGACACAGGTCTTAATCGGAGTGAGTGCCATGAGGAGAGTAATTAAGGTATAATAGTCTTGAGATCATGTCCTCTTGAATTTTATATAGAACTTTTTGGACGGCCCGAATCTGGAGCAGGTCTGGAGTGTGACCATGATGTGAGAATGAGTACTGGACTGGGAGTTGTTAACCTGTGGCAGTCTGCGGCCCGGAGCGTCATAGTCACGTGCCTTTGCTTTACAAAGTCACGTGATTCTGGTTGAACGCGAGGCTCGAGCTGACCGTCTGACTCTTTGTCAGTTGTACATTCCGGAAGACTTTGGTGCGTATATCTCATTTCACGACTCCTCATGCGGACGCCTCTTGTTCTCGTTCTCCTTGCTTCCTCGCGGGCATTTGCCCAAGTTCCTCTTCCTGATCCCCCTTTCCTGCCTCAAAACGCTTCAGCTGGCGCGTCTCCATCCACTGCTGCTATTCCCAACGCGCAATGGTCTTCGTTGCTCGGAAATCTGCTTTACTTCTATGAAGCACAGCGCAGCGGCAAGTTGCCTAGCACAAATCGAGTCAAGTGGCGAAACGACAGTGCCCTCACCGATGGGCAGGACGTCAAGTTGGATTTGACTGGCGGGCTTTATGATGCAGGTGGTAAGTATCCCGTATATCATGCAGCTACTCTATATTAACAGTTCCGTCAGACTACATTAAATGCACTTTCCCCCTGGTGAGCTGCCTCGGCTTATGTTATATGTCACCCCTCCAACTCAGTTTCAGTCATTCACCGTGATGTCAATTTGTTGGGGTGCAACGGATTTTGGAAAAGGTTCGTGCGACATCGGGGAAATGCTCACTCGCCAATAATGTTGTGCAGGATACGATCTGGCAAACCAAACCCCTTACCTTGATGACATGCTCCGATGGAGTCTTGACTGGCTCATCAAAGTCAGTCTCGTGTTTAAGCACCAAGCAATCGAGTCACCAACTCATGATAATTGACATAGGCACATCCTGCTAACAATACTTTGTTTGTCCAGGTAGCCAATGGTAAGTGTTTGATTTGGATGTCCATTCTCCACTCACACGTGACTGCAGAAGAAGTTGACAATGCCTACTGGGGAGGCGATCGCAACATTCCTTTACCGCGTCCTTCATATCAAATCAACGACACTAGGTACTCTTGCACCGTGTATCATCGAATCATTCATTAACACAGTTTCAGTCCTGGAACGGATGCTGCTGCAGGAACCGCTGCAGCTTTCGCAGCTTGCTCCAATCTTTACGCCAACCGCATTTTCTCGAACTCTTACTCTGGCCCCGCTACACTTCAAAACGCAACATACGCTACAACCCTTCTCGAACATGCCAAACAACTTTTTACCTTTGCCACTAGCGCCTCTGGCGGACAGGCAGTATATCAACATTCCGTGCCTGAGGTAGGCAAAGCGTACGCTTCGTCCGGATATGGAGATGAGCTTGCCATTGCTGCACTCTTCTTGTCTTGGGCAACCAACTCCTCTTCGTTGTATCAACAAGCTCAAGGTTACTGGCAGCAATATAGCCTAAGCAGTTATGACGGAGTATTCAACTGGGACAACAAGACACCTGGCCTGCCTGTTCTATTTGCACAGATTGCGCAAGCAAACCCAACCTTTGGCGGCAATGCATCCACCTGGCAAACTGTGGCCGAGAAGTACTTCGACGGAATAGTTTACGGTGGTGGACCAGGATATCAAACTCGCGGTACTACAATAAAATTGTTTGCTCATTTTTCAACTAAACATTATTCAAAGGCGGACTGCTATACTACAAGGGCGACTCGGACGATGCTAGTTTAAACCCGTCGTTGAACGCCGCCATGCTGTTAACGCGATATGTACCACTGGCATCGACTCAAAGCAGGAGAAATGATTATCGGGTGAGATTTTAGTTCCGATCACTAATAATCAACGTGGGACTCAACCATCGCCTTTAACAGAACTATGCTAACGCACAAGTCAACTATGCTTTGGGTAACAATCCCATGCAAGGTGAGCATGGATAATATAATTTTATCATTTTGGCTCACTCTGTCATAGCACCCTATATCGTCGGTGCTAATCCGAACTCGCCTCAAAATCCCCACTCCGCGATGGCAAGCGGTGGCAATAACATAAGCGATATCAATACTTCCCCGCCGCAAGAAGCCTATGTCCTTTATGGGGGCGTTATCGGTGGTCCAGACAAGTACGATCGGTTCTTCGACATCCGTGCCGACTGGCCAGAAACTGAGGTTGCATTGGACTACAATGCACCGATGCTCACACTTGCCGCGATGCACGTACTCAACGATACTGCCGACCCATTCTACACATCGCTGAAAGCGGGCGCTTATGACTCCAAGAAACCGCAGGGCATGCCCTGCGATGATGCATACACAGATGGGTGCAGTGGCCCACAGTTAAGCCAGGGTGGCAAAATCGTTCTCGGGGTCATTCCTGGCCTCACTGGCCTTTCCATTTTTTCTCTTCTTGTATGGTGGGCTATGATCTCTCTTAGAAGAGCACACGACCCCCTTTATTGACCTAACTTGCTGATGCCTCTAGATGAGGCGACTTCTATTTTTGCATCATCTTTTCGATTTTGTAGCTTGATCTACTATTCCTTTGGATCAGAACATGACCTTACGACAGACATTAATGAGCAGCATTCAGACGTAGTACCCGATTCGCATTCATGTAGATATATCGCATCACTATACCCTGATGAATTTAATGACAACAGCGATATATTGTGTAGAACAATGCCTTCTATTAGACCTCGAGAACATGATCCTCTTGTTGTTCTTGACTGGCGCCCCTACGAGCGCTTGGTGGACGTAATTGGTTTAGGACCTTCTGTCCCTACGCCTTTGGGTCTCGGTGAAACTTGGCGTATGTGCAGACTTGAGACTCATGCTGAAGGATAGGTGGCAGGAAAATGAATCAAGCACAGGCCGGCACGGTGTCTAATGCTAGGTAATGCATACGCGAACATACTTTAAAGTACTGGGTGGATGGATGGCTAGTACGGGATTTTGAGGGTTATAGAGGGATTCAATTAATTATCGGTGGCTTCCTGCAACTGATTGACATAAACACGAGTCGCAGACTCATCGGCCTCGAGAGATACTACTAGTCCTAAATAGCTGGTTCAACATTCTGACGGTCAGGCCTGTAGTACTGCTAGTAGCAGTTGTTCCACCGGAGTTAGAGAAAATATGATTAAATACTGAGCTCGGGAACACTGGATGCATTGTCCCCACTGTGAGTTGCTCATGACAATACTAGACGCGCAGTTCTTTGGGAGTCGGGAACACATCCACCCACCGCTATATCATATAATTTCCCCGCGCTCCCCCAACTGGTCTGGAAGTATAGCCCCTTGTTCTTGATCAGGTGATAATATATTAGATACAATATGATTTCCCGTGGGACGGCAAGGCTGATTCGACTGCAGGAGTCGATGTATGGATGTAGACTACCCACATTAGATCTTTCCGCTATGAAGTTACGCTGTACTACGACCCACATACGACATCTCGGACATGGGAGTAAGCATAGAGCTATGCTGGTGCTGATCTTTATGCCAAAGATGGAGGTGCATGTGTGTAGCGAGGATCCCTAGAATGATGAACTGAAAACTGTATATTGGTGTATTTGTGGTAAGGGTTTGTTAGTAGGAGTGCGCAACAGGGGTTTGGTGGTTGCCTACTCTTGGAACATGGCCTTGTAGGCGTCCTAAGTTGTGCGAGAAATCTATCACTCGGTCTGAGGGCAGGGTAGGGACGCGGCACGCACTTGAAGGAACACCGACGCGAGGACGTTCACCATCGAGCACGCTTTCGGATTGAAATAATCATCAATGAGCACGGGGGTCTGTCATGTGTGTGTGCGTTAACTCACAAAAGCCGCATATATAGTAAAATATATTATGTTTTAGCAGGACGGCAAGCAGATAGTTGTTGGACACCTGCCAGGTCTGCAGGGCGCGTATGAGCGTGACGGAGATGAGTCCTGGGAAGTGCATCGATCAGCGTGCATCGTACATGGCCACCAGCTCCTCGCATACCCAGTTGTAACACAGATGAGAGAATGAATGGTACGTAGAACCCGATGCTGTCCGAGGGCTGGTAGCAGCCTGTGATGCCCGGGATCGGGCTAGTCTCAACTATCAATGTTCAATGTGAAAGGTGTGAGTACTGGTAGAATAGCAAAGGGAAGATGACAGCGAGAGCATACATGGGACAGCATGGAGAAATGCAAAGAACAGGCCAGTGGATGCTGCGCCGGCAGCCTAATTCACGCATTTATCATGAGCTTATGGTTTGATTGGAGCAGGGAACTCACAAGAAAGGCGGCCAACATGGCTGCAAGCATGAATCTATTTTTGTTCCATAATACATATGTTCTGAGGACGAAGATAGCTAGATGAATCTTATCAGAAATGCGCGCATGTTACAGGGGAAGTGGAAACACATTCAGAACAAGTGATTGATATTATGCTGAAACCTGTGAAAGGGAAGCGCAGCGCTTGACAAGGATGTGGATGCATGCATGCATGATGTACATACATGAGCAGATGTTGTCGATCATGTGGCATTTCTGGTGATGATGTGTTGTAGTAAGCGCCCAGTTCAACAATCAGTACCGCATATACACATACTTTGGGGTCCTCGTCAGGAATAAAATTCACTGAACAATGGCACAACATGCATGTGTCAATTCAAATCATCGGCAAGACATACTAGAGCTGAACGCACTATAAAGGTGGCCTGCGAATAGGAGAAAAGGTACATATCGTGCAATGATATAAAGGCACTTTATCTTAGTCCAGCGGGATTGAAGCAGGAACGTCCACTTTGAACAGCATGTTATCATCGATATCACAAACCTTGAACAAGTACATGGATATTACCTCCTCATGAAGTGAACAAGCGTAACTGTAGGTCTGTACAAGTTATTTCAACAGCGGACGGAAATCTACCAAGACAAGCTCACCCAAAATGTGGCCATCGACGCTGCGGAGCTACGTTAGGACAAGGAAGAGGCAGTTCAAACAACACGCACTATATATGTACTGGTCACGGCAGCACAAAGATGGTGCATTATTATAAACGATCCTCGTATTAAGTACAAAAAAGACGCACAGTGGAGGTCCGGAGACTGCCGCTCGCTGCAAAAGTGTCAGCTGAATATTCAGACTCCATCATGATTGACTCGAGAGGCAGAAGACAGGTTTTATGGACAAGGGATGCACGACGTGATGTACCATATATATACACATACATGATGCACAGGATAATCGATCATCAGCAAGGCAATCATGATGCCAACGGGCAGTATCAAGTTGAATTTGAATTTTATATTTGGCCATCTACGCTCACATAAGCTCCATCAACAAAAGAACAGTAACTTCGCGTGTATGGCTGGTTACTGCCTTTTATGGCTTACAAACCCTGGTAGATGGTTGTATGAGATTGTAGCACATATGCAAGTAGTAACAGACACGTGTAAGATGTAAAACTTGTACCGGAAGGGTACGAAGCTTGTAAAGTAACTAACAGAAGTGCGGAGGTATGCATGAGGATCGTAGCATGTATGCAAGCCATAGCAGATATGGGCGAAATGTAAAGCTTGTACACGAAATGTGCGAAGCTTGTACAGTGATTAACAGAAGTGCAGAAGTATGCATCATCAAGATTGCATGTATATGTCATGCACATGTATATATACTAGCTATAGGTCTTATATACATATGGTGATTGGTCTCATGCATATGCATGCATCATGTACCGATCCAAGATGTGCCGCAGTTTGACCACGAATTCGGCCGACAGCAACTTGACACGTACGTTATAATTTTTGCCAAGTCCTTTACCTAGGACCCCGAACTCGAAGCTTGAGCTTGAAGTTCCGACTTCGAGATCCGTCCGTCTCTAAGACTTTTCTCACATAAGTGCCACCCACACGGTGGGCCACACCGTTACCTCTTTCCCGCCGCGAGTGTTATGTTCTAGCTAATAATGTTCCCTCACCAGCTGCCGTCGCCCTCGTAAGTCCTTTTATGTTTTTCTCTTAATATCAATAGTAGTACTACTCAGAGACTCTTCCTTGCATTGCGCTGCTTACCACACCCTACTGTGACAGCCTACGCCCTGCCGCTGCCACCTCTTGCATTTTGTCGTCCCTCACTGCATCTCTTGCACCCTTGCGTCATTCGAGTGAGTTTATTCCCACATTTACCTGCTAGCTAGCATCTCCCGCACTCAACTCTACGGTAATTTCTTCTTGTTTTGTTCGCTCCCTAAGCTAACCAAAGCTCGTACACATGTAAGTTCTATCTTTTCTTTTTGTCTTCTAACTTTGGTAGCCTTCGGCATCCCCCCGCATCCTCTGAAACCTTCCTCCACCCTTTTGCACCATCTCGCACCATCCCTGCATGCTCTCGCACGTTCTTGATCCCTCTCGTGTGCTCTCATACTGTCTAGCGCTGTCACGCGTTATTGTGTGCCTTTCACTTTCACTTTTTCCCTTGTCTCTGCTGGCTCACATCATACACATGACTACCTTTGCATCGTCACTTTCATATTCAGTACTTTCCCTTCGCATATTCGTATCTCTACTTACTACTTTACTTCCGTGCTCATTGCCTATAGCCCAGTGTACTGTAGCTACTACAGTGCAATTTGATGTGGCCATTATCGTGATCAAACAGAGCCTACAATTATCGCACAATATGGTGACAAGACTAGTAGGAGTATGTGTATAAGTTCATTACCCGCACAAGGGACTGCCAGGAAGCACAATTGTCACAACAATTGTAGTGGCATGTATCGAATTTCATCACCTAAACAAGGATCTACCGAGTGATACAAATATAACAAGGCCGGTAATAGTATGTATAAAACCTCGCTGCATGCACGGACTTATATGGAGACTGACAAACTCAACACATGTCTGTCATGTGTTTGTGGGGATGGTAGCAATTTGTGCACCTTGTACTGGCTGTTACTGGCTGTCACATGGGATGTACGGTTGTTGTGTTTTTTATGATGTCAGGTTCCTCGATGGCTCAACTACCAATGCAACAAAAACCTCCGGAATTAAAGCAAAGCTCGCAAACTTGTTGGTAATAGGTATGCATAAGTCTCCAAAGACTTATATGCCACCTTATCAGAAGGAACGGCATTCAGAGACCTTATACGTCGTTTGTACTCGTTGGCCAACTGCGGGTATCACATGTACATCATTGATTACAGCTGAATGCTGTAGATATCTCAAGCGGATGCAAAAATTTCCTTTCATGTTGGTACCCGAAAGCATTTTGAATACCGCAAGATACGCTTGATAGTCTGTGGTAACGACAGTGCTGCACACTATCAAGCGTATCGCCAGTCCAATTGTTCGAGCCATTATCTTTGCCTTTTGTTTGGGTAAGTATCCTTTTGGTGATGGGGTGATGAATTGCCTCAGGGTTAGGGTTTTATAGCCTGAGGGCACGAGCCATGGAGAGCCCAGCGGTTCATTCCCAGGCTTGGTCAGCAGAGTGTCAGCATCCCTCCGAGTCTTGGTTCAAGTCCAGCCACCCTGTCCACTGTTTATGCGTGCCTAGATATGACAGATAGTACCTGAAGTTACTAGGTGATCATGAACTTATGCTGTGTATAACAAGGCCTTCTAATACACTTCCAGAACATACCGCTCTTCTTCCTTAAGACTCATCAGAAATTCTCCCGCACTCTCCGAGGTATGTCCCTCGTTCTTGACCAGCGCACCTACAAGTGCTTCGTATACGTCAGGTACAGGCCAGGTTGGGCCACAGAGGTAGAACACCCCCTCCTGATTCTTCAACAGGGATGCGAGAACAGTAGCGTCCTCCAGCATGAGGTGTTGGATGTACACTTTTTTGGGTCCATCTCGAGAAAATGCAAGTCCAGCTTTTGTTATCGTACCGTCCAGGATATACGCTTCTATCTCTTCACCGTAGAGATATTCTTGATGTTGATGCCGCGAACCGAAGTAATAGTAAGTGGGTCCTACAGGGATGCCTTGATGAGCGAGTAGAGCGCGATGCTGTAGAAAGGCGCGGAATGGAGCAGCTCCAGTGCCAAGACCTGCCATGATGATGGGCTGCATATTATCTGGCGGAAGCTAAAAAAGAGTACGTCAATGGTGGAGTCGCGGTTGACGAGTCAGTCAACACATACCTTCATAACACTGGGCTTGATGGAAACGGTAACCTTCTGTCCAACCTTGAGACCGGCTAGATACCTAGTACACTGTCCATAACGAAGGGCGCCTAAAAGATCTGCTCGTTAACATGAAAGAAATCGATTCAAAAAACGCATACCGTTTGGCGCGGTCCATTCCACGGTCACCACTAGCAAATCGACTCGATTGCCCACCACACTCTGCGCGCTTGCAATGCTGTAGTGCCTGGGTTTGATTTCTCCAATCATCTCACATAAAGTCTCAATGCCTGGCTTGGCGCTGGGATATCGTTGCAAGACCTCGGCAAATGTGACAGTGTCTTTCTCTCCCAGCTTCTTGAATGTAGATGACCCTTCGGGTGCGCCGATAAATTGAAGCGTCAGTCTATCAGCAGGGCTAGTAGCATATGCAGCTAGCCCAGAGTAAAACGACTTTGGCGGCCGGCCAAAGAGGTCGATCTGCTGCTGAAGCGCCTGGAAGGTAGTGCGAGTGTACATCTTCCCTTCGTTTGCAGCCACTGGGATGGTGATCAATCGCTCGGGATCGACGCCATACCATTTGCAGAAATCAAGAACTTCCTGTTCATCATTCCACCCATGCACGCCCAAGGCCTCTCCAATAGCGTACTTAAGGCCAGTGCCCACCGTGTCGAACTCCAGGTGGAAGACGTTCCTGTCGTATTCCAGAGGAGTCAAACGGCGATTAACCGTGCAAGTTACCAGATAGGTGTGCTCAGGTACCTCTGGTCGCAGAGAAGGATCCTGAAGGTACTCTTCAACTTCCTCCGAGGGGGGCGTCGGAGGTGTGAAGACGGATGGGAACAGAAGGTGCTTGGCAGCATCATGCCACGAAGAAACTTTCGAGCCATTTATCACAGTCTGGCCATCATCAGTCTCCACAGCAATAGCATTAAACTCAAACTGCTTGAGAGGAGAGGGAGGCTTTGCATCACCCTCGTCCGCCGCCGGAGGGATATGCAATTCGACCTCTTCGAGAGCAGCCCAAGAGCTGGCACTAATCTTCGCGAGCTGGCCACCCTGAATCACCTCCAATGCGACACCTTCTGCAAGCTTGCGAACGGCAGGCTCACTGGCGGCTTTGCCGAGGTAAAGCCTCAGAACTGCAAGATAAACAACCACTCTTTGCACAGCGTCCTGAGCTGCCCCAATTTCTGCTCCGAAACCGGACGAGACAGCTTTGGCGTCTAGGGTAAAGATCCGGAGTTTCTTCTCAACCGCTGCTGACAATACAGCGGCGGGTAGGTTGTACGGTAACTCAGAGGACCATGAGGAAATGACGAGTACTATTGCCCCAGACTTGGCTTGATTGAGCAATGAGTGGGACTTCAGCAGATTCGTATCTAAAATGCAAAGGAAGTCTGCCGTTCCTGTGGGAAACTCTGCAGCCATAGGAAGAATTTCTGTGCCCTCGCTGCGTGGGGAAAGAACAATCTTGTCCGCAGTGATGCCTCCCAATTTGCTGAAAATGTCATGGTCGGTAAGGAGGCGGGCAGAAACCGTGCTCGAAAAAGAATTCGCCACAGTCTGGGGGAGAGGAGTGAGATCGGACTTCGGGGTACTGAAGAAAAGAAGTTTCCTGGTTAAAGATGCGTCTACGTGTGTCGCAGCAGGAACTTGGTGTGAGAGTTCAGTAAGGAGGGTCGAGAACTGAGCAGGATCTGAGAGGAAGGATGATGTTCTTGTGGGTGTCACCCGGTGAGCTCGCACACGCGGCCCTGGAGAGTTAGGGCCATACAACGACCCAAAGACATCGACGAATAGGCTGCCTTGGCAGAGTTCATTGGGTACGTCGTCAAAGACATGAACCTCTTTCACAGTGTCAGGGAGACCTTGCTTAAAGGCATCACCGTCCCATGGCCTCAACACTCTGACAATCACGACACCAAGACCACTAGTGCGAGTCACAATGGACTTCGCCATTAGTGCCAAGGGCCCATTCAACAAGACGACCACCGTCTCTGCATTTGAATCACCAACGTAATCGAAAAACTGATATCCAGACCACCGAATGAGTTCTGGTACACCAAGAGCAGGTGTGTCCTTGAGCTGAAGAGTGGGAACAAAACTGTGGCCACTTTCGCGGGAGATGCCGTGGTGATCGAAGATATGAACAACGTGGGAGGACGTAAGCTTGTACGAAAGTGCGGCAAGATCTATAGACTCCTGCGGGGTAGCAGATAAGAGGACAACAAGATTATCGGGAAGGATGGTGAAAGTTGCAGAGAGGGATGCCAACGTCGGGGAGAGTGCGAAGCTTGGACCGACAGTGGTGACTGCCGGGACCTGGATAATCAGCCTACTGTTACTGGTAGCAGGGGGCAAATATGCCAATGATTCAGCCATTGAGGCGAGCCCAGCAGGTGTAGTGTAAGCAGTGAGAATTGCTCCCTGCACCAAATCCTGGCTACTGCCTTCGGAAAGCCGTCCGACGAGGCTAAGACCGGCGCCTGCCCTCGTCTGGAGGCTAATGACTGGCGCAGTTGACTCCATGGTCGACGACCATGTTTTAGTCAGTGTTCCAAACCCTACTTGTTCAGCGACATCGTAAATGTAAACAGCAGAGCTGGTAGTTGAACGAGACGCGATTAGTTCGATGATGTGAGATGCTGGTTTACTGAATACGCTAGCTCCTTGAATAGGCGAGCCCTTGGGGTCCTCCGTAGGAGTACCAATGAGCGTTGCCGCTGCCGACAGCGGTGTCGTTGTGCCAGAGAAAACTTCGATAGTCATATCCGAGTTCAAGCTGACAATTCGGAGAACGTCGGTCTGTATTTCTCTGTGGGACTTCGGAAAGCGTCGGAGTCAATGGTGCAAGATGGTCGTGATATCACACCTTACCCGGTCACGTGGTGACCTTGCAGTATACAAATAGGATCAGCATGAGTGATTCAGAAGTGACATTACTACATAATCCAGAGAGGACATCGATTACACACTCATGATACATCGCTGCAATCGTTACACCCGAATGGTATTGAAGAGACGATCTCCCTGCGAAATATCTCGCAAATGTCGACTAAAGACAATAGTGAAGGACTCACGCTGTCGCCCAATCCAGGAGTTATGAGGCCGTCGGATGTGAGGGTTGGATCCACGGCTGCTACCCAGATCTAGAATATGTGTGTCAAATTTGGAAATGAATCGGGGAACAACAAAAGGAACGGAACCTCTAATTCAGGATATTCAGCGTGCACATGATTGAGTCCTTCTTCTGATCCGAGTACAGCCAGCAACTTAATCTTTGATACTGTCAGACTGTAAGCAGTGCTTCACTGTCATGTAACGTAACGCTCTTACTAGGAACTCCCCAGTCTATGATCATGGCAAGGGCAGCACATGCAGTGCCTCCGGTGGCAACCAAAGGATCGAGAATGAAACATGTGTCTATCGGAGGGACTGGAGGGAGTTTCGAATAGTCTGCCACGGTAATCAGCCCACATGTCATACGGGAAATTGACTTCAAATCTCACATTCGACTGGTTGAAGGCTGACCTTCTCTCGGTAGAGTCCAAGATGGTAGACTGCTGCTGTCCTACACGGCATGTCCGTTGATACATCAGAAGGTACAATGAAGTTGTATATCCGATCACATACGGGAAAAGGGACAGGAGTGCGTCTGTCATGCCCAAGCCAGCACGCAGAATGGGTGTCAACCCAACCTTAGGCTTAATAGTTGTACCTGTGAAAGGACCAACTGGTGTTTGCTGGATAGTTTCATTAGCACACAGGAAATTAAGTCGTTAGCACGCATCCGCAGAGAGACCACGCACACCTTCAAAGGACTCTTCTTCCAGATCGCGGGAAGCTTCGATGCCTAAGATCAAGCTGATATCATGGATACCCTGCCTCGAACGCTTTGATTCCCTGACCACTTCACACAGCAGCTGTTGCTCACCTCTCGAAAATCCTTTGAATTTGTATTAGTCTGCCGCAATTGGGACAATCGTGCATTCACCAAAGGGTGCGAGAGAACATGGCGCCTTGTGTTGGACATGGTTGTTCAGTACAGATTCTGTGCCAAATGTCGTGCCACACGTTCAATTGCGGCCAATTTACATAAGAGTGGATTTGGCTATAGGCCAATAGATAGGACTTCGCTACTTGAGACTACGGAAACGAGAGTACTATCCTCATCTTCTCTTGTATTCGCAAGGTTTTAGGACGCCACCATTCGACATCACTTTCGACCACTCTTTATCCGTCCTCGATGTGCGAGCTATTTTCTTGAATTCAAACAATGTAAAATGACTGTTGTGATCGTCCTGAATTGTGAAGAGACTCAGTCTGAACCATCGTATACTGTGGGCGCGCTTTACCTTTGCTCTCATTTTGAATCCGATAGAGCTAATTAACGACACGAATTCATCCACGTCGGTAAAGCGACTGGCAACTTCCGCAATTTTCAGCTCCCCCCTAGATCAAATTGAACACGCCAGGCGTTATGTGACAGCGCAGAACGTACCCAGGTTTCAGAACCCTCCATGCTTCCCGGATGCACACAGGCCAGTTGGTTCCCATAAGACTAAGGGCACACACAACCACATCCACAACTTGCGCTTCACCTTCAGATATCAGAGACGATGAAGGCTCAGAACCTGGAAGAGGCACATGTGAACATATGTCCGCCGCCACAATATAGGCACCGTCTGATATTAGGTCAAATGACAGTACTTTCAGCTTCTTTGGATGAAGGCCGCGAGCAAGCGTGGCATCCCCGCAGCCGAGATCTGCTATGATTGTGTTTTGAGGGTAGGATGACAACTGAGAAATGTAATGTGACACAGGATTTGATGGCCATGACTGCACCTGGTGTCGAAAGCCGGAATGATACTGCAAACAGACGTGTATGACAACTCTGTTGGAGAAATGATGATAGAAATACACACATCATGAAAGACCGCTGGGTCTTCTTTCATCATCCTCACCGCCTCTGAGCTGTCGGATTTGTAGAGCAATTCATTTATCCACCTGCACCGTGACCGTTTGTGATATGCATTAGAACATCGTGTATCAGAATACATACCTGAAGCGAGCGCCATCAAGACTCTCTTTCATGCCCTTCTGCAAACTTGTGAGGCCCGAGACTTCATCAGTTGTGGGCGAAACGTTTTGTGGCTGTTGCTCAAATTTTCCACCATCGTGCTTCAAGCTCTTCTTTTGCTTTATCTTCTTGCGCAGCCCTGATTCCCCTTTCATTGTTTGTTTGACTGCGCTCCCCTTAATGGACCCACCAGGGGGGGATGAAACTTTCTCCTTTCCCTTGTTAGAGGTTGCGTGTTCAACCTTGGCGTCCGGCCCCCCTGTGGTCTTTCCGTGATTCTTCTTTTTCTTCTTGGGCCCTTGCTTATCCTCCTGGTGTTTTCCAACACTTGCGAGTTTTTGCATAAGCTTGTCTAGGTTGACTTCGACAGATTGCATTTTATCAGCATCTTGAGCTACGGGTCGCTTGCGTTTCTTGGAAGTCGACTGTGCCAATTTTGAAACTGGAGCAGTAGGCACAGACCATCCAGGAACCTCGAATAGCGCCATCAGAAGTAGTATGGGATACGGAGTATACAACTGCCCATGCTGAGTACTGAGTCCTGTCTTCAACTCCGCGAACTAGTTTGATCCCGATTCGATCAACTTTCGTAACTCGCAATTCAATCGTTCGCGCCTCGAGGCTACAGAATTTTGTGATAATCAAGTGAATATCCCTACCATCAGACAGGGATTCTCAGGCTGCACATCAATCCTCTCGATTTAAATTGATGGGTGATCCGCGCTTCACCACAACTCGCGGATACGGCGAGGAGGACACTCGGACGCGGCATGTAACTTAGGTTTTTCCTACATCATCAGGATCACCCACACAGCATGGATAGGCTCTCCACGCTCGACCTCGTGCCTCGCACCCTAGAACGAAACACGCGGCAGACAACCTGGAAGCTTCTTAACAGAAGCATGTGATGCTTATTTACTTACTGTCTTGGTTTTATCTCGAATCACCCAGATTCTCTCCAGCATGTCTACCAAAGGCAAAGAGAAGATGACATCTACGGCGACGGACCGCATCGATGGGACGCCGCCAATTAACGACGGCGTATTCAAGCAGTTTATTTCGACTCGCAGGATGCAGCCAAGCCCAGCGTCTTTTGCTTTTATTGTAAGCGCTCGTTTCGATCTCATTTGCAGTACGTAACTTTGCAATGTCAGCCAAAGCCTCCTCCTTCGCCTTCTATTTCTGCAAATCGAACCAACGGCAATACTCCGCAACCGAACAATTCGCACATATCTCTTGCGCGACAAACATTGGTTTGGCAAATCCTTTTCCATTGACAAATATAAATTCATGGATTCTTGTCTTTACCAGTCTGGCACTCCCTCCCCACGTACGTGACACATCTCAACAATGCCAATTCTAATAACTCAAACACAAGCTACGCGATCAGGGGAGGTAAGCATACGCACTACCATTAAATAATGATCTAAGAGAAGTGCTCTTTCAGCTAAATGGGCACTCGGTCACAAACCTCAGCAGTGCCAGCACAGTGAGTGTACTCGCAATCATATGCACATTGAAGCATTTTCACTGAGGCTCTGGCAGCGCTCTGGGGCTTCCGTCGCTACTCGGGATCCTGCCCATGTAGGCGTCTTGTTAGTGTAAATTCTGACTGACTCATATGTGTCCTATGTCAAGGAGGAACTAGAACTTCTCCATGATAGCATCAGTGATGTTCGGGGAAGAAGCAAGGATCACGAACTTCGCACAGCCCCAATCATAACCCGCGATGCATATATTGCGGCAGGTTATCGTGAGGGCGCCACTCAGTACGGCGTCTTAGGCAGTATTCTGTCCATCCAGTAAGGCAACCCGTGTTTTTTGCATTCATAGACCGAGTACTGATACTCTTGCAGCAATAAAAATAATGTTCCATACAAGCCGGTGAATCCTCAGCTCTATGTGAACACGGTATGCAACTCCTTCATGTAAAACGCGTGTCCAGCGTTTTCTCATTTTTTTGCACCCCCAGAATGCACCCTTCTCTGCTGTGGTCTGTGGGGTTCAGGGCTCAGGGAAGTCTCACACAGTTTCTCTGCTTCTCGAGAGCATGTTTGTTCCGAACATGCGTTCTACTGGCACCCTACAAAAACCACTATCGGGGCTCGTTCTCCACTTCGGAGAAGGAGGTCCTAGCTCTCGACCTAGTGAAGCTGCATGGATCAGTTCGTCCCACACCCCCGGTGTACAAACGCCATCAGTCAAAGTTTACGTTTCGCGTTCTTCTCTGAAGACCATGAGGGCTGTCTATGCGCCCTTGGGTGACGGGGTCACTGTTGAACCATTGTTCTTCAGTCAAGATGAGTTGGATGCACAGGCATTTCTGTCCATGATGGCTGTCGGCTCCTCCGAATCAGCTCCGCTATATATTCAGGGTATTTTGGTGCGTATTTCTCTTTTGAGTGACTTTCTTTGACACCACTATTCCTGTAGTCGATTCTCCGTGACCTTGGGGAAAACTTCACTTACCCCGAATTCATGCGGCAGTTGGATGTGAAGAAGGAGTCGTTCAACAATATGCAGCTCGCAGGTCTCGAGCAGAGGATGGCGCTGCTCACATCCTTCATGAACCCAAACATGAAACCGCAGACCCGCTTTGCAGAATCGCAGCTCACGATCATTGATTTATCAGACCCGTTCATCGACCCAGCGTCAGCATGTGGGCTGTTTGAAATCATCACACGTCTATTTGTGAGAGCGGATGTGGGGACCGGGAAAGTGCTAGTAGTTGATGAGGCCCACAAGGTTTGCACTTTGAAATTGGACTGTTTGTTGTCATTGACGATTTGGTTGGAACAGTACCTGTCGCCAACGAAGGGCTCCTCTGGCTTGACTAAGTCTCTCCTGACATTAACCAGGGAACAACGTCACCTAGCCATGCGCGTTATCATCAGTACACAAGGTACTCGGCGCTTATATCTTCTTCATGTCAGATCCTCACACCTTATCTGCCAGAACCTACGGTCGTGCCACCCGTTCTGCTTGACTTATGTACTGTCGCAATTTTGCACCGGTTCTCCTCCCCATCGTGGTGGGAACATCTGGCAAAGCATGTATCAGCCGACATATCAGCAGAAGACGCCTTTGATCGCGTTGTTAAACTGCAGGTGCGTTGTCGAGCTCAATATATGGTACTGTGATTCAACCTGATATCGCTACTCAGACAGGTGAAGCGATTGTACTTGCGCCCTCTGGCCTGGGAGTATTCCCAGATATACCCGATGCTGCCAGGACGGGATATGTAGTTCCGGTGCCGAAACTCGGACAATTTGGTCGCCGCTACGTGCTCGTGAAAACTCGACGCAGGATAACAAGAGATGGCGGAGCCTCAATACTCGTGGTTGACGACTGAGTGGTGCAAGGGCCCTGGACTTATTGGGATAATTACGCGGAGCGATGTTGACAGAGGGCTTGTTGTTCCCACTCTTGCAGATGACAATGATTAGCACATATTTAGTTTACGTTTGTTGAGGTGTACCAATACCATGAAGATGAGCCTTTGCGTGTAATACAGTGCAGTGTTTATGAAGTACAGATGTATGCATGCGGCAGGTACAACAGTTAAAAGAAACAACAATGTAGCATGTATGAGACAACTAATTATCAGTATGTGCCAGTATGTGCGAATGTTTCATGCTGGAAAAGAATGCAGGGCTAAACCGATTGAAAGCAAAGGTATTCTATGCTTGAAGATATTATACTGATTGATGAAAGCAGGCAACTCAGTAGGGATTGGTTGAAACGCGGCGAAAGGCTATGATGGAAATGAATAAGTGGTATCCAAGTCTGCAAGCCATCCATCAACATACATCCCAGGGATGATAAAAAAAACAACGTGCACGTCCGACATCATCAGACGATCCGCATAGGACTTCCAGGCGGAAACGAGTAATCATCTATGTGGACAGCATGCGATAGTGGACTGGATTCCGCCATACCAGGTCCTGTCATCTTTCTATTGCGACGACCAAGTAGGGTTGCGTTGTCCATATCTAACTGGAAACCTTGGCCACCAGGTTGACGGCGGCCGCGATCTCTTGGGCCAGCGCGACCGTCCAAAAGACTGCGATCTGCTTGGTTAGGTCCACCAATGACATTGCGCTTTGCGACGGTCTTCGCCCCGGCGCCAGGTAACCCACTGAGCGGTATTGGTGCACGCATCTCAAGCTCCCCTCTCCTGTTCCGTGCATCGTGTACGAGGACTTTGTCGTCGACGTTGTCTTCCTCGTTCTCATTAAGTCCATGCAGGTATCCTCGGATACCGGCACCGCCGCGACCATTGTATGCACGCCTACGTGCACCTTCTTCTTCCATACGGTGGACTGCATAGGTAATGTCGAATGCTTCCTTGAGCGTTGCAAGACCAGGAGAACGAGCCTCTAAAACGCCACCACGAGCAGCGGTAAGCAGAGGAGAGTCAAGCGGAGGAGAGTTGACATAAACAGGAGTGGGTGATACTGGTGGAGGGGCAGGAGCGGCAGTGCACCACGGGTGGGCAAGGAACTCATCTATAGTATATCTCTGCGCAGGGTCCACGCATAACAAATGTTGAATGAGATCCTTCGCTGAGCACCAATCAATAATCGTATTTTGGATAAAAAGTTCGAAAAAAATACCAGAATGGGTGATGTCATCCCACCACGGACTCAAAAATGTGTAATATCCTCGCGCGACCTTCTCTGTTAAGACGTTGATACTCTCATCGTAGAACGGCGGGAATCCGCAAAGAAGAGTGTAAAGGACGCAGCCAAGTGCCCACATGTCCACACTTTGTGAATAACGTTCATCCTTGACGATTTCGGGGGCGGTATAGCCAACAGTTCCGCATGGCGTCATCGTTTCTTCGTTCCAGATCACTTTCGATAAGCCAAAATCTGCGATCTTGATTCGCCCGATTCCGCCTCCACCAACGCCTGGGACAAATTCGCCTTCATCCTCCTTTTCCTCGTCATACGGACGTTGTACGGAACCTTTTGAAGGAATGATAGGTATCCGTTCGAATAACAGATTTTCCGGTTTGATATCCCTATGACAACTGAATGTCAGCGAACGTCATTGCTCCACAAAAAATGCAGATACCGATGTACAACACCACGTTCCTCGTGAAGATAACGAATACCTTGTGCAACCTGGAGAATCACGTGTCTTGCTAAATTCTCACTGAAATACGTCAATTTGACGATCTGGTGGAACAGCTCCCCGCCCTCCATGACTACGTGCGATTTTGAGTTACTGACACAGGAAAGATCGCAATCACACATACGTTCCATAACCAGAAAATAGTGTTCTTGTGATTCGGAAAATGAGATCAACTTTACGATCGATGAGTGATTTGTTCCCCTCATGATTTGCACCTCTGCAATCTAGATCAGTGCCGGGAATGATCAAAACAACATGACACGCCTACCTTTCAAAATATTGGCTCGCTGCATGAAGATAGCACAGTTAGCGATATGTGGAACCGTTCAATTCCGAATGTCACCTCTGTTACGCGCGGCTTTTTCTTGAACTGAATATTGAGATGTTTTTCGCCGGCCTAACAGAGGGACAACAAGACACAAGCAATGTAGGAGTGTCATGAACCGAAGCCGATAGGTGGGACAGGAGTTGTGTGGAGGACAATGTATGTGAACTATGTGAGGGGCGGGGGTATGCATCTACTTACCTGCGAAGCATTCAACTCAAATTTACGAACGACTTTCACTATGAAAAAGTTTATCAGCCAGTTATAACAGGAGAAAAACCAAAGAAATAAACCTGCGACTGTCTGCCCAGTTGTTAGATCCATTGCCTTGTAAACATTTGAAAATGCGCCACTAAATAAAAAGTCAGACGTTAAATATTTAGCACAGTGACAGATGATATGACACTCACTCTCCCATCTTATCCAATAGCTTGAAGTTCTCCAAGCCTTTGTAGGTGGGCAGTTTGTTCTTTGGCTCTCGATCCTCAGGAACGGGGGTGTTGATTTTTTGATGCCGGGTGTCAGGTACGGGCTCAGGCTGAGGTATATTCTCAGGCTGTTGTTGCTGCTTGTCAGGCTGCTGCTGTTGCTTCTCAGGTTGATGCTGTTTCTCAAGTTGCTGATGTTTCTGAGATTCCTGTTCAGCTCGCAGCTTAGCCTGCTGCTGCGACTCCTGTTGTTGTTGTCGATGCTGAGGCTGGTGATTTGACTCTGGCACAGGCGCCGTGTATGGTTGGGGGTCAGAGTCAGGATGCCGATGGTGATGATGTTTGCGGATGAGATCTGGTGAGAGTTAGATGGCTGCCTTCCCGAATAGAATAAAAACGAAAAACATACTCTTGAAAGCGTCTACGACAGCTGGCATGGTTGTAAGAATAGTGGACTGGGAATAATGAGTTGGCGGTACGGAGTGCGTCCGACAGAAGCCTTTTTGTCATTCCAGCCTCTCAAGTGACGTCACTTGTAGCGACTCCAGTCACGTCACTGCCTTTTGCCTGATTTGTATTAAAATAGCGCATGACTCTATTTGCCCCGAACTGCGCTGCTAATAAGTATAATATTAAAATATTAAAATCATAAATTGCTTCAAGTAATGTTTCCACTAGTACTTTCCACGTCCCGATCCCAAGAATCCGCTCGATCCCTTGGTGGGGTATGAACAAGTAGCAGATTTCGTGCAGGAGAATACCCTGCCAAGCTCACCGTGCTTGGTTTATTCCTGAGCACCGGGGTCTCGCGCACAGCTCTCGGTATTATAAGAGCCGGGCGACTTCGTGCATTCAATGAGCCCACAGGAACGCCCCGCACGCTTCCACTCGGTGCGATTTGCTCGCCTGTGTCGCCTGTTTGTCTGCTAACCTCATTGGCGGGGTGCCCTACTTCTTCGCGATTGTTCCCATTGGCCCACGCTATGATGAACACCCCCGCGAATGTCGCACCACATCCATACGTAAATGTGACCATCTGGTGGAATGTGGCCCGTTGGAAGTCCTTGTAGAGGACAGCGGATCCGATAACGGCAGACAGCGTGAACAGCACAAATTGCGTAGGTATGACAATTTTGGAGTCAAAACGCTTTAGCGCACGGTTCAAAAACCGGATTTGGAGAATGCCTGTGATGAGTAGAACCTAAAGAGGATCAGCACATTAAACGGAATGAAAAGCGACGCTAAGATACCGCAAGGACAGGATAAGTTATCCACTCCGCAAATATTTTACCCCATTCTTGCGTCAGCAACGTGGAGATAGCCTTAGTTGCTAGAACTGTGAATCCACCTGACGCTGTTATGAGCTCATATTTGGTGTGATTCAAATTGACCTCACCAAATATTGCACAAAGCCCGACGTCAACAACCACAATTCGCCTACCGAAACCACCTTCGCTGAGCCCCGCTAGCACCACGGCCCCTACTAGGTATATAATAGTGAATACTACAAACGAACGTTGTGATATAGCTGCAATCAGGGCCTCTGGTGTAAGGGGCGGTGGTGGACCTCCATCAGTGGAAGGCGTAGAAAGAACGACAGTGATCGCTCCTATCATTGCGCACAAGATTCCAGCGAGATCATGCTGAAAACAATCCCATAAACATGATTCGACAGCAGCCCAGGTACAATCTTACCACGCGAAAACGCTCTTTCAGAATGAGTGGAGCGAAAAAGCAGTTAGCAATGAGTGCGAACTGCAATATGAATCAGTAAAGATGGAAACAGCTAACAGAATATACTGACAGTGCCTAGAGGAGCGACCACAGAGGCTGGTGCAAACGCATAGGATATGAAGTTGCCCGCTTCTCCAATGTTCATTAAAATGAATCCAGACCACCTGAAACCATATTCGGTTATCAGTGACAGTACCTTCTAGAATCACATCAAGAACTAACCATATCTTCGAACGTAAGTAGTCACTCTCCGTACCTTCTTCTTCCCAGAGCTCAGGTGAGGGAGGTGCTCGCCTGTCATTGCCGTTCAGTGCAACTATGCGTTCTGCTGGGATCACGTCTACTGGAATCGCCAACGTTTCTTGGGTATGTGATACATCTTCATTAACGCCACCGGGCTGGCCGAGGTGAAATGGAATAAAACGCGATACCAAGCTGGAATTCCTTGAAGGCTGTCCCGGCCTCCGTCCACGCGCTGAAGAAGTGCTCTTCCTGCTCCTCGAATCATCGCGTCTAGTCCCAGGTGAGGTACTAGTGCCATAGCGTGCACGTGAATGACTGGCAGAAGAACCCTGGATCAAGGGCTGTGTCTCGGACTCATGAGAGCCAGTAGCGGGATCGCCAGAAGGCCTCTGATCGTGTGGTGTTCTGGAACGCCGTGCATCGCCCGATATATGTAATTCGCGTTCCATCCTCGCCTGTTTTTGAGCTTTTTCGAGTCGGATATGTGCAAGCTTTTGTAAATTAAGCGCAAGCGAGATAAGCACGTTCCCCGCAATGGCTACCGTGATGCCGATGCCAGTCTGCAACGTGAGGTGCGGCAGGTCAATACCCGGCTCATCTATGCTGGCCATGTGGTTTTTGCCCTTGAACCATGATGATAAGTCCATGTCCGCAATAACTCAAAGACGAACAACAGCCTAAGAGCAGTCTAGAGTCAGGACAACATGGCCAACATCCCCTTTACTGTCAGTGAACTAGCCAATTCGATAATAACTAAATTACTGACGGAGGAGAGTCGGTTGGGGGTATCGTCAGCCGGCCTACAGGTCGTCTGCAACTGCAGACTCTACGTGTCAGACGTCGTGCACAAGCGCTGCAACACGATTAAGTTAAGGTTAGTCGGGAGTCATTCATGGCTAGGATAAGTACTTTTATGATCGCACGTGTTTGGAAGGTCATTCGCACGTTTATTAGTTACAATGCACACGTCGCGCTTTGAGGTGCAGAGTTTCATTCCGTCAGCGAGCTACTAGTACACCCGGTCACCCCGTGCTATATCAGCTTCAGCTTTACTGTATTACTCCACCCTATATTACGCTCTTTTCAATTAGTCGACTCGCGGCCATACAATGCGCGCGCAGCATTCTACTCACCCACTTCCCGCGTTTCCAGTGTATTCATGTGCGTTCGTGGCCTCCGACCAGATGGTCGTCGGAGGCGGAGGTGGCGCTGCCAAGACTGGGATTAAGAACAAATTGGTGAGTAACTGGAACTATATTCAAACTTACAGTCTGACGTATGTGGGGTAGAGGTTATTCAATGTCTCTCAAGACAGACAGCTTAAAATGCTCTCTGAGCATGAGCTTGAGAAAGGCGAGGACGCCCCTATGAGTATTGCAGCTCACCCAGAGGTCTGTCACACTACTTTTTTGACGGTGAATAAGGTTCTCAAACATCCATAGAGCAGAAGCTTTGTCTGTGGAATTAATAGTTCCGAAGAACGCTTAAAAAGAGATGAAAACGAGAATTGCAGGGTGTTTTCAATTAGTGATTCTGGAAACGCGTACGATCTATCGCGTTTATGTTTACACAATTTTGACCATTCCTTACAGCCTAATTAAAGGAGCTACACGGGGTACATTGCCCTCAGGAGCGCTTGAGGACTACCAGGTAGCTCATTCTTTGTTGAACTTACTCTATATCTTACATAGACAACGCAGCGTGTAACCGTCATATCACCGGATGGAAAACTCCTGGCAGTGGCCGGCGAACGTGATGTAAAAGACAGCACTATTGTTGTTTGCATGGACTAACATTGTGTTGTAGTTATCTCTTCTCGCATTCCCTTCTCTTTCGCCTATTGCTCAGTCTGTTCAAGTACCCAAAGGTGAAATTTACGATGTGACATTCTCGCCAACACACGTGCGTCGTCATCCCATTCATCTCATCCCGTGTTCCTCACGACGCCTTTCCCAGCTTGTACTGGCCACCAATCTGAACCTGTTAGTATACGCACTTCCGAAGCCACCATCGGAAGATAATGGTGAGAAAACACCAAAGAAGAAAAAGGGAAAACAGAGAAGTAAAGGAAAGGAGAAGGAAGTACATTCTAGGACACCGAGCCAGACTCCTGAACTGCGGCTTGTGGACACGGTTGATATTCCTTCGGTACCTGGCGCTCCTGCACAGTCCGTTGTAACATTTCGCGCCGCGCGGTGAGTGAAATAATAGACATTAGCATGTAGGATTATAATTTTATTGCAGCTTTCACCCTTCAGACTTCAGCACGCTGTTTACGGCCGTCAATACTGCTGCGCCTCGCGCGAAGAAATCCAAGATGGCCAAAATGCAGGCTTACATATTGAAATGGAGAGTCGACCTAAGTGGAGAGCAGAATTCTGCTCGGCCCATGTCACTGGAGGGCTCCCGCAAAGCGGGCGAAGGCGGTTTGACGTGTTTTGACGTTAGGTCTGTGGTTAATTATGTCAAAAGCACACGTCATGTCCGTCTCAGACTATTTCTTTCTTTTTCAGTCCCAATGGGAAGTTCCTTGCTTTCGGTTCATCAGACTATACGTTGGGAATGCTGGACAGTACTACTCTAAGCGTAAGTCACCGATGAACTCTGTGATCATGCACTCATATCGAACCTTAGCCGCTCTTGTCTATACTCAAAGCGCACGAGTTCCCTATAACCACTGTTCGGTTTAGCCCTACCTCAACGTTGCTCGTATCCGGTGGTGTTGACAACTCGATACGAATCGTTACTGTACCTGAGAGTTTTGCAGGCCAACGTAAGCTTTTCTATTTGAACCTTAGTGGCAGTGAAATTGACAAGCAATCTGCAGCATGGACCATGATTATTTTGATTATTCTGGCCCTTCTTGTGATATTGGTGGCATTTTTATTGCAAAAGTAGGCGTTATGTTACTATCAGAACGTTTATTGCAGCGGTTAGTCTGCGGACCTTATAGCATATACATATTAGAGTAGGCTACAATACATGTTCAATACACCTCTCAACCGTCGCAAGAAAACCTAATCAGAGTGTTCAAGTCTCTAGTCATAGTCATCCTCCTCGACAAGTTTTCGCTTCACACCGTTTGTTTGTGTGTCTCCAGTAGTAGTCTGCACCTCCTCCATTGCGTCATCACCTGAATTATCGTCGTCATCATCACCTTCTCCACCAAATAGACCATCCGCTTCTTCCGCGTCGCTGTTTTCTTCTAGTGCTTCTGCTGCGACGACAGGTAAAGGTGTGCCAGCACTGATGTCAACATCGGTCGGTGTTATGGGAGCTGCATTGGTGTATGGTATGGCAGCAGGCTCCATATCAGCATCCTCATCATCATCCTGACCGTCCGGTAGGTCCTCATCGTCGTCGTCATCATCTTCCTCCTCGATCTCTTCGACCTCCTCGTCGTAAAGTTTCGCTTCTGGTGGTGGTTTATTGGGCACGAGATTGAAGTTGACAGCAGTAAGTGTCTCGGATGAGGGTGGGAGTCTAACACCGAAGACTTCTGGCACAGAAGGAAGTGGTGTAGCATTTGTCTGAGATGCTAATGACAAAATATACTGCAGGAAGGCGTTTGAGGATGTCAGGCGAATGAAGCGGACAGCATGATCAGCTCACCTCCTTGGGTACGCGACCACCAAACTCCCAGCCCACGCGGGCTTGAATAGCGAGGACGACATCATCCATCTCTATTTTTGACGCGCCAGAGCGCCCTGCATGCTCTGCGTATAACTGTCCATCCGACAGTACTTGGGCGGTATACCGGTGGGCGAACTCCAGGAGTTGATGCAAAACGCCTGGTTGTGCATCTTGTACCGTTGGCGTAGATGCAAGGAGAAGAGCGATTGCTCTTGCTGTTGGTGGAAGAGTGTCAGCAGGCTGTTGAGCCGCTGAAGGACGCGCCAGAGACATGATCGATTGGACTTCACTTCAATATTGAGATGTAAACCTGATAGTAAGACTGACGGGAATGGTAATTTACTCTCACGAGTCCTTGTTAGGCCGACATGTCTTGGCTCGCGGAGAGACTTGGCAGGCAAAGCACGGAGTTCTAAAATATGCAAGTGCCGGTTGTGCCGATGGGCCACGCAATCATACAGAAGGCTTTCGTTCACGCACTGCAGCGCAGCATTATAGAATTAAAATAAGATACTTGAGTACTGCATATTATCAGCTTGAATTCGAACTCCGTCGTGCTCCGTCTGCCACGAGATCGACCAGTTTGACAGTGTGAGTGCGACTACGTCAAAATTCTCTCAACAATCTGACTACGTACGTCAGCTACTGGTCACGAGCTTACCCACGCGCCCGAATTCCCCGAATTCACCTGCAGAGATGTTTCGTTGCGTAGGTCAAAAATAGGCTGGAATCCCTGGGGATATGTCAGTAAACTGCGGGCCTGCAGCGGCCTGCCGCGTTTGCCAAAAGCTCTCGCGAGGAATTATGGTGGGTAGCGTTGTCAATGACGATGATTGCCTAAAAAAGAATTGTAACCCCCACAGACCAAATCAGATAAGAGAAATGTTTGTCAGATAAGATTCCCACTGTGACGTTATTCGAACTCCGAAAACCCTTTCTTAATAGGCGCTCTGAAATTGGATCTTCTCGCACTTCTCTTTCATTATCCACCATGTTCCGCTCAGCACTCACAAAGACCGGACTCAGCTCTGCAATAGCACCAAAGGCTGCAAGAGTTGGTATTGCACCAGTGCTCGCCCGTGGTTACCACGAGAATGTCATTTCGCATTACGAGAGCCCAAGAAATGTGAGTCGTGTTTTTAAAACCGTTCGGTTACGAGGACTCACTATAGTCCCGTTATTCCAGGTGGGCTCTCTACCCAAACACGACGCTGATGTCGGTACTGGGTTGGTTGGGGCACCTGCGTAAGTTCCTTCTCCTTTTGTTAACCTTTAAACCCTAACTTATGTCTATGGATCAGTTGCGGAGATGTCATGAAACTCCAAATCAGAGTAGACGAAAGCGGCATCATAAGTGATGTCAAGTTCAAGACGTTTGGTTGCGGTAGTGCCATCGCTTCGAGTTCATATATGACTGAGCGTGTCAAGGGCCTTACCCTTGAGGAGGCTGGGAAAATTAAGAACACTGAAATTGCAAAGGAGTTGTGTCTTCCTCCTGTGAAGCTTCATTGCTCAAGTGAGTCTTTACTCAGAGCACATTTGTGAATACATTTAACATGCGCTATTTCAGTGCTAGCAGAGGATGCTATTCGTTCCGCTATTCGGGATTATCGGTCAAAGCGGAGTAAGCTGACCGACGGTCAAAAATCAGGCTTCATCGATGTAACCCAGAGTGTGATTTCCGGGGAGACAGTGGCCACTGCACATCCCGGTATGCCTGCATAAATAGACGTTTTCTCATGTCGATGTTTTTCCATGTGCTGTCTTCGTGCACGTCCCATCATTTTGTTTGTTCCTCATATCCATGTTCGTATCAATTCCTGCATTTATGTTCACATATTTCTCAAAATGACCTAGGTCGGATGATTAGTAGCCAGTTGTATTACCACGTCGCACTGATAATTTTAATGCTATGCATATTGCCCAGAGCGACTGAAGCTACATAATGTGCGTAAGATAGTTAATGAGATGAATGCCCTGCCTTATACCCTGCTGCTGGTGCCTTTCTGTCCCACAAATGAGAAATTTCCAGATGCAAACCAGCGTTCATTTGCTTCCTTCACTCGTTGAGCAGCAGCAGCACGATTTGTGAGTTCGAAGCCTATGAAAAAAAGATAAGTGGCTCATTCCACGCCAGCTCCACAAAGGGTTCTCACCTTGTACAGGTGTGACCGTCAGCGATGTTGCTGTTCCAGAGGTTGACGACCCGCCCTGTGCAGCACGTGTAAGCGTTGCAGTGCGTAACTTGTTCGCCTTGGAGAGTTTCGCTGCGGAAATTGACACGTTTTAGATCTCGAAAAAAAAACGAAACAGGAGGTAGAATACTTACCACGACTCTTCGCCTCTCCCATACCAGCCCGGACCTTACCCGTACCAACACCGATCATTCCCAGACCCTTAGTCTGATCGAATGCCCCAACCTCATCCTCAGCCTCACCAAATGCCATTCGGTTCTGCAGCTTCCGGAGTTCCGTCTGTGCATACGCTTCTTTTGCCTTGCGTGCCCTACAAGTGTGTCAGCGAGAACGATGTAAAATTCCAGGGACGACTTGCCGCTTGCCGCCTCTACGTTTCTTTGGTCCATCGTTAGGTATGGGAAGCGCCTTTGTGGTTTTAGCAGGGGGTGGCGCCGCCAGCCGATCGATGTGTTTTTCGATTTTTTCTCGAAGTTCTTCGCCATATGAACCTTGGTATACCATCAGCCAGGGACCCGTCAACACCCAAGAACTACTGACCATCTCTTCGTGTCCGTTCGAGGTCCATGCGTGCAGCCAAAACGGATTTTGCTCCGACTGTCCGCTGAACCTTTAGTTGGTATTCAGCTGGCGTCTGCTGGATCAAGTCAGACTGGAAGACGAAACCGGTGTGCCGCCGTTGAGTGTACGCAGAGAAGCCTAAAGCAATTTTCTTCTGAGCGCCTAGCAGCTATGAGAAATTGTAAGACCAATAATGTAGGCAGAGTAAAACTGCAACATACATGGACATTACATGAGGGCATTTTGGCGAGGGGACCAAGGCCGCCTGCTACACCGAGTAATTTTGCAGCTGTAGTGGTACCAACGATGGCTGAAAGATTTGGTGCCAGAACATTCATTCTTGAGCTGACGTACATGAAAATCTGTTCTCCATTCATTAGCTACCACGTTTATTGTGCAGAAGAGCAATTTACTCGCCTTTTTACGTGCCTCCTCAAGTTTGTCTGCAAGATCACAAGCTTTCTCGACGGCAGCCCACTGGGCGTCAGTAAGTGTTTGACCGCTTGTTGTTGTTGCAGTTATGAGCACACTCATGACCACCGCAGGCGGAAGAACACCTGCAAGGTCAGCTTTTGTGGGGTCCTGTAAGTTGATAGTGAGCAGAGATGGTTTGCGTAGAACCCGTTCTTACCTCTGTATTGGCGAGAACGCGAACCGCGCGGACATACTGTGCAGGCTCTGGAACGAGCTGCTCCAACTCTGGAAACTTTGCTGCATAATGGTCGCGTATAAACTACAGACACGAAGTCAGGGGGTTGGACATTAACAACCACAAACCATACCTTATGAACCACGAGAATTTCATTGTCTACATCCACGGATAAATTGTTTGCTTGCACGATGAGAGTGTATTCCGGGTTCAGATGAGCTGGTAATGACATCGCTTCCGGTGTACTGGGATTAGCTTGGTATTTCTCAATTTCCTGAACGCAAAGTGAGTGAGCTCAAACATAGGTTCATCAAATAGCGTCGGTGCATGCCTGTAATATGTCTGCCATTCGTTTACTGCCTTCTAGCTTCGCTACGGAGTCGACGTCCTCGATCCCTCCCAAGTCCATTCGCTGTACATCCTCTGCATCAAGTTCGTCTGCGGGCTTCATCCCGCCTTCGAGGACTAATCCGCCGGTTTCGTCTGCTTCGGTTTCTTCGCCCTCGGCGCCTTCCTCTGCCTCTGACATGTCTGCATCTTCGACAGCCTTTCTTTTCAGTCCGTTGGTGCCGTTACTCGTGGAGGACGCAGCTGCTGGAGCGGACTCTTCATATTCCTCTGCACCACCGTCTGACAGATCGTCAATGTCAGCAAGGAGTTCGTCAGCTAGTCCGCTCATCAGGAGAACCGTTGTTCAGGAGGAGGTTTATGTCAAGGACAGAAGGCACAATGACGTAAGCATGTGAAGGTCAATGGCTGCCTCCCCAGCCCCTGCACAGGAAAGAACTAGTAAATATTGTATTTTGTTATCGACAGAGTATTCTAAGGGGTATGTAAGTTGAACATGGTATGTAGGTAGCTGTGTAGATTGAGATATATACTCATACCTATATTAACGACGATTTCCTATTCCAAATTGCCTAGTACTTAACAGTAACGAATGATTAATAGTCGCTCACCTCTTCATCCGCATGAAGAGTCTCGAAGCCTCATTCCACCTCTCCGCATACTCTCGTTGATCGTCCAGTGCATGGATCCACGAATAATGTACATGAACTGTACGCGGTAGGACACCGGATAAGAATGCAGCCACTTTTGCTGCATCGTGGATTTTGGAATAAGTAACATCAAAAATAGAAAGATGCTGATGAGTGGTGTCTCCGACCCAGTAGTGTGACTGGTCGTCTTGTTCTTCAATAAAGGAGAAGTCGATTTCAAGCGTTAGTTCCAATAGGTTGGGACAGTGCTTGAGGAAGCACAGGAGTCCGATTGGGGATATCGACGAAGGCAGAGGGGTTTCCAGGAATTTGTTCAGCACGAGTTGCATGATATTTGGCCATGCCTGTGCCAATTCCAAGGCGGCAACATCGTCCAAAGAGATCCCACACCCTATATCAAGAAGTACGTGCGTTAATCGGTTGAACGACAGAAGCGGATAGAGGTCTTCCAGCTTTAAAACAGAGAACAAGTCATGTGGAGGACGTTCTGCAACCATAATTTGGAGGCGACGAAGCGAGTAGTGACTGACGGAAGTGGAGAGCCGACGAAATAATTGTGCCAAGACAGATGCTCCTGCATGGTCATCGCTGAAGATCGAGAGGTTTGTAAGCTTGTTCCGCATTCTGCTCACGAGGTCAACAGCAGATGAGATGTCTTGTGCATGCACGTCAAGTACTTGAAGTTGCTCAAATAAAAGCTCGTTCTGGAATTCGGCATTTGGTTGGAGAGCAAGTTTAAGCTCTAGTAAAGATGGCAGACGTGATAAATGGTTCAGAACCTCGGCATCGAGGATTCCACAGTGAATTGTAGTGAGATGATGTAGATGGCAAAGAGTTTGAGAAACGGACTGGCGAAGATGACTTGATAGGGCCACTGAGTGCACGGTCAATTTTCGCAAAGAGGGACATGTAGGAGCAATCGAGGAGATGAACTGTAGCAGGTCAGGAACTGGTGAGATGGCCCAGACCTCAAGGAATAAGGACGTGAGAGACTTGGTCATGATTCGACGGATCAGCCTCAAGTCTCTCTCGTCATAGATAATCCACTCGAGGGATGTGAGATTTGGCAGGAGCGGCTGGGTGGCATCCATGGAGGCGAGACGAGCGAGTAATTCATCGTCAATATCAACCATCAATTTTTTTCCGCGGCGGACGTCCTGGGTGGCAAGACTGAGGTGACGGATGCGTAAAGCATACCTGCGGAATATATTCCAGTCATCTTTGGTCAAGTGCCTATGAAGTTTCTGACAGATTTCAGGAGCAAACGATGTCAGCAATTGAAACAAAGCAGTCAGAGAGCCTCTTACTAAACAAATACAGCCTGACTCAGACTTGATCGCGTCTCCGCCCCATAAATCATGAGGCATGCACTGGATCGCTCTCGCGATAGTGCCAAATTGTTGCCAGAGGACATCTAAAGCTATATGATGAAAAGCAGTACAAGTCCTTGCGAGAGCAGCAAGAGTAGCTTGAGCGACGTGTTTTTCGTGGCTCGCGTCAAGTACAAAAATCCACTGAAAAATGGATAACTGTATCTCTGAAATAAAGAGACATCGAGACATATAAGCTGAGATTCAGAGAACCAACCTGTACGCATCCACTTGATTCGTTGCTTTTAGTGCATTCCGTATATGGTAATTATCAGAAAGGTGGTCCGTGCACAAAGTGTCAAAGGTATATAAGGCTGGTGCTGACACTGTAACAACTCATACTTACCTTGATGGCACAGGCTCCTTCATGTACCCGGGTTTGTGGGCCGTGGGGACCCTTCATAGCACGGCGACCTTGTCCATACAGAGGGTAATCACGATTTGTATGAGCTCCGGCTCATGCATCGTCTCAATATTTTCCAGTCCTGCCACGGCCACTCTGGCTGGGCAGGCCATCTTTTTTTCGACTTTTATAGGTCCTAACCCTAACCCTACTACATGATATATATAGTAATCAATGAAATATACTTTGTCATCTCAGTTTCTTAACCGCATGCATGCCAGATGACCTCATACAATCCCGAGTCCCAGACACTGAGCTCACATGCGCCAGATTCACCGCGCTCTTCCCAATCACCCCCACCTTCTGGTGTCCAAGGTGATTTGGAATTAGAACTTCTTGGGCTCGCCAACGCTTTATACAACCTTGGAACCACTGTCATCAACGACTCCACTAAAGATCGTGATAGGCCAGGTGGCGCAAAACTGGTAGGCCTTGGGGCGTGCGTTCTTTTTACTGCTTCAGTTGTCTATGATCCTAAAGATCCCAAACGGTCAGAAACGAGGTCGTCAATCACCTTACGTCCATCGATAACAAAGCACAGGACATTCGGACCATGATACCTTTTCAAGTTTTGTCTGATATCGACAACGCACGCAACCCCATGCAGTTGACCAAAGAACGGCTAGAAAGAGCAGCTACTGAGAATCAATTCATGAACGGAAAGATAGCAGCTATTGACGTAAGTACCTCCCTGTTTTGTTCTACCCTTGTTAATACACTTCTCTTGTAGTCCTACCGCAAGCTTCTGAACGAGGCATTAATATTGAACTTTCCAGAGACAGCCGAATATCTCCATCCTAGTCAAGATGATATCAAGATGGAGTTATAGGCCGACTACATCTCGTCGATGGCTCAATGTCATTTACGTAAATGGGCGCGCGCACTCGGATGAATTTCCAACTATCCTCTCGTAGAAAGATGAAATTGGTTGAAGACGGGGGAACATTCCGTTCCCTCTTGTCATTATGGGGATAATTCGCAATAATCGGCCTGATTAAAATAAAAGAGCTAAATTTCTCATTAAGGATGCTCCTATGGTATTTTTTGACCATGCCAAGATGATACGGGCGCATTCGGGTCACCCGCAAGACAACGCCGCGCAGAGCACGCCCAGGCGGATCTGCGGCTCTGGTCATCTTTGTGCCAGCGAGATGCGTTATCTATTATGTCCCCTCAAAAGGACAAGTGGGTAGCTTCTTCGGATTTATTTGGTACCGCCGTTGCTTCTGAGCTCCAGCCCTTCTTGGATCATTGGGGCTTTGTGGCGTACCAATATACTCAGCGATGGTCCCTCACCGCCACAATCCATACATCATCGGATTGTCGCGAAGCGGCCAACTGTTAATAGTATTCAGATCTGATGAGAGACATATGGATTGGTGCCATTGCTTAATGGTTGTGTTGCATTGCCATAAGTGTGAGTGTTGAGAGCAGGAGATGTTCATTCCGCTCTAACGGCCCTCATGTTTCAGGGATCATCTCTTATCTCACGTCCACATTCGTATCCCGCAGTTGCTCGGAGGTGCAGTTTCACGAGCCAAAAAAGCGAGATCCTCCTTTATCATCGCAAAGGTTGTCTCCGAATGTTACCATCGGACTTGTTTGAAGAGCAGTCCTGACCTGGATAGATCATTGACGTTGTTAGTGATGAGAATCTTTGTGCGGCTGATGAGGGCTGATAGTATAGTGGTTGATGCGGCAGCAACGACTACAAGCACCGGGAAATCAACGAGTTTAGAGCCGTGTCTTCTCCGACGAGTGTTCTCACTGTCTATTTTAACGGCGAGGAAAAGCATCCCTGCTAGAGTGTCACATACAAAAGCGGTTCAAATCTTGGCTTTGTGGAGAAACGTTTCGGAGACAATGAGTGGTTGGCAATGTCGGCGTTCCGCACTTCCATCCGCTCAAGCGTCTGTAAAGTGAAAATTGGTTGTATTGGTCCTCGTGACCAGTCCTCGGACCTCCTTATTCTCGCTACAACTCATCTTCCATTACTTGGGATTTGCACGAAACCATATTGGAACTAGTTCACAGCAGTGCCTGTGCAGCATCGCTAGGCAGTAAAAGTGATATCTGAAGCGGTAAGAGGACATCGGCTTGTAATATCAAAGGGACCCCGAAGACCAGTATGTTTAGATGTGAACTGGTTCGATTTTTATGGAGGCGCCCATTTTGATCTCGAACAAGAAAGTGGAAGCCGCATCGCCACTAGCACGCCTATCGCTCAGATCCTCCGTGCTTCGATCTTGGCCATGTATCGCCGCACGATAGGACTTGGTAAGAAGCATGGGAGTGTAGACCCGCCTATCCTGGCGCCCGGAGGTGACTGGTCTAGTAGACAGTAGTCGACTATCGTCGGCAAGTTGGGGGTTGGATTAACGTAAGGGACGAAGAGGTCCGCCGGTATGAAGTAAGCGCGCATTGTGTGTTATCAAATATTAATATTTACAAAGAAATGAAATAAAAAGTCCACACCCACCCATAACGACAATGAGCTACGCACATGAACGCTAGCCGCAACATGTCATGATGGTGGTGATAACAAATCTGAAGATCGATAGATTCCCACTCGATCAGGGATGTGAGAACGAGTTGCACGAGTACTGACTAACTAGTTGACGAAAATATCGATTTGAAAGAGACTCAAGGCAGGTGGTTACTCGCCTCTCGAATGTGTTACGCGAGATACATGTGTTATCGACGTAAGACGGTCCGTCCGGGATATAGATCTATGATATAGGGGTGCCCTACTAGCCAAAGTACACAGGCCCCAAGTTGAATACGACCGAATGAAGCACTAGAACGGATAACTTTCGGAGCGCTTGTGTCTATTGGAGAAATATCACCTTCTAGAACTTACCCCATATCTACACCGAGAGTACATCACAGAATCAGGGTTCTCTCACGCATATACGTACTCCCAATCCCAGAAGCAACCGAAACAACGCACAGGTAGCCGCATCCCTGTGCGAGAAAACCTCTCGCGGCCCATCGTCATTTGATTCCGCGGTATCTGCTGTACCTGACTCAAGCTCAAATGTCTGGGCTTAATCCTCAAACACGAGGCGATGGCTCAATGCGATCTCCGGTCCCGCTCGTTGGTTCAAATCAACATACCAACGTAGGAAGTGCAACGTGCCCCATGATGATGCTATCAAAAGGCGTGTCTATGACGGTCCGTTCCTCGGACACTAGCAGAACAGCTGGTAAAACACGCTGGTACGCCGAACTGTTCCGTCCCTTGTGAGATAAGATATGGGCGGGAACAGCCGACCCTCAAGGTTTGTTGCCCATCGATCTCAAGATTGAATGTTACTTTTTCAAACCTCCTTCAAATTTGGACTAGTCCAAGGAACATCCCGTTTGTAGTCCAGCGGACTCATTTCCACCAATCCCATCCCAGGGCGCTTCACTCGTCACAAATCGTTCAAGTCGTCAACGTAAAATTCACCTTGACCAGATCAAGCTCTACCATCATTAACGTGAACGTCGAAAGCCGCCGAAGAATGTCCTTCAAGTAAGAGAGCAATCATGACGAACTTATCTTCAACATGCATGAAGCCACTGATCAGCTTCTTTCTCAGCATCAGAATTTTTCCAATGGATACATCTGACGGCACCAACATATGCCATCAGGTTTTCCAGAATGAGCACATAAGGATTTATGGCGCAGAGAATTAGAGACTCAGGGTCCAATACGAAGTTTTGGCCAGCAGTTCCATGACACGATTGCGTAGTTGTCGAATAAAGTGTAGTAATTATACTATTTCGTGACATAGTATCGTGCTTTTAGTGAAAGTGATTACGGGTATCGAATGCGCCAGAATTAAGCTCCAGCTTTGAACGGAGGTCACGGCAGTCTAGAGATATCATCTCACAAAGCTCGCACGGCGATGGCAGTACATGTACAGAATAACGAATCCTACCAGCCATGTGTTAGCGGATCAAACGTTCAGTACGTATATCAAAGATATGCCCACATTGAAAAAGAGTTCGTTCAAGCAGACATCCCCATCTTCCCAGTGAGACACCAAATGGGACCTACAAGCAGTGATCAATGATCATCAACGATCGATTTACAGATCGCGATAGTTCCTACCGGCCACCTTGCCCCAGATTCTCCGTGATCTGGACTAACACCATATACTTACTGTGTCGAGTATATAACACAGGGTCACGAGATGAGTTCAATGTAAGCGGTCAGTCATCACACGTACAATCCATGTGGCTGAACCTCCACCATCCGCTCCTTGACGCGTTCTCCTATCTCCTTCATCCAAGCTTTTACTTGGTCACGCTCAATATGTGGCCACACAGCATGCGAAAGCGTTGCTGGCAATAGTTTTTTCACGTATGCTCGCAGTACCTCCGTATCGAATGCGGGTCTAGGTGCTTGAGGAGATACCGCACCAGATCGCGAAATAGGAGAACGGAGTCCTAGGTTTGTTGTCATCCTTCCTCCAACAAGAGGGAAATGAGGAACAATTTTGAACGCAGTTAAGCTAAAGTCAGACTCCAATCGTCGAAGCCGCAAGGCTCGAGTGAAGGCGTTTACATTTGTTTGGTCTTATGGATATGTCCATTGCCCGGTCCGCTTCCGTGAGAATACGAGGCTCACACTTTACAAGTTTCCTGTGCGCTGTCCAGTATCCTCACCTTTGTCTTAGCCACCCGTAGTCTCATCCCGTTGATCGAATTTGAGCTTTCCGAAACCCACAAATGTCTTCGATATCGTTCCCGCACTCAGGCGACGAAATGGGCTCATCTTCTAGCTCGCTGCACGACTCGATGCAGGCGCCATTCTACACGCCTACTCCGTTCGACATGTCAAGTTCCTTTCAAATGAATCCTCTTTCTGCGCACCCGCCTCGTACGCCGCGCCCGAGTACTACGCAGTCGCACTTTAGGAATATGAGCATGAGTATTAGCGTGTACGACGAAAAGGCGGAGGAAGAACAGGACAGAGAGACGGTTAAAGCAGATAAGGCAGAGGTAGATGAAGACGAGATCGTGGAGCTGGACGAGGAAGATGTACATGTTAAAGAGGCTGAAAAGTTAGTCGGGGCTCACGAGGTATGGCGAGATATGTTTGTTACAAGTAACGGACGAGACAAAGCATTTGTGAGTGACTATGACACACCTGCTGAACAAATGACAGAAGTCATCTTTGGGGTAGAAATTAATGCAATACTCGATACGTGTGTATCTGCTCTTCCACAGCAAGATATTATTTCGTAACGGGAAGTCGGCTTGGCAGCGGGAAATTGTACGAAGGCTTGCGAATGCAAAATGGGGGCTTTCTTTTACGAGGTCGGTAACCGTTTGACATTGACATCGTCATTGACAACTGACGGCACACAGAAAAATGCTTATCATGTTCAACTGGTTAGCCCCCCTGAGTCAAATACTAGCGCAACAATCCGTGCCCTTCTCGTCTTCCGGATCATCCCTTGTGCCTCACAGCTTCACAGCTACCTCCGCGCCATCCTCCAAATCTTTGCAATCATCGGGGGGTCCCTTCTTTTCGCACCCGGTCCTCCGAGCTTTACTGTCGGCTCCGCCCCCTGTTCTCCTAGAGCTTGTAAATGGTTTGTCGGATGATATACATTCGCTTTCCCGGCTCGGCATAATAGGATCTAAGCTGGGAGAGCGCGCGGCCCGGTTTGCTGATTGGTGTTGGCTCTTTTCTACACTGGTCGGTCTGGTAGAGAATGGTGTGGAATTGGGGGTTATTGAGGGCCTTCGACGAGAAGGTGAAACGATTTTTTCTTACCGCTTCAAATCCAGTCGCTCATTTGTTCCAGTTCAATCAAGGGCATACAAAGAGTCGCTGTCGGGAGCTACCTCCAAGTCACAACCAAAAGCGTCAAAAATTGACGAACGTGAGCTAACGCGCCTAGAAAAGCAGAACTACTGGCTTCAGATATCAAGGGCAAAGCTTGCCATGGATCTCATTTTCGTCTGTGAGTAATTTGATTGCACAGGTATTGTCCCCCTGACATCCTTGTGTTGCAGCGTGGGATATCTGTAGGATCAAAGGGTGGAAAGACACTGTCCAGTCCTTCACTGGCCTTGCAGCCGCGGTCCTGAGGTAATATATTCTATTATCATTTGCCGTTCATACTCCTAATTGGTATTTGGTAGCTGTGCAAAATTGCACGACAAGTATAGAACTGCGCTTGTCAACAAGGCCCTGACTAGTTGAACATCATGGCCCTAGCTATTCGTGATCTGAATGAAGAAGAGGTGATTGAAGCATGTTAATTTTCGCTTCTTTCCGTACGCAAATGCAAGCGTTGGCATGCTTCCAGCGTTCGACAGTTCCTCGTGTGCTTCATCTATGTTATCATGCATCTTTTTGTTACCACCCATCACCTCACATCGCATACATTTTTTGATTGTTTTATAATACCCTTTACTGATATAATAATGCTTGATTTCGCTTTGGTCATGAATTTATTTATTGTAGGTTTTGGGGTGATGAATTTCATTATGAATCCTAGATGATGACTTCAACCGATGATTACACGTATTGATATATAGAAATCACCACGGCCACCACTTAGAGGCAGGGTTGGGTGATGATGAGACTACTGATGGTTGCAGGGCCCGTTCCTCCTGTAGCCTATCCACCTCTTCTTCGAGTTGACGTACTTGGTCTCGTGCCTCATCTAGAAATTTCTCGTGATCCAGCTGGCTCCGTAATAGCTGTAACCCCTGATCAAGTCAAAGCACAAAATCAGCAAAAGATAACAACACGTTGATTTCAGATCATGACGCGAGGGAAAGCAGCGAAAAACGCCAGTGAGCCACGATGCGAAGACAATACTACTTACCAAGTACACAGCGGAACCCAAAAGAGCCACCGGAACCATACCCGGGATCATGGATGCATACCATTGAGAATGTGCGGACCGGGGACCCGTGGTTGATGATGAGTATCCACGGGTCCGCCGCTGAGGAACGCGCAGAGATCGCGTTCGAACGAGGCGCATTAAGGGCGCCATATGTTCCTAGAAACCGGGAAGGTCTTCCGACAACTGACTCGAATGGACGTGAAATAGCCCGAAAACTATGCGTGAAGGTTTTACTTGCCCGCGGTGTTTGGGTGCTAAGCAAAAATATGTTTTTGTGTGGAGCAGTCGTTTGATCACTATCCTGGCGAACGGCGTTTTCAAATGAACAAAGTTCGATATTCAAACAGACGTGGGACTGCCAGTGACTGTGTGATATGATGCAGAATGAGTCAGAGAACATGGGATTTGAAGGAATAAAATGTGCGCACGAGATAGGATTTGGTTGGACTTTGCCAGTGCCAAGAAGGAACGGTGGAAAGCCTTCAAATTTGCAATCTCAGCTGCGTACCGGTTGCTAGTGAATTTGTCGACGTGTGAGATGGACAAAGTCTTGATGAGTCCGATTGCATAAGCAACAGCGCCAAGAGGTCAACCAGGTCTGATGTGGCGTTTGCCTCGTGCCCATCATAAGTTACGCGTCACAGATACAAGGTTAATGGTACTCTCGTAGTACAAGCATGCCCACTTTTCCTACTCCCCAGCTGACTTCAACTTATCATTCCCTGGCTCACTCCTAACGGCAGCTGCTGCATATCCCACGCTGTAGTGGCCCTCAGACACCGGCGATATATTTTTGAATATCCTCGCACAGCTCGCGAGCGCACTTGAAGCTCCAGCCGCTGGGTCCAGCCCCACATTATGTACAAAGAAGATCAGGCCATCCTTCTATTTGGCTCAAACCTTGCCTCGGGAAGGTTAGGCTTAGCGTCGTTCAGGACCCGACATAGTACGCTCTCGACTGGACTGGACTCGGCCTTCAATTGATGGCGCACCGAGACGAAAAAATAAATAAATAAATCAGCAATCTCCACTAACCTGGTACAACATCTGGAAGTAAGGTTACTCTCTCGCCTCCACCAGTTTACACCATCAACATTCGCGACTAGAAACTTATGTGCGCATGCCGAAAATCTTGCGTCGCAGAGAACTCACATCATACCGGGACTTCCTTGTCAGAGGAATGAAGAGAGTGTCTCATCCCGGCCCCGCTTAGGCCGCTTCGAATTCTTTTACTTGAAAATTATCTTGGGCGTTAGTGGTGAAACAGCAATCTCCGCTATATCCAAGCTAATGCAACATCTTGAAGTAAGGTTACTCTTTCGCCTCCACCAGTTTACACCATTGACATTTGCATCTAGAAATTTCTGTGCGCATCTAGAATTTCTGTGCGCGCATGCCGACAATGTCGTGTCGTGGAGAAGTTACAGCATAATGTGGCGAGGAATGAGGAGTGCGTCACTCCGACCCCACTGCTTCGAATTCTTTTACACTTGGCTATAGTGGCAAAACGTTAATATGTTAGTTCGCCATGCATACCCCAAGTCCAACAGGCCCAGGGGGGATGACATTTATCTTGGCAGGCATCCTGGATATCACTCTCCCCAGATCAGCTAAGCATAATTTTCTGAGTTTTGCTCGTCATATCGTTTGTCCGTCTGGCTTACTCGACACATCGTTTTTGACGGCATACGGGCTCCTGTTACTTGTAATGTGATTCCTGCTTCTTACTTTGAATGACACTGCTATTCGCATTCCATTCACTGGAGCCTTGTTACTTGTAACGTCTTTCCTTACTTCTTCTTTCAATGACACTGACATTCGCATTGGGTGATATGTATTAACACATATAGGGGCGAAGCCTTCCATCATATATTCTGCCCCTCCGTATCTCCGCCCGACTCATCAGGGTACTTCTCTGACACCGACCAGGCTGGCCGACTCGTCTGAGAAGATTGCAAATAAATGGATTGCCAATTACATACTGTAGTTGACTGGCTCCCATGTGTCACGGTATGCAACGTGGCAAGGCGCTCAAAAAGCTTCGTGTGCTACCCCCGCATTAATCCGTATGGGCCGTTAGATCTGTTCAGCATTATAATTATGAATGTCTCTAATTTCCTCGACGACGATCCGCAGCACCCACGTAGCATGTGCTACAGACTCGCTGAGCCAGTCGTAACGATCCTATATAATAGTGGCGTGAGACACTACTGAGATAAGGCACTCTGTATCCTGAAAAACCATATTGGCATGCTCTTGCTGGAGACTTAAAAATATTGCATCGCCTTGCAACCTGTCGTTCCTTCTCTCCGCTCTCACTTTATCAAGCCATCCTGACTGCTGTTCACTGTGTGCGCTGAGCAGCGCGATTGCCGCTCGGGCGTCTTGCGACTAGAAACTATAAGCGCCAAGCTGGTGATCTAAACCTGTTCATTTCTGCCAAGCTACCATGGCCGTACAGCCAAACGTTGATCCACCGGTACTCAGCGAGAAATTATGCCCAGGTCCGCTTTCAAACGAAATACCTCTCAACTGTCGTTCTTCCCCGCATCGAAGCTCGCGTCCATCCCACCATTTCATTCCAATGCGTACTTCTTTGTCTGCTTCCTCTTCATCGCTTTCCTCATCACAAACTCTCCCACAATCGCAGCGATATGTTCGTCCGCGCGGGCTGCGGATATGGAATCTTTTCAAACAATGGCTGCCTATCTTTGCGTACGGTGTAACTAGCCTTGGTTTTATCTTAGCTATCGCATTCTGGAAGACTGAGGTTTTCGACGGTAAGTCTTCGGTTCCTGTTGGTCTGCTTTCGTGACCCTGCGCCCTAGTGGCCCGTTGCTACAGACTGGTGCAATTATCTCTATTCCTCGCTTGCACGATTATGACAGTGCCATAACTCGCTTGTTATTTTGCTCACAATATTTATTTCCAACAGGTCTCGAGCACCTGTCACGCTGGTTGCGAAACGATGAGCACTTCGGCTACGCAGTGCTTTTCTGTCTCATCTTTATCACTACGTTTCGTACGTTCTATTCTTGATTTATCATTGGTCAAAACTCACGCATGTGCGTCGATGTTTCTCACGTTTTAATAGCCCCTCTCCCACTGTATTCCACGCTGATCACATTGTCGGGATATACATTTGGGCCGTGGACTGGTGCTGTTATCTCGTATTGTGCTGCACTTTCTGGTGCTGTCGTTGTGTTCTGGCTATCACGAACGTTCTTGCGCGAGCCAATTGGTCGTTGGCTTTCCTCGACGCGCACTTTATGCCGCGCAGTCCGAGCCGTCGAACGCAAACCACAGCTATTATTCCTTGTCAGACTTGCACCATACCCATATAATGTGCTCAACGCACTTCTTGCGGCCACGCCGACCCTCACTATGCGGACCTATGTGATTTGCACGGCTTTGTCCCTTTTCAAAGTCATCATTCACACCAGCATCGGTGCAGGAATTCGCTCGTTCAGTGCCAAGAAAGAATCCGATGTTCAGGAGGAAGAGGATGATACCTGGAGCAAAGTCTGGACTATTGGCGGAATCCTTTTGTGCGTTGCACTTTTCATCTACATCAGTTTGGTAGCACGCCGAGCGGTGGACGATGAACTTGACGATGAGATTCCTGGAAGTGTATCTGAAGAAAGAGTGGCATTCTTAGATGCAGAGGATGACGATGTCGGATCTCGAGCACTACGGTTACCCCTGACTTTGCAGTCGCAGAGCAACATGAGCGAGGCACAGCTCGTTTCGCCACATCGCGTGGTGTCCGGTCTTCCTGCAGCCTAGTCGCTGCGTTTTCTTCTTAAAAGGACTCTCTCGAGCCTAGACTTGTATATTATTACCAAGGATATCATATCAGACTGATTAAAACCCAAACTTGTATGTTGTGTATGTATTTCTTTTTGGAACTGATGTATACTTTTTACTACACATGTCGATTTCGCATCTTTCCAAGTCACGCGTGGAACACCAATGAAATGCGCGTGCGGTATCTGGACTGACACCGCCAACGGGCGAGACTGAGACCTAATGTCGATCTACACAGGTCTCATAGCCATCATACAGGTGATAAACGTGTACGCCGGATGCCCCTGACCTGATGCCTACCCTGCAGCAAACGCCACTTGATCCTTGCCACAGCTGTGCCAATTCCAGCCCTTGTACACAGGGTCGCCCCTCTTTCCTGTTGGTACGATCGTATATGAATGACTCCACCACCACAATCACGGAAAATCTGGAACGAACAGAAAGGCAATGTCAATGAGACCGCAGCAAGTACTGCGGGCAGTGGCCTAGCGCCCCCTCGTCCCACCTTGTTCCGTCTGTGCTGCTTTGGGCAAAAACCTCGAGTCACCTGTCGCGCAAACATCCGAAAAGGCAGATGAAAGTTGACGGGTTACGTTAGCATTGCCGATCAGAATTCTGTGCATTCGCTCTGATCAGATCACACCTGTATATTTGACGAGATCAACAAGTCCTTTCCCGATTTGGTACGTACATATGCGGTCCCCGTTTTGTTTACTGTTATCGTGAAATATTTCGTGGAAAATTGCAGGTGGGAATTACAATTTTGGGGTTTTGATAGCGGGGAGAGGGAGTTTTGCGTTTGCAATTAGGTTAGGTGTGCTAAGGCCGCCATCATATTGATCAACTCGCGTTTTTGGACAAGCAAAATGTATTGCAGATACTATCGAAAAAAAAACGCAACCGGGATATCAATGAACGAGGGTAACAGTATACGGGGTAACCGTATGCACACGAGAGCCAAAGACTAGAGAGAGAGGTATCAAAGTGGGAGTGATGATGGGGTGTGGTACTACAAATGAGGAGCAAAGTATACACGCTGGAACTAGATGAGAGAGCACATGCAAACGCAGCCAATCGTTTTGTAACGTTCATGAAAAAGATCTTCCAATTTCGTATAGCTTCGTAGAAGAAGAAGCGGGTAAAGTGAGGCGAACAAAGGAAAGTGGGATCGTGAGGTCAAACGCAAACGCAAAACAGCCAGAGCAGTCCAAAAGTCAAAGATGAAAAACACCAACAAGTCGAATTAAAAGGCAATCCGAGCAACAAGTCTATCTTCTCCACGGGAACGTTGCGTCTAAAGCTCGCTCACGATTTTGGTATATTGCGGAGGAAGGTGCTCGTTCATAGCGACAAACCCAAAGTCAGGCGAGACTGCACCCATTCAACAGACTGACAGTCAGTAAGCCAGCCCGTGAGACATCGGAGGGCGCAAGGGGTAGTCGCGCGACTCACAGCGGTTAATGTCGGCTTCCCCTGCGCCGTATCCGTCCCCGAGTGGTGGCGTGTTCGCCTGAGACGATGAAGTGTGGGAAGCAGCACTGATCGATGATGCGCTTGTAGAGGGGCGTGGTCCAACCTGATGGTGACCCCAACCACTCCGGCCATCCATCGAATCGATGGATGCACCGCCAACAGCAGAGTATGCGAACTCAGTTTGCCCGGAAGGGAAACCATACGAGTCCACAGATGGCAACTGGATCATGCTGCGCACTCGTGGCATGTTTCCATCGTCAGGATGAGGCGATGTCGATGGTCTCTCGTTGGAAGGATGCTCTCCATACGGAGACGGGTATGGACTCATAGCCTGACTGTGGCGACGGGGACGACGGATGCTCAAGGACGACGGTCCATATTGCTTCGAGGACGACGGTGGGCGTGACAATGATGGCGAAATGGGGCGGTGATGGCCTGACCCGGGACGCGAGTAATCAGCCTGATGGTAAGTGTGGTGTGATGGTGATTCCTCATATGGCAAAGATGACACTGATGAAATGGAGTATCCCGTCGTTGGGCGGCTATCCGGAGATAGCGAGGGCGGACTATTGTCACTCTGCATCGAAACACCCGAATAGGTGGATGAGTAAGATGTGTTGATGGTCGGCGTTGGGCGAGGACCATAACCATTGTTGCTCGGTGGGTTCAACAAGGAAGACAAACTGCCCGAATGATTGGAAGTCGTGCTGTTAGGAGAATACTGCCAGTTCTGGTCAGGGTAGGAATACTGCGAGGGAGGGACAAGCATGTCCCTGTTGCTAGTATGCTGAGGGTGATGATAACCACTTCCTGGACCCATTGCGCTGAACTGAGCGGTAGGAGATTCCTCCGCAGGGGAGATGGGTTGCAAGTGAGACTGATTATACAAGTTATGATGAGTGGGTTCCGAAGGGACAGTGAGGGGAGGCAGGTTACGAGTGTGAGGATAAGTCGCGCTCCAACCTGGACTGTTCTGATTCAAAGGAGTGAAGGAACCTGGTGCAGAAAAGCCACGAGCACGACCACTAGCATTAGGCAAGGTGCCTTTTGGACCCACAGATGAAGGGACGGTGAGAGGAACTGGACCCATACCGATAGCGGAACGGGGAGGAGGTATTGATGGGGGCTCCTGAGTATCGCGCTTCCTTGGCTTTGGCAGACGCGGGGGGACGCGGCGTTTGAAATTGGCCACGACCTCAGGGGGGGAGTGGCGGTTGAGGGTGGGATGGGCTGCGGAACCGTATGGTCAGTAAAGGAGAATGGGTTTGAAGTGGCACTGGCGCGGACTTACACCATGTGCTTGCGTCTGGATCGTCAATAGCGGGGTCGACGTTACGGAGGTTTACTTTGCGCATGAAGCCATAGATCTAATGGACGAAGTGGGGTCAGTGAAAGATTCATTTCAGTGAAGGATTAAGTGGGTTTTGGCGTCGACAGAGAAGGATGGAAGCACATCAGACATACATTTAGTTGCCGGGAGAAGCTTGCAAATCTCGATTGACGGTAGATGCTTGGGAGGACATGGAGAGCCAACTGTTCTGGTCTCTCTACGATGATATGTTCTCCTGCAGGATCCCAACGGATCATGTGATGATTTTCTGGACGTTCAAGAAGACTATATAACGCGTTAATGAATAGAACTGTTGATGTTAAACGCGAACTTACGCGTAAAGTTTTGTTAAGAAAGTGGCCTGAGGCTTTGCCTCTGACTTTGGAGGAGGTGGTTGCTGCTGCTCATGAACTTTGAGAGAAGCAGGAGGACTGTCCTCTGTCGGAGAGCCATTGCTTGAACTAGAATGAGAAGCTGATGGCTGCTGTGGGTAAGTAGGACCCGTAGTATTAATCTGATGATAGTCAGTTGGACGAGACCATTGTTGAGCTCGTTGATGGGTTGGGTATTGAGAAGTGTACAGGTCCTGCATTGTCGGTCGTTGTTCGTAAAGTGAAAGGAAAGGAGGAATTGAAAGAAGTGCGAACTATGTAGCTGTTGTCTAAAAAGAACCAAAAATGAAAAGTAGTAAGTAGTCTCGTCGTCGATCGAGACCTTTTTGATATTTTATAAAGGTAGCTAAGTATAAAACTAGATGAACGGTGGAGAATAAATCATCAACCGAAATCGTCAACACCGAAATTAGGTTACGAATAAATTTACGTCAACATTCCATATCCATTTTTTGTATCCGCTTTTTCCTTTTTAAATAAAACGTAATCAAGGGTGCCGCGGCCGGGTTCGGAAATCACCTTCGGTAAATACATTATAAACAAAACAAAACAACTATAACAACTAAATTTGGTTGTCATTCCACTACCTCGGCGCCGAGGCTACCCTCGTAAGGAAGTATTCGTGCCAAATTTCCATGTGACAATTTCGAGTTGCCGCGAGATCTGAATCTACTCACTTTTTCCAAGGTTTTTGCTTTTCAGCGGCACCTCAGGCCTCAAGTACTCCATCCTGTAAAAACTCATAGCTACACGTGTAATGAATCTATGAATTTCATTTTCATTTTTTATTAAATGATCCCCTTCACGGCCGCCATATACAACCTTGTTCGCTTGCCCCGCACCCTTGTAATTTATCATTGGTTCACTTTAGCGCTAGCTGGGGTCCTAATCAATTACTCAATTTGGTAAGCCGTGGTTCAACTTATCCGAATCTGGACTTACCGCAACCAAACCTCCAATCTTCTCAATTTGCTTCTCCTCCTCAGCGATCCGCCCGACTTTGAAAGAACCACTCCCCGCGCCCTCTATCTCCTGTCCCTGCTTACATACCCCATGCCTCACTATCATTGTCTACCTATTTAGTTCCTCGTCACCAGCGCTCTTTCACCCGCATTTGACTAGACAAAATCCTATACTAGTTTATAGTCCGGGGGTACTGATCTCATCATATCATACCTTGGGTCTACACGATTTCAAACAGCGGTCTCAATCGGATCATCGACAAACGCACATGTTTACCAACGTCCATGGAGAAACTCTCACCTACCTCAAGATCGGCTGATCCCCGAGTCTCATCTACATTTTCAAAATCACCAACAGCGGCTCTACTGCGTCATGATCAAACTGATTAGAAAAGATTGTAGAGTGTCGGACATAGTAACACTAAAAGCGAGTGATAGATGGTTGAATTGTAAGAAGCAACGATGGTGTGCAGTGAAATAATACATGTGAACCTATTTTTCCCTAGAAACAAAAAAATCCAAGAACTATGCAAGCAAAGCATCAATGAAATGAAGCACTGGATGGTATAATACGATGAAAAAATAAAGTATCACACCAAATCCCATCTTCCACCGGCGATCGCATCCGATGTTTCGTAGCCACCGCGATATAGGGGTATAGACGGGAATATGGCGGAATCAGCTTTCCCCATCATAGTGTAGCGTGACGCTGTTGAACGCGCCGAACAGATCTCCATCTGCTGGAGCATCCATACCGTCATCGTATCCGGGTGTCCCAGGGACCGCCGGTACGCTTGCTCCTGCTACGCCCCGCATTTGCTCCTCTAGGTGAAGCGAGCGTGACTCCTTTAGGTGCCGAAAGTTCACCGCATCAAGACCGTTCGAGGACGACGGAATGATCTACACAGGGATAGATAAGGGACGCGTTAGTCGAGTTATCTCTCAAGCCGCATCACATCAGACATATGACTTGTCTCACACAAGGGTGAATACACGCCTTAAGCGCCCAACACACTTTCCGACATAGATACATAAGAGCAAGTCAGACTCACCGGTGGCCGCTGGTGACGCAACAAACCCCAGTTCATTTTGGCAAACCATTTATGCTGCTTAACTTCGCTGGCTCCACTCCTGCTACCAAACCTAGTTCGTTCATCTTTGTCAAGCAACCGAATGACAATATCCTTGCAAGCGCTGTACGGCAGAGGCTTTCGTTAAAGTTTACTCGTGACTCAATATCCAACTCCAGCCCACCTCGTAATTTTAGGAGCGTCCCGGAAATGAACTGGCAAAGACCGGATGTTGGCAAAAGTATCGTTCCTCTCTTTTCCCTTGAAGGGCGTGGTGGCGAACTACACAAGACCGTCAATGATTTTCCCATAGCAAAATCCGATCCAAACTCCGCCGATGATGATCGATGTCAACTCACAATCATTTCGTATATCAAGATACCAAGCGTCCACCAATCCACCGCAGCGGTGTGACCCTGTGCAGCTATCACTTCTGGCGCGATGTATTCTGAACAACAAAGCCGCATACGGTCAAGTCCTTGATTGTTGATAATTAAAGGAGCCTTACCCTCGGTACCGACAAACGAGTTGGTCCGAAAATCTGCTGTGCATGACATCGTATCAATCATAGGTATCTATAACATAGGTAGAATGTGTGAATTGCCATCGCATAGACGACAAGGAAACGGCTTACCCCGTTTGGTCCTAGCTGGTGAATCGTCGCAGGACGGCCCCCAGGATGTCCAGATTGTTTAGCGAGATCGAAATCCGACAGCATAATGTGGCCGGAGTGATGCAGGAGAATATCTGGACGAAGTTCCACCAAGTACGGAAGACGCGGTAAATGAAAGGCGACAATTACAGCAAGATGTGGCAATAAAGTTAAGCGTTTAGTACACGTTGGCGATCAAGAGGAGAAGTAACCTACTTTCTGGCTTGAGATCGCGGTATATGAAGCCATTTAAGTGAAGATACTCCAAGGCCGCCACAACCTCCGCCGCATAAAATCGTGAGCCATCTTCCGGGAGACATTTGCCCGGGCGAGTCTGTAACGCGCGAAAAAACTCGCCACCCATGCAGTACTCCATGCAGAAGTAGAGGTACTCTTCCGACTGGAAGGAGTGATAAAGTGTGACGATGAACGGGTGATTTGAAGTAGCTAGAATTTCTTGCTCGGTCAAAGCACGTTTGATCTTTTTTCGTTCGATCATCTCCTTTTTGGATAGGACTGAGAAATCATAATTGAAGCCAGTTTGAAGTCTAGTCAAATCACGAACCCACCTTTCATAGCAAAAAGCTTGTCAGTCTTCTTTTCTCGCACAAGGTACACACGTCCGACATCGCCCTTTCCAAGCATTTTAATTTTCAAGAAGCTTGATGGGCCGACCTCGACCTGCATTAACCCCTTTGTTAAAGAAAACTGTACTTGCAGAGAAGCTTTATAACGTACCTGCCGAACTTTGATTGAATTGCTGGAATATGTCCGTCTGAAAGCCATTTTCCCTGGACCATCATGCGCTCCATTCACAATTCTAGTCTTGGACAGGTGTGAGTTGCCAGGATACCGTTCGTTCCGATTAGATCTCCCTCTTGAAGAACCAGACGACAGAGTCTCCAATGAGTCATCACCGTGGTCAGATGACGTAGAGGGTGCACCAGGTACTGGTGGAACCATATCTGCAGGTGCTAATAGACCATTCTTTGTAGGTGCTGATGACCGACTACCGGAAGAAAAGAGATGCTTCGCATTTGGCGCGGATGCTACGCGACGAATGAAGCGCGTGGCAGACGCGCCCATGGCCCGAGGAGACAAGGGCCCCGAGCGACTTGAAGACGCAGCGTGACTTTGTGGGAGTGCGAATGACTGCTGAGAGCCCGTGGCAGTCTGAGGCTTTGTTGGTGTCTGCGAAGGGCGACCCTGCATCATACGCTGTTTCTCCGACTTTGTCCGTATGCGACTCTGAGGCTGTTGTGGGGTAACTATTCCATTCGCTTCAGCATTCGAAACAGACGACTGCTGCAGATGCGGCTGGTACTGGCAAGGGAAGAGTCGGGAATCAGGCACAAGGTACGGTGAGTTCGGTACAGCTCCCACGTTCGAGTCGCTAGATCGGGTATTCGAAGAGTTGTAGGAGGAACGCTCGTCGATAGGGAGGAATGAGCCAGGAGCCAGTGAAGGACTGGATGTTACGGGCATATGTCTGACTGTCTGAAGAGGAGAGGTAACTGCACGAGGCGAGCAGTCAACAGCTAGTATTGAACCATTGCCATTAGCACGGTGCTTCTTTGAAGAGCTTGGTAGACGAAAGACAGATTTCCATGAAGAGTGTAACGGAGTAGACGGTGGAGAGGTTGCGTGCATGATGGAGATTGTTGATTCGCGGTCGATCCCGAGCACTCGATCGGATTGCACAATAGCTGTTAAACTTATGCAACAAGTTCAGGCTTCGAGTCAGCAACAGCAGACACGGACTACAAAGATACTGAAGAAAGAAAATTGCTTTGGTATCGGGGGAGGTATAAACTCTCAAATTGTTGTCCCCTCAACATAACGGTAGCAGAAAATGGCGAAGCTTAGTAAGACGGCATCTTCCACTTCATTTAAGCTTCCCTACATTATACATAAGAGAATCTTTTATTCGCTTTAATGGTTAACCTTAGCAATCGTCGAGACCGTAGGCCGTAGGGTCGACAGCAAGCGAACGTTGCCCGAGTAGTAAAAATGATAGTTGGCGTAATTCCCTACCGGACACCCTTCTCGCGTTCGGATTCAACAAGTTAGAGCGCTTGATCGAACTAGTCACGCAATCAACGTGTCCGTCACGATGCCATAAAGTCGTAGATCCGTGTCATGGTCACCGTCCGTTGTACTGCCATTCTCCCACCCGATCATCCAACACTAGTACCCTCGGCTTGACTATATCATTAGTACGATGAACTGGTGCTAAAGTATAGTCGAGAGAGCAGATCTTCGCGGAAATGAAAGTGCTGCCACTCGAACGTTGCACATATGGGTGTAATAACGCGAACGTAAGCTCTAGCAAAAATTTCGTGTCATTTATCAATTTGTAATACTGCCACGAAGGCAACATTGGCAAAGGTACCGCGGGCAGAGTTGGATTTGCAGTTTCGGTCTTAGTCGAAACGGAGTCCGCGCCAGTTCCGCGTGCAGCTCCCAGTGAGGGCACACAGCACGTAGCATTTGCGGCTGCCTCGGTGCTTTCGTGCAATTATCAGTTTCAACTCCATACACAGCAATAAGCCATATAAGCGTGTCCGGTGAGTTCGATTCTGTGGGCACGAGGCAGAGATACTAATGATCCGAAAGGCAAACTCGCCTTGTAAATGGCGTACATTTTGCAAGCGATGATCATGCTTGCCGTGCACCATGGACTCCCACGAGAACTTCTCTGTAGACCAACCGGCTCCATGCATCCTGTCAAGATAGTGAATAACTTATTGCATAAACGTTCACTACTACCAGGAGGAGGTTGCTGTATCATAAAGCTGCACGCGAGCTGATAGGATGATATCATCGAGAGGCTGTACGGGGATATCTTTCTTCATGAACCACATGTACAGCAGTTGCCAAAAGTCGGTGTGTTGATGAAGGGAAAAATACAGCGACGCAGGGACTCCTGTAGCATCGCATAAAGCCCCAGAGAGGATGCACCGACCAACCAGTCCTAGTGCTCATTCCTACGGGCCGGCTTAACATGGGAATTGTGTGGAATCCCAACCTGGTGCATCATTAGTGTCTTTGACAACATCGCCATCACTAGGCCGAATCTGGGTTTCCAGAGGACATCATGCACTGAACCCTGACACAGCAACGTTTACCGATGGCAGATAATCAACGATATCACCTTTTGATATGTAGTGGCTGAGCCCAATCTGTGGTTGATTTGTGACACAAAAAGTTGTGATAACTGCCCAAAACTGGGGTTGAGGATCATGATGAGACCGCATCAGTATCATCTCGTGTGATCTAGAAAACAGGATGTTAATACTAGGGAAATTGCTTCATATCTGAACCCACGCATGACCCGTCTAGTACGTATGACCTTCCATGCATATCCTGCGATTAATAAACGCGTTTCACTTGCAAAAACAGAACACAGGTCTTTATAAACGTTCCGTAACGTTGAGACACCTAAAACGGTCAAGTCATCAATCCTCGAGGACAAGAGAGCAAGCAGTGCGATCCTTTAATAGCAATGCAAGATGAAGGCAAGGGAAACGTACTTCGGGGACATAAGATGACCCCACCAGCTTTTAAGTGAAATTCAGGAAGCACGAAGTAAGGATGGAATTTTCCGGTCCTAAAAACAGAACTATGTCACGGGAACCTATACATGAGCGGACTGCTGCACCACCTATCTAGATATATCAGTGCCTCGTGTGTCTCAGATTGTAGTTGGTATGACTTCATGTCGAAGCAAAGAGCCTATCCGGCTCACAAGGGGCTACGAGCCTGCGAAAGAGAAGGGAAACATCCCAGCAGCGTGTAAGATCGTGTGAAAAGCAATACGTGAAGAGGATGACAACAACTCACCCGGTTGGTTCGAAGAGGGTCGAACATTCTGGCAATGTCCATCATATCTCAGCTGCATGATCCCACACACTTGGCGGTGAACACATGGTCATGGGTTCAGAGGCAATTTCAAAGTTACTAGTAGATGCCGTAGTATGTCGGCCGCATCTCACGGAGATTGTTGTACATACTTCATTCCTAGTACGTGGATTTGAGCAATGAGGAATAGGCACTCATATCAGTTGGAGGGTAGTCGGCCCCGCTATCAGCCCTGAAGATGGCCAGAAGCACCTAAAGGCAGCTTAAGCAATTCCGGACTGTAAGGATGGTGGGTAGACAAAAAAGACAGCGTGACAGATGTGTCAACTATTCAGATCCGAAGCTGGAGAGGGCCTAGCGTCCGGAGAGTGCGGATTGAATGCTGACAACAAACAGCGGCAACGAATCTTGGAGCCTGGTATACAACGTCAGTCTTGATCGCTTGCTATGCGGAAAATTTTGGTTTGATATTGTATGATTAGCTTGAATGTCTTCGAGTTGAAGGAGGAGTTGTTCAAGTGACTTGTTCGCGTTCGGCCGGTCCGGTACCGATGTGAGCGGAGAATGACACGGGAGTGTACTATGAAGACACGTCGCTTGAGCATCAGCGGCAGTCATATATTTTTTTGGAAGACACTTAAGCATGTTCCTGCGCGTCAATCATATCCAGAAATTCTAATTTCCCTGCCTTAAAATCACCACGGTTGAGACACTTCTCCCCGCCCTGTCGCCCTCCAACAAGTCTCATACTTACTTGGATACCCCGCAAACGATCGCACGACCCCACGTATGTCATCGAGGTCATCGTCTAAAGAATCCCAGCCGTTGCTCCGTGACCATGATCAGGAGTCTTCTTATAACTCTGTGCAGGCCCTAGAGTCGAGCTTACCGATTGACCCACCGCCGCTAAATCAAGTCTCTCGCGCTGAACTTTTTTGGATCCTTTCGGGTCTTTGGAGTGCGGTGTTTCTCGGATCTTTGGATGGTGCGCTCTAGCTTGCTGGCAGTGAACGAAGAATAGAACAAACCCCAAACTTCTGTCAATAGGCACAATTGTGGCAACGCTTCTCTCACCAATAGGAAGCTACTTCAATAAATCTGAACAGTCTTCGTATCTGGGGACATCATACTTGCTCTCAGTATGCTGTTTTACCCCTCTATATGGTAAGGGCAACCAAATTATCGTACTATGATGCATGTTCATTTTAACACCTATCAGGTAGACTATCAGATATCTTAGGTCGCAAGGGAGCAATGCTCCTTGGACTGACTTTGTTTGGTGCGGACAGCAATGTTGATAGCCATTCATCCCTTTAATATGAAATCTAGGATCGGGTACTATCGCATGCGCATTCGCTCCCACTATGGAGGCGTTGATTGTTGCGCGCGCCGTCGCAGGAATGGGCGGTGGAGGGTGCGTGTAACGGAATGATTTTTGCAAGGCTCACTGTGCTGACATTTGTTTCAGAGTAATGACAGGTATGTTGGGCGCTGTAATATCAATCACCAAGGAAATTTACCTTGTTACAGTCAGCAGTATTGCCATCAGCGATCTAGTGCCCTTGTAAGTCCGGGTTTCATGGAGTAATGATACAGATCATCATTATTATTAGGAAACAGCGTGGCCTATACCAAGGGATGACTAATATGTAAGTGGCTACGGGTCTGCTCACTGGATTTGAACGAATACGCTCGATCAGTTTGTTTGGTCTGGGCGCTGGCCTTGGTGGTCCATTTGGAGGATGGGTGAATGACACCCTGGGTTGGTTAGTAGCCAATTAGAATATCCACACACCACCTACTAAATGATTTTAACAGGCGGGCAGCATTTCTATTGCAGGTCGGTAGCCTGGTATCTGTCTATCTCATCCTGGCCTCATTCGAACTTAGGCGCCGCTATTGCTCATATCTTTTACTTTGGTCGCACTCAAGGTCAACATAAAGTTGCCCAATGAGATTGAGACCCAAAGCACATATTCCAAATTGCAACGCATTGATTTCATGGGATCATTCACGTTAGTTGGTGCGGTCGCCGGATTATTGCTCGGTTTCAGTCTTAAGACTACTGAGGAGCTTCCGTGGTCACACCCCCTAATATGGGGGCTTTTTTGCACCAGCGCGGTTTTCTGGGTGGCTTTCATATTAGTGGAGGCTTACTGGGCGCCGTACCCTGTGATGCCCCTGCGCTTAATTACGCAACGCACCCCATTGGCGATATCTCTGGCCAACTTTTTAGCTTCTGTGACTGCCTTTTCGACGGTGAGGGCTAAAAACTTTACACGTTGCCACTTAATTAAAGCGGCATATTGTCCAGATATACAATGTCCCTTTGTATTTCTCAGCCGTCAGGCTCAACTCGTCCACGAATGCCGGTATGCTTGGGAGTATCTCCGTTTGCACTCATTAAGTAATACATGCCCTTTAGGTTTACATTTGCTTCCCCATTCTGTGCGGGTCTCCTTGTGTTTTGTGACAGGAAATACTTACCTTCTTACAGGTTGCTCTATCCACGGGAAGTATGATTGCAGGCTGGTGAGGTTCTTGTGACCATCCATCATTCTGACTAACTTACCGTCGCGAATGCAGGATGATGCGGCGAACAGGCAAACTGTATCACTTAACGTTGGCCTCTGTTGGCTTGACCGTCATTGCCAGTATTTGCCTCGCCCTATGGGATGATAACACATCGCAGTACCATCTATGGTTAGATGTTCTCCCACAGGGGTTTGGAATGGCCAGCTTAATCACTACTACGCTAATTGTCAGCATTTTTCTTTCCCCCTAATTCATAAACTGACCCGCTTCTGAATCTGCAGGCGATGATCGCAAGCGTTTACAAGGAGGATATGGCGGTTGCAACCGGTAGTAAGTGCCGCTTGACTGCCGTGAGAGGACCTCTGAACTCAAGTTGTGTAAATTACAGTCACATATCTTTTCCGAACAACTGGCCAAGTTCTTGGTGTTAGTTTATCAGGGGCTGTGCTCCAGAGCGTTCTGCTCAGAAAATTGCGCCAGCGGATTACTGGGCCTGGTTCATTAGAGGTAAGCGGCATTGGTGTGCACCTATACCGTCTGCATTTCATATGAATCCCCTTTGCCCAGATCATCGAGGAGATACGGTATGATGTCAAAGACAATCAATGCGGTGCATACACTTACAAGATGCTGTGTTCAGACATTCCATAAGCTCAATCCCTGAACTCACGCCTGCACACAGAAAGGCTGCAGTTGAGTCGTACGCCGATGCACTCCATGTTGTTTTCATCTGTCACATTGCGATCAATATTCTCGTTTTCATTGCATGCATACCCATTGAGGAGCACCCCCTACCGTACGTGATTGTCACGTCCGATCATGCCCTGCCGATGCTAACCTGTGTCGACGTTTCCAGAGGAACACTTCAGGAGCAAGAACATTATAGGAGCCAACAACTTGCGCAAAATGACACTGCTTCAGCAGTAGACTCACCTTAGACATCCATTCGACTGACTGACCGTTTGTGTCGGGTGTAATTATCCCTCAATAACTCCAGCGACACCCAAGCATGTTGGTACCACACTATGTACTCATTAGACCCCCCCAAGCCATGTACCCCGCGCAGCTTTCATATACCTCATCACTCTGGGATGTGTAGTAGTAGTAGACGGTAGTGGTGTACGCTGTATACTGTACTGGTAATATAGAGAAACTGCCCGAATCTTCACGTTGGGCCTCCTCGTCGGCAGTGGCTTAAGCTGGTGTATCATCCGAAGAGGGCCTCTCCTGTATCCACCTTCTTGGTGTCTTCTCCACCACCGGTGCAGGCCTCTTTCCCCCTGCTTTCCCCTCCGTATCTCCGTATCGGCTCCGGTCAGGTCGAACGGGACATGGTAGCACGTTGGACGCAGAAACCGTCAATACAGACGCAAAAAATGTGAGGCCAAACAGAGTTGAAACTAATGTGCGGCGTTGTTGGTATGTTAGACGAAAACTTTTGGAAATGGGCATTCTATAACTTTTCGTGCAATCTATTGTCAGTGGACAACACTGGAAAGCAGATGGATAGTTTACGCACCGACACTCTGCCCATCCTCTCGAGCAAGATGTGTTTGCGTTCAAGGTTGTTCGACGCTAACTTTTGAGGTCGTGCCGGATGTCGCCGACCATGCCAAAGACGTGATGTTTGCACTTGTTTTCCATACGCCTTTAACCACCTTCCGGTGAAAACTGTACTGGTCATCATGCCCAACGCTCGCGTACTCCGAGACATCAAGGCCCGTAACATCGTAAAGGCTAACGAAATCCTTCGCAGGGCCTACCTATATGTCGCGCGGAATGAGACCCTGTCCCCGCAAGTGCGACACCAAGCTCAGCTGCAGCTGAACACATTCGGGAAGTACACGCGTCCGACGACGGTGAAAAACCGCTGCACAGAATCTGGACGTGGTCGGGGGATCATCAGCGAGTTTGCACTTTGTCGAGTATGTGACTTGCGTGGGTTTTCTTGAACGCGTCCTCAACTTGTGACTTTGACAGTACCAATTCCGACTGAAGGCGCTCAAGCTGGAACTACCCGGCGTGCGCAAAGCTTCTTGGTAGATGGAGGTTACGCGTGCGTAAGATTTTGTGGTCTGGTGAGTTTACGCGTGTTTGATCAGCAAGATATGGAGTGCTCATGGTGTTCGATGCAGTGTATACTTAGTCTCCCCTAACCAGACCATTATAGATGAAGGGAAGCAGTCGTTCCTCAGTGACTTCTTTTGCACACATCCTTTTGTCTAGACGTAGCTCGCAGTATAAATATATTACCGCACGAAGTCTGCGCACGTATAATTATGTACAGTACTAAGTTTACAAGGTTCCAGCATGAAACCACACCAGTCCTAGGACGCGGGAGAGTCCCCTTGAGCACCGATATCAGACAACAACAATTCGTGTTCACCGCGCTCGCGTCTCCAGCGATTACAGACATTTAAGGTTGCCTTATCAATAAGGTAGCTAGAGAAGAATGAGCATACAATATGGGCATTACACAGCTTGCAAGAGGTACCTGTATTTCCGTAACCACCACTCAGGAAGTTCCCAGTTATGCTGGGCAAGAACATCGTCGCCATGAAGCTTGACCGCCTTCTTGTAGTCAAAAAGACAGTCTGCTAATGAAAATTGCCCTGAAAAATATCAGAATGTCACCGTGCTCGAAAATTGTTGTGACTACCTCGAAGAAGGATGATACGGTCTCGGAGCTCAGGATATATGATACGGTCGATGACACTTTCTGCAAAGGAATCAGTACATGTTGAATAGAAAGCGAAAGCAGTATACCATGATTGATCGTTCTTGAGCATGTGTAGTGAGCATGTGACCATCAAACTTGGGAGACTTTTGCTCACCTCTGCACCAGAGTTGGCCGTAATGAAGCTGGAAGACAATAAGCACTATTTCTCATGAAATTGTCCAGGTGATATCTAAAGGGACGCTCAGATATGAGATACACAACATGAATGAACGAAAAACTGACTTGATTAATTTCATGGCCTCAATATTCTTGGGATCTCGAAGTTCTGCCATATCTTGATCATCAGGCTCTTCAATGGAAGAGTTTTGAGGAACCCGCTGCTGAGGGACAGCCGCATTGGTTTTGTTCGTGGGGTAGGACATTGCCCCTAGGCGTTGCTCGACGTTCATGGACATTTGGGGCACATAAGGTTGAAAATCAGTCGAAGCAGTATAATGACTCGGTGTACTAGACGTCGTGGAGGGCATGAAGACAGGCGAATTCGCTGACTGCATAAGATCCGAAAACATATTGTCCTGAGGAGAGCGTCCTTGCGGGGGTGGTGGAGGATATAAGGAGCTAGCAGAAGGCACTGCGGAGCTCACGGGTAGCATGAGCGGGTAAGAGTCCCGACGGTCACCGTTTTGCTCTGAGTTACTCATACCTCTTGCCTTCTTCGCCGGCCCAGGCCCACTATCGTCCTCTGATGGACGCTTTCCTGTGTTATTCGACGGGCCAAGCATTGAACTCATGGCATTTGATGTTTGCGAAGTCTTCTGAGAATGTTTGCGAGCTTGAAAACTCTCCCATGCAGTGTCCGTTTCTGCCTTATTGATGAAACTGTCGAAGTCTGCCATATCCCAACCAAGCTTCACTAGCAAACCACCGGCACCATCGCCGATAAACCCGGACACACTCTTTAGGAGGCCGCGAAGGACCTGATTTTCGGCCATAAGATCTGTAAAATATAGACTACGACAAGTAACACCGATGCAAACGAATATAATTACATACCCCTGAGAATTGCTCTGCAGTCGGTCAGAGCTTCATCCTGGGACGCAGAAAGCAATTCTACGCGTGCTTCGAGGTCACGAATCTGATTGTTGGAAAGTGGGAAGTTAGTACGACGATGCCGGAAATGATTACGGACCGGCGCACCCTTTGCTGCTTCCTCAGGCGAAACTCACGCTGAGCTATACGGTTCTGGTCCCGACGCGCTGCCTGTGAGCTTCTCGGTGTTCAATCATACATAGCAAAACCAGTCTGAAGTTGACAAACTTTGGATTTTTTTTCCTGCCTGGTTTATTCGGCTCCCCTGCCCCGAGTTCATCACCATGATCGAGATGGGATTCATTATCAGAGTCCTGTAAAATGATTATTTTGGTGAGATCAAGAGACAGTAAGTGCAAAAGAAGCATACTAGATCAAGTTCTCCAGATACACTACGGGGCGCATCAGGCATTTTGTGGAAATGATAGGTAGTTGGTCAAAAGTGAGTACTAATTGTTTGGCGGGTACAGTGATATTTGCAATGCCCGCGTAGTCAGCACTAGTCAGCGTCGGCACTTAGTTGACTGAGTGCGATGCCGACTCCGACGACCGGTTAGTTTAAATAGCCGAGCCGACGGTTGACAAATCATCCGTGTCAGTCTTTGTCCGGCGCCCGGCCGCCACTTGGCACTGTACATAGTCCAATCATGTGAATCATGGATCACGCTGGTTTAAAAGTATGACTTCATGTTGTAGGCGTTCGGAGGCGCCAACCACCTACATTCGGAGCCGCACATCTTATGCGCTGATCTCTCAAGATCTCATTCTCGAACATCAGCATACTTAGCATTCTGTCATCCGCTCTATCTGTCTTTGGCTCTCATAGTATGCACTAGGGTTACACTATGGTCTCCTTGCTGCGTTTTGTATCAAGCAACGCCAGGTGTGAAACATATGTGAGTGGTTCTATGACAACTTGAAATGCATCCAACTGCGTCGTCGACTCGTGTATGGCTCGGCGAAAATTTCCCGATTTTGATAAAGCTGATACTCCCAGTTTTCTCAGCCTTGTAATAGGCCCTGAGGCAGTCCCCACCAACACCCGTCAGAAACGTTCTATGGACAGATGCGATACATATACGGGGACATCTATCAATGTATTTCGAATATGTCCTTCGAATCGAGCAGCCTATCTGTCGCGGACTCAAGCTCTTATTTGGCTCAGGTGCAAGCTGTTCCCCCCTTAAAACACGCTATTCCCACCTAGTCGGCATCAGAACCTTATGCATTGACATAACAATTGGCTAACATTTACACAGCTCCGACGAAATGGGGGTTTAATTTCAGCAAGTTCCGCATTTGTTGGCCTGTAACGTTCTTTCTTATCGTCATCATACAGGGTGTTGCTCACTGAATCGCCATGTTCTCATGATGACCCTTAACGTTGACATCATAGCGTCGCCATATTTCATCCGCGAGAAAACATCCGAGCCGCCTGTATCATGTCTTATCGCCTCTCGGGCCGTTTGACCCCGGCCCTATACTAACAGCTAAATGTACTTGGTCAAGTTCAGATTAATGTGAGTACAAACCCACCATCTGCCTGTTTACCCTGACTGATGCGATTGTTCGTCGCAGGGTGTACGAAATCCCTTCGGCTGCTGGTCCTGCTTGTATCCATGAAATTCGAATTGACGTGACACGTGTTTTGCAGGGTGTCAATCTCGGTGATCATCCTTCAGATTCGTTCTCACTTGGTACGTGGCATTTCTTTTAGTTCGACCAACTCGGCGACTCTTTTATTCGCGTCCGCGCGCCACACGTCTGGCTCTAACTAGCTGAGCGAGTCTTTTGGCGTTTCTCCTCGGGGTGGAGCGTCGGTGATGTGATAATGCGTGACCCTGCCGCTCGTCGTGGTGCTCGATATTGTGTATTGATTCATCCTGAGTAAATATTGAATCCTGAGTAATGTTAATAGGCACCTGAAGTTGAAAAATGTTTTGAGCTGCCACTTGGCTGCCACCGCGAGTGTCGAGGTTGAGCAAAAAATTGCAGTTGGCGTATTAATATGTACTTACATTACACGCCTTCAGGAACATTACCTCACGTTAGCAATCGCTTATCGTCTCCATGGCTCATTGTCGCTCGCCTACGCATAGTCGATGGCTTGCTCTTATTTGGGACGCGACATAGTACTGATAATAGATCAGTGACCTCAGCTCCCAACCGTGTATTCGGTCGGATCAACAGTTTCTCCGCGCAAACGCAAAGCGAGATTCATTACTGCAGTCATTTAATCCCTTCTTGGCCTTCAAAACTTATCATCATGTAAACCGCTCTCGCGATTTGGATTAACATTTCTTTCTTTCAAAGTGCAAACTTACCCTACAAAATATCCCCAGCTAGTATGGTTGTCGAAACCGACATGGTCTTCCGCTTTGTTAATTCTACCGACACCAACGGCGATACGCGGACGTTTCGAGTGTATCAAGTGATAGGAACAGCAGCACACGAGGAATTGGAGCTATACAAGGTACGCCCAACTCATTCCTCTACCAAGATTCATGAGTTTGACTGCCCTTGCAGTTCTCACATTCAATGACTGGTTCTTCTGGTGGAACCACAACTTATCAGCGGAAAAATATGAACAGTTTGATCTTTGAGACTGTTGGACAGATCAGTTGGAGTTCAAACATTATTGCCTCCGCCGTGTATTTTGGTTTAGAGGAGGTGAGATTTGTGATGCTGATGACCCCGACGCCGTCTGATTTGGTTACCAGGTTTCTGTCAAAGATCTCCGCAAGGTCAAAAATGCGACCAGCCAGTGAAGTATTTTGCCCGAGTTCATATCCCCATTACTGATTCATTTCATGGATCTTAGTTCACGCAGATTTAAATCCGGTGTCGGTGCCGCATATAAGTGGAAGATATCAGAAAATAGGACTGACTTATATGTACGTATCACTGAGGTTGGAACATGCATATCCTAACGTTCCCCTACAAAAACAGTGTATCGATTCACAAGACAAATACATTGCATCGTGGTCAAACCACGAGAGGATACTAAGAGTGACCCCACGCGCCAGCGCGATGTTAGATCGGCTGGTGGTAACTTGCTTCCTGAATGTGTGGTTCAAGCGACTTGGGCGGTGGTAACGAGGTCGTCAACGTCAGGTGTCTATCCTTATACTGTATAGTAATCAACTTAATCGCAACGTCTGTAATCTGTGTTTAATGTTCTAGTACACTGAAATAGCTCCATCACTACTCACCTCTGATAATCGTTTTGCAACCGGGAAACTTGAATGTCACCGGGCTTCAAACTGAACCACTATTGGACGAAAAGGTCAACAGTTGCTTGGTTTCTTGTTTCAAGAGCAACAGACACGCACTCCGCTTTGTTCGTTTCTTGTACATGATACGGTGACCACACTCGCGACAACGTATGGGTTCCCTAGACTTTATTTCATTTTTGGCGCCACAATCTTTTCAAACTTTGATTAGATTGTTTATAAAGTTATGCTTGCAGGGAGTACCTGCGCAAATATATTCCATATCCTGCCGCGGTGCAGGTATGAATCCACCACCCCCTCCAGCATTCGTAGTTTGTTGTCCTAGCTGGTTCATGACAGACGAGAACGAAAAAAGCTTGGTAGCGGAAACGCGTGACTATCGCGTGATGTGATCATTACCCACGTGAGTCACGTTACGAGCGCGCGCAGTTACTCGGCGATTGATCAGGGCGTTCGCCGTTGCGAATGCGATAAAGAGAATCTAGTTTGAAGTTTTTTCAGGTTTGGTTGACCATGTGCTTGACTGATGGAAACAGTTGGTTGCAGCATGGAGACTGTCACTCTGTAATTAAGTCGGTTCGAAGTCCCGCGTAGCCTGGTAATTGTTATACTTGTGCACTGCTCGGCCTATTAAGAATTGTTCGAAGCTTGTGAACAAGCTCTTGTTAAAAAGAACAATGAAGATTCGTATAGTATAATGTATGCTATGTAGTATTATGATTGCGGGTATGTCCAGAATAGCGCCCCTTATTAAAACTCAATCACCTTGCCGACGGGGCTGGAACCCTATTGATAGTGTAAACCTTCAAGAAAATAAAGTCACAAGTGGAACTCCAGAGTTTCGTAGGTGGCGACCGTCCTTCGTGACAACCGTGGGCGGTATCCAAGGGGTCAAAACATCCTTATAACCATGCTCATCTTACTTATATCGCCCATCGAAGACAGTTCTCCCGACATTGCATAGTACCACGTCTGAGATCGTCTTATGACCGCTCTCCCTTCTTTCATTCAACTCATGGCTTCTCTAGGCATACATGATGCTGAGCCAGAAACCCCAAGTATAGTCAAGACTCGAGATCGTTCTTCTTCATGTTCTTCCTGCTCTTCATTGGGCAGTTCGGATGGTTGGAGCCCCATCCGTTGTGCCCGTGACTTTGACTCAGATAGGCGTTCTCGTCGAGTCAGAGCAGTAAGATATTCGCCGTATATTTCAGCTAGTGTGAGTTGCTTTGCTTCACCGATCTGTCCCTTGTCTCATTGTCACCAAGTCTACTGCCAGACAAAGCAGTGCTGTGTCGTTGACACCCAGCCAGAGTGACCAAGAAGATTCGAGTAGGGTAAGAGCATCGACTTTTTCCTCTCAACCCACTTTTTCCTTACTAGAAAGCGTAGTCTTCATCACCAAATCCTCCATCTCCTCGGCACACACGACGTCCCGCACCGCTTCATTTATCCAATAGAGAAAGGTCATCCATCACCCCAATTTCCTCATATGTTCGCCGCAAGACACCGCAAAACTCGCCTGTCGTCCTTACTTTCGCTCAACGGGAGTACGTCGAGAGACCCGAAGTTATCACTCCACCATCATTGATGCCGATGTCATTGCCCACCATTCCCCCAGTCCCTCGCTAGTTTCTGTTTGAACCAAACAACGGACCTCATTTCCACTTCTATTCCGCGGCCTGATGATGTTACAGCTTGTTCACGATGTAGTTGCCGTGTATCCCAAGGAAGGACTTATGGACCTTTTAATTCTCTCTCTTATACACGCATACATATCTCTCCTTTGCATTTCGTCTCACTTCCCTCGTTTCCTTCTCATACTTGTCATAACCTCGCTCTTTGCTTGTGAAACTTTCGCACTCACGATTGTACTACATATTGATCTAGGTTTAGATCAATCATATGATTGATATTGTACAATACGGAGGGAACAATCTTCCCTACAGTAGACATTTAGTCGTGATCATCTTCTTCAAGTCCAGGGCAATTCTGTTCCAAATCAATAGCATCCTCATACTGAGTCCCGCACCAAAAACAGTACGAGTATTTCTCCCGCAGATAATCGAGAAGGAGCTTTAAGCGGTCCCGCGGCTGCATCAGATTTGAAGTCAGGGGTACGCATTAAAGAATAAGGATTTTATTAAAAGTATACTCACGCCCAGTCGTAAAAAGTAAATCGCTTCCTCGATGACTTCTTGCGGGAATTGTTCCACTGCTGTGGGTGTTTTGCTGTCGTCGGCATCTTCATCTTCATCCAATGAAGTAACCGGTAACAGGGCATCAGCTGCCATTTGGGCGCGTAGACGTGCCGCATGGGAGGCGTCCCCTGAGGCGGAGCGCAACGGTGATACATGCAGTGTATGGGTTGATAACGTGTCCATAAGACCACCTGGGATAGACTCGGGATCGTTAGGATCCAAACAGAGGACGTTGAACTATCGCACAGATCAATGAATCTAGTATCCCCGCATACATATCTAAATAAAAACGCACCGTGATGCCTGCCTTCTCGTCCAGTGTGAGGCACGTCTGTCGTGCAGGGGAAAGGCGTCCTTCTGCTCGCCGTTCTTCGTATTCGCGGCGGGCACGGTCTCGGAAGCTCTCGTGACCGGCAGCTTCCGCCATCTTTGCCATCTTTGCGAGGCGATCTGCGGCACTGGGTGAGCGGGCACGCTTCCCTAGACCAATACCTTTCTTCCCTGCAATGATAAGCTATCAAGTCAGTTATTTTCCTTCCATATGCAGGTTTTCAGTGCGGACATGCCTTGCCATTCATTGAGGGGTAATGGTTCAACCTTGTGTCGAGGTTTTCCTTTCAAATCCTCTCCAAGATCCGCAGATTCTGACTGAGCCCTAGATGTACCCTGCTCAGACCGGTCCTCGGATAGACTAGGACCAGGTAAGGGAACTGTGTTCTTTGGAGGGCTGTCCTCGGTCTTTCCCAATGATTGCCCGACCTTGAACCCCATTTTCATCATGATGCCCAGTGCCTTGCTCCCACCTGCGGCCATCTCTTCCTCCTGTGCGCGCTCGAACAGGCTCTTGCTCAGCCCCTCTTCCCTGGACTCTTGCTCCCTCTGCCGCCGACTCTTCATTCGGTTCTGCTCATTCTTGACTTGAGACTGCTTCAAAGCCTCTCGGCGTTTCTGAGCATACGTTTTCGGCACAGGCTCGGCTGCAACCTGGACAAGAAACTTGTCCGAGAGGTAATCATCCTCGTCGGCCATGGATCGACTTCATAAATTAGCGTGGACTTCGCCGTTGACAAACATGTCACAATCACTTAGGCACACACGTTTATTTTGAGCATATGGGGATCATTCAATGACCACAGCCACGTAAAAAAAAATCGTAGTCTTAGTAGACATCGCGAAAATTGACTGCAGCTGCTAGCGAGTCTACAAAGTCCGATGAAAGAAGGACACCAAACCACCAGAATGAAAGCACGACTCGACTAGTAAACATACGCGAAAAACCATAGCGCGAGCGAGATGAACAACACTAAGTGAGGATGAACTTGCACCGGAAATTGAACATGCGTTAAGTTAAGGTAAAGTCAACGGGATATGGGACCGGAGTCATGTATGTGTATGGTGTGATCAGGCGGTGTACTCAGCTTCCTCGATCAATTCTTGACGGGCAGAGTTGACAGCAATCTTGACAGCGATGGGACGGCCGCCAACTTCCTTGCCTTGGACAGCCTCGATCGCCTTCGCCTGTTCCTCCTCGGTGCCAACATCGACAAAGCCGTAACCTTTACTCCTCCTGGGCGTTCCCCACCGGCGACGAACCACGCGGGCGGAAACGACATTCACACCAGCTTCGGTAAAGAGCGTAGAGAGGGCTTCATCGTCTACACTGAAGCCAAGGTTGGCGACAAACAGAGTGGTCTTGGAGGGTTCGCCAACAGGATCTTCACCGGCAGCGCGGGATGGGCGATAAGCCCTGGGCCTCCGAGTCCTAACGCGAGGCTTCCTGGGGGAAGGCGTGGCAGCGTCAGGGGCACCCTCTGCGGCAGGGTCCTCCCAGCCAGCCTCCTCGTGTACAATTTCGCCTTCTGGAGGAGTAGCACCACGGCGGGACTTGCGCTGCAAGCGAAATGAATTTTGATGAATCATCGCGTGTAAATTACATACGTTGCTCTTTTTCTTTTTTCTTTTGGGCTTAGCTGCCTCGTCAGTGCCCGAAGCAGCAGTGGGGGGAGCGGCATCCTCCGCCTTGACTTCGCCATTTGCCTCAGCATCGGTGACTTCACCAGGAACGGCCTTGGCACCGCGCCTGTTGGGTCTCCTCTTGGCCCTTTTTTCCTTCTTTTCTTTGTCCTTTTGATCAGCTGGCTTGGCAATCTCGACGATGACCTTGCGGCCGTCGAGCTCCTTCAGATTGAGGAGGTCAACGGCTCTTTGAGCAGCCTCTGCGCTGGACATTGCGACAAAGCCATAACCTGCGGATCTGGGACCTCGCAGGATGACCTGAGCAGTGATACTGTAAAGCGAAGAGAAGTTAGATATTGGGAACTAAAAGCTGTGTCAAAACCTACATGTCGCTCTGTACGGGGGCAAAGAAAGTCTTGAGCCCTTCATCCGTGGTAGAGTACGCAAGATTGCCAGCGAAGACCTAAGTTATTATAGGAAAGTGAGGATTTTTGAAGAAGAGATAGAAAAAGGATATAGATACTTTGAATGGGGGAGCTTCTTCGATGACATACTCTTGCGCAGCCGGAGGCACGCCATTCTCTGTAACCTGGGCGGCTTGGGCGTCGGACATTTTTGAGGGATTGGACGATTGGGATGAAGGATGAACGCAGTGATGAACTATGTGATGAACCGGTTTCAAAAGTTGACAGTTGAAGAAAAAGAAACCGTTTGAGCGATTTTAGACGCTGCCCTTTTTAAATCATTACAAACACGTTCAATATGATTTATGACGCTAACTGCCTCATGTTTTAGCCTTGAGGTACTATTCGGTCCAAGATTTTACATAATATATGCTACTAGTGCTTTGCGTATTTACGATCTTATTTTCTAATCTCCCTATGATCGACCTCATCGTCGAACACGACGAGCTGCTCGTATCCGTATTACTACGACGGTGATCACAATAGTTAATGAATGTCATGGCAATTGGAAGCTTGCCGTGCGATTGCTTACATAATTCAATCGATAAAATGTGTGGTCTTTTCCGTTCCTTGCCTTCTCTTGTTCATTCATTCATTCAACGTCGAGCTTACGGCTCAGCCTCACTCTTTTAAGACCACACTCTCTCAATCTCCGTGCCCGTACTGTTATATATAAACTATCCGTCTTAAAGACGATTCCCTCAGTCTGCATCTCAGACAGCAACCAGAAAAAAAAATGGCCGCTCTCAAATTATTCAATCTCCTTGCCTTAGCTTCAGTCGTTCTTCTTGCACTCGTGTCTGGTCCTACGTCTGTCAACGCCTTGACTACAGATCGTTCTCATGTCGCTCGTTATGCTCGTGACCACGAAGCCGTAGCGGCAGCAAAGAGGAAGCGCGACACTGCAGGCTCTGCTTCTGGTCAATGCAAGCCTAAGCCAACAACTGCCCCTGCGTCCAGTAATGGTGATAGCACTCCCACTTCGTCTTGGTCTTCGTCATATTCGGTCAGTGCTTACACGCCTGCACCCTCGAGCACGGGTTCTACCTACGTCACTCCAACGCCTACCCCTACTCCCACTCCTACTCCCACCCCCACTCCCTCCTCTACTCCTACTCCCTCCTCCACTCCCACTACTTCCACGACCACTTCAGGTGGTAAGAAGTGGGGTTTGGGTTGGGCTAACGGCGATGCTGGCTACCTATCCACTTTCGCCGCCCGTCCCAATGTTGGCTAGTACGTACTTTTAAATTCCCTTTGGTTATTTTCTCTAATGACAAAACAGCCTCTACACTTGGAGCCCTTACTTGCCCACTGATATCTATGGCCTCGAAGGGGTTCCCATGTTGTGGGGTTACGATCAGGTTTCCGACTTTCAAAGCTTGGTTGTCGCCGGTTACGCCAAATATGTTCTTGGCATGAACGAGTGTGTCCCATAGGCCTATTTTTGACACTGATTTTGACAGTTCTGATTTTCAGGCCCAACGAACCCAGTCAGTCCAACATGAGCCCCGCGGATGGTGCTTCGCTCTGGCAGCAATATATCAACCCGTTGCAAAACTCGGGCTACTACCTCGTCTCCCCTGCTTGCACCAATGATCAGGCTGGTCTTGACTGGATGGCTGGCTTCTTCCAAGCCTGCTCTGGTTGCCACGTTAGTCTAAATTCGTCATAATTTTATCCGTTTTCTGATTTTTTTTTCGTGATTAGGTTGATGCTATCGCCTTCCACTTCTACGGGACTAATGCTCAAGATTTCATCAGCTATGCCACCCAGCTGCATACCACCTACAACTTGCCCATCTGGGTTACCGAGTTTGCTGATCAGGTAACTAGTTCCCAATTACATCAAGTATCGTTAGTTAACATGTTCCTGAAGAGCTTCAGTGGCGGTGCACAGGCCAGCCAGGATGAAGTTTATGCTTTTGCTAGCACTGTCGCCAACTTTGTCGACAGCACTTCCTGGTTCGAAGTTGCCTTCCCCTTCGGTACGACTGACATTCATTTCCGTGCCACATTTACTGATTTCTCACGCCAGGTGTTATGAGCGACCTTCAAGGAGTCAACACTGCTAACTCTCTCCTCTCCAGCGATGACACGCCCACTTCTCTTGCTTACGACTACTTTGGCTAAGGAATTTTAGTTCTGGTCATGAATTATATACATAGCCCGCGGGATTCAGGCTTTGTAGCCCTATCAGCTTCGTCATATTCCCGTTAAGATACCATGCCACTGTTGGATTGGATTCACTTATCATTTATCTCACTGTTACCCTTTATCTGGTCACAAGCTTTATGTAGTGTACTGGTTTCTCATGTCGCCCGGTCGACTAGAAAGGTTGTGCTTTTGTTGAACAATGCAGACTTTATTCTTGAACGTTAACCCTCACATCCGGGGGAGAATATTCTGTAAAAGGAAACAGCGATCAATTTTAGTTTCACTCTCATGAGTGTGACACACGTGTTTTCAACGACGGGATCCCGTATACGGAAAAATAAGGGTCGATAAAACTTTCCCAGGGGTCAATATACCGGAGCCACCTTCTCTCTTTGGCAAAACAAGTGACCGAATCTTCCCATTATGGAGAAGCGGTCGGGGAAGTGGAGTTTTAAAAATGGTCGACCGCCGTTTGCCATGACGAAGCTGCTCGTATACGGCGTGCCGTACAAGGATCAGCAGGTCGGACTTGCAAGTCCGATCTTGCGTATATAGTCCTCTTATTGCCCGAGCAATGCGATCCCAGAAGAGTATAGTACGACATGGTCAAACATTTACCGCCTGCAGTTAAGCATCTTTTGACTCTCCGTAACCCGGAAGCTTGGCCAAGCCCCTCTCTCGGAAAACTTCATAACGTGTTCAACCGTACCCTGAACGAGGCGAAACAACGAAACGCTGAAAACGGATGGCTCGTCCTCTCGGTACGTATGCCTCTTGCGAAATTGCTCTTCTAGCCCCATTCAAGCGGAGATAACAGACATGCACACTCCTTACCACTAACAGACCGTCTTCTGTTGGCCACTTGTATCGGTTCGTTACCAGGAGTGATCCAAACTCGCTCGAATCGCGAAAGAGCCTTACGGAGGTCGTGTACAAGGCTGCCCTCATGCGGGAAGCCGCACTAAAGAGCGTCATCTTCGTTGGTGTACCTCGAGTGAGTGCACTTACATGAAGTTCAGAAGCTTGATGGCCTCGGATACCTGCGCCGCCGAGGTCAGGTGACTTAACGTAATTCCAGACGATTCTCTCCTTGACGGGGCTAAAGGACGCACTCGAAGAAGACGTCTTCGCCGCGTTACGGAAAAACTCTATCAGGTATGTGGTGTCCGAACACGAGGCAGTGTCCAGCCTCATATCTTTTTTTTTTCTGCAAATTTTCTTCAGGGAAGCAACTCCGCAGACCATCGAGGCGACTGTCGCAAGGGGTCAAACACTGTGGAATTCGATTTACCAGCCTCATGCGGTGAAGCTGTATAATAAATTGGGGGACCTTCATCCTGATTTCATCAGTACGTTCTTTATTCCCATTACCCCATGGTCTTATCAATCCCGTTGTAATGGCGCCATCGAGTTTTATGTTTCTGCACATACTGCACATACGAGCCTGATCCACTTTTACAGAGTTTATCATTCAGGCCTACGGTACGGTCTTGTCTCCCTTGCCACGAGGGGACTTGGAGCAAGGAAACCTCACCCGCGCTCTTGGATCGGTGGTCGGCATTGCTACTCTCCGAGCCGAGGGCAGAGTCGGACCTCAGCTAATCAGCCACGTTTTCGGTCTTCTCAAGGCCCGCAACGAGGAGAACTTGAATGACGAAGACAAATATCTATCAAGCGATGAAGGCACCGAATGGGTTGTACGTACAATAGATGAGATTGTCGACGCCGTTACATCAGAAGAAGCATCCTTGACAAAGGGGAAATTGTAGATAATACGAATCATACGATACAGCGTCATTTAGACTCAGATCGTATGAAATCAAATGACGGTCTGATTATGGCGGCTTAGCGCAATGATTGTAGGCGATTGGTAGCACAATGAGGTATACTTGCATCGTGCACTCACACGTGAGGGCCGGAAACGCGTGTTATCGATCATCGGAAGATGTCAATGTCGCTGTTGATGCTGCACCCCCGGCTCGTTCGGAAGGAAATTTTCTCTCGTATGAAATGTATAGCATTACATGTGTGGAAGAGTTCAACAATGATACGTACAAAGGGAATATGGGCCAATTTACAGTGTGAATAAGATTGCTAACATGCGTTAAAAATGACATCAAAGACCAAATGCCTGACAAAATCGGTATAGCATGGCAGTCACCGTGACCGTGTCCATGATTGGGGGATGCATCTGGAATCGGGAAAAATAAAATTGACTCTTCGCATAGCGAGTGGGGTAACAAGTACTCACGATGGTAGCTGCCCCAGCGTTTCGCAGAAAGTGGAGCTCACCATAAACATCCCCAATTTGATACCGTGTTGGTCGTGTGGGGCGGAAGACTGCAACGATATTTCCAGCGGAATCTTCCAGCTGCGGAAGTAATAGTCAGCTTTAAGTTTGCTTCCGGAGGACCAGATGTAAGCACTCACTACGACATCAGCAGAACCGGGGGTTTGCCGCCAGCGGTATGTTAGACCATCGGGTGCGTTGAATATGCGTGCGCCCTATGGATAGTGTAAGCGATATCGCAATCAGACCATTTGATGTAACTGACCGGGAAGCGTGGATCCGGGCGAACCAAGTCGGCCATCGGTACTGTATTCTGAGGGAACGCGGTCAGAACAATGGGATCCAAGGACGCCACGAGTTTTACTGTACCTTACCGATCACTGCGCGGCCGAGGCCGCCATTCGATGCCCATTCCAATTTTGCGACGCGGTCTTCCTTGTTAGCCCGTACCGCTCGCCAGAGGGTAGTAGTACTCTGCCCACTAGGGGCCACTACAGTCTAGGGATGTCGATCAGGGTCCAATTTGGCCTATAAATGTTGCGGAGCTGCATACCGCAAAACGATAAACAACACCCCAGGCGTTAAAGAGTTGGCTCTCTCGCGGATCCTGGCTGGTCCACGAAAGTACTTCGTTTGATGGTGCTGCCATAGCTTAAAGGAAGGAAGAGCGCTGTCGAAGTTTGCGGGAGTGGGTATTGGTTTTTGTGGGGAGTCCGATGATGAAAACCTTGTCTTTTTATATTGTGGAATAGTTTGATAACATCCGCATACCCCTCTTGTTTTTCACCTGATCGCGAATATTCATTGACAACGTGGACTTGTGACAGATAAAGATGAGGACACAACAAACGTGTAGACGAGGAAGCGTGGTGTCGTTATGTGGTCTGGAGACTTGTCTGTGGAGCAATGGTCCGATGCAGCAACTCAGGTCGAGGCCGACATGATCGAGGAACACGCGTTCAACACACAAGCGCTGATTCCTCTGGGACAAGTAGATTGGCGTCGAGGCCATTCGGCATGACACATACGACCTTCTATCTCACAAGAGCACAATGTTCGTTTATACACTGAGTTACCGAGGGATCAGCAAGCAGTCTGGCATGAGAAGGTCGCCGAGAATACTCATAAAACGCACTAATCAAAGAGAGAAATAAGAGGACGAGGAGATCTTCACCAGCTTACATGCGGTAAGGAAGCCTCTCCAAATGGCAGGTCAGATACATGACATTGGCGGTAGAACTAGACCTGAGAACGTGTTCTATGAATGCGGGATAGATGCGGTTAAACCTGACCGAGGCGTGTCAGCAGCATGGCGGGAAATCCCATAAGCAGGACAAAGGTACTAGTGATAAGCCCATGACCTCTGCTAAACGCTGCGACAAAAATACCGCCTATGCTTGAGGATGAAGGGGGTGGAGGAAGTTCAAATAAAGTTTCATGAATTCTGAATTAGGCAACCTGGGCTGGAGTTAAGGGAGCGCTCGCTAGAAGACAACCTCGGTTTACGAAGACCGGAGAGTCCTTGTTCAAATGAAGAGAGAGAAGCGTAATTTAAGGTGAATGAACTCAACCTTACTCAAGTTGCTCCTCGTTGCATCAGGCGCTTCCCTTTCCATCTCTTCATTACACGATGTAGATTAGTGTGCATCTAGTTCTTTGACTTTGGAGTGCGTCCGATCATGGCCTATCATACATATATCGACTGGGGATGCGGTGGCGACCCCGTGTTCTTAGTTCTCGATGAGAGATCGCATGTCTTGATTCAGATTGATAAGGTGCGGCACGCACGAGTCGAATCTCGATCGTAAGCCCATCGGGAGAATAATGCAACACCATTTGCGTACCTTTTCTGCGAATATCTGTGACAGGAGGTCACGGCACAACCTGTAAACCCAAACTTTTCGCTGTGCCAACAACAGTACTTGCGATCGATTCGAGCTTCAAGTGCTTGAGGTGCGCATCCTTGGCTTTAATTTTTGCGACTTCATACACGTGTTTGAGACTAATTGTTCCGGTGACTTCATGACCAGGTCGACCTGTTCCCTTTTCTATCCCCGCAGTTTTTTTCAAGAGGTAGGTCGTTGGTGGTGTTTTGGTGATAAACGAGAAAGTGCGGTCAGGCTCGACGGTGATTAAAGTAGGAGTTGGGACCCCATGTTCAATATGGGCAGTTCGAGCATTGAACTCCTTGCAGAAATCCATAGATTTTACACCACGCGCACCAAGCGCTGGACCGACGGGTGGTGTAGGTGCAGCCTTGCCCGCAGGAATCAGAATGCGCTAGAATAGTTTTATTACTCAAGCGAAAAAACGTTGCAGAGAAGTACTTGCCACCAGTTGATCTTTCGCTTTCAGAGCCTTGGACATTGACGCGTTGGAAGGAGAGAAGAATTGGATATTGTCCGAATTTGGTTGAGCCAAACAGTCGCAATTACAACTGCACGTTGTCACGCGTTATCTACAGCGACTGCGAGGTGTGGTCATCGTTTTCTGAACCCACAAGTCGACGCACGGTCATTCGGTAATCTACTCATGGATCCCCATGACCCTAAGTCTTCTGGAAGCTCAAAGAATATCTGATGATTTTAGATGCAGTGTCCTTCTTACGACGTACTACATGTCTTCTGACCTAGGAGGACATCATGTGTATCTGCCAACTTCCAGTGCATCTAAGATTAATACCTTACCAAGGGGGCAATCTACCACCATTTTGGAGACGTACAACATCTAATGTTGGAATCCTCACATCAACCCTCGGCAAATGAATCTACTCTCAACCTGCCGTTACAGCCTCCTTGCGGCAGGCAATGGTGAGGTCAACGTTCTTTAATGACTTAATTCTTCTATACCAGGCTCCCTCATTCTCGAGCCGATCAATGCTTTTTTGTGCCGAAAGAGCTTGCAATATACTGCTGGATCATCGGTTGTCCACATGCGGTCTCCGCTGATTCGATATCTGGCATCATCCTCTTCATACTCCTTCAGTAAGCGAGTACAGTCATTATCGCTCGGATCAAGCGGAAACGATGCATCACTAACCCCATATATGTTATAGGTCAGAAGGTAAACGCATGCAAATTCACGCACGATGGACCATTGGCGAGGTGGGCTGAACACGGTTACGTTCCCGTCTCTTTGCTCTGACGGTGGTGGCGTGTCAGAAGTTAGCGCCAAACGATCGTATGCACCAGATCCTTCCGTTATTACATTTCGAGTTAGGTTTGTTCCATTTGACCTATCGTTTCTCGAGGTTCATCACATGCGAAGCGTTGAGCACCTCCGTCCTATTCGCAGATTCAAGATCTGTACTGTATACGGTTGGCAAAAACATTGGTAATGGAATAAACATGCGTAGTTTGCCAGGCTGATTTCTGTAAGGTATCAATATGATTGCGCCTCAGGGTGACGAAGAGGACGGAGCGACAGTGGTTAACTACGCAAGAAGTCGTTCAAAAACGTCACCACACCGTCACTAAAAGTGACAACGCGGGAATCTGCAACCACTGTATGCACGACCGACTGAGTAAGTTTGCTTTGTCTCTTCGTCACAATGTTCTTCGTATGTCGGAGTAAGAAAAAATTGCCATTCGATAACAAAATGAGTGTACCTTGACATTACGGAAGTCCCAAAGGACAACAGTGCCGTCGTGATGACCACGCACAAAAAAGGTGTGGTGGATGCTGCCTTTCGTGTATGATTGCTCAAATTTTGCGTTAGCATTGCGATATCCAAATGTGCAACATGGAGCTTTGTCGAAGCCACCCATCCTGCGGTCGAATATCGCCATCTGATGATCGAGATGTCGGACCTGCAAAGCCTATCAAAGTCCAATTCTACAAATTAAGGGAGCATCTCACCTCCAGCAGCGTCAAGTGTGGTATTTGGGGGTCAACATGTATCTGGTTGACATAGTTGGAGAACGGGGCTGGGCTAGGCGTGTGGGATCGGGTAAGGTCCGTAACATATAGTTTTTTCGTGTCAGAGGACACGAGGGAGTTGTCGTCGTGGCGATAAGCCATCGCAGAGACGCCAGAATCTAGAAATGCACCAATCTTGGTGACAGTCGGCTCTTCTAGAGATTGCGCATCGGCGCTCCACTTAAAAATCCGTCGGTCATGGCCACCTGTAAAAAATTCAACGGAACCAGCTGCCGCATTCATTGCGGCGAGGCACCTTACACCCTCCCCGGAAGATCTTGACATCCGAGGAGGGCTGACATGCGGCAAAGCTTTCGAATCAATTCTTCGGGGAGCTTCCGTCTAACGAAACATGAATGTCTCGTAACACGTAAATGCAACACACGCACTGTAACAGGTAGAAATGTAACCTGACTTGGCCCGCTATTGAAACCAAGAACGACAATATCACCTACGACACACGCATCTTCCACATGTTGTTGAACGCCCGGGTTAGGTAGAGAGTTCAGAGTGAGACGGAATCTGTTAATTGGAGTGAAGATGTGAATGGGCGGTGACGACATCGGAACTTACTGATCCTGACGATTGATGAACTGGGCGTCTGCCCGCATGCTTATCGCAACCAATGGTAGGTTTCCAGAAGCCGGGATCAACAACCTCCTAGCGCGCCCATACGGAGTCTTCGGCAGCGGCACTCGTTTAAGCACCGGCAGTCTAACGATTTCCTGATCTGCACTTGATTCCGACGACAGAGAACTCGTCCGTCGCGATCGCAGTGAAACAGTGCTTCCATGTCTGTCCTCCATCGATGTCGTAATGTCAGAAATGTGATTATTATTATTTCGTTTACCAGGTTGGGATGATACAGTTGCAGTACTTCGTTGAATGGTGGGCATCTGTCCTCGCAGTACACCGACTGTTCGCGTCAAAGGGGTTCTGACTTCAGTTCTCGACGACGAGGCCTCTGCAACCTCGCCAACGTCCGCAGGCTCATTGAATCTATCATCATCAGAGCTGGGAGCCACGGAAGAGCTTCGCATACTTGACCACAAATCCCCGCACAATTCGGCCATCGCTTGGTCCCGGCGCGAAGAAACCGCTCTTGACCTTGACGAACTAGCTATGTCCTCGGATGAGGAGGTTTGCTCATCGTCGGAAATGCTGTTGTGTGAAATTACTTCGCTCTTGAGTCGAGTGTGAAGTTCATGTGAACTTTCTTCCGGGTGCTCGTTTTTTGCCACCTCATTGCCTCCAGCAAGTTTGCAGGAGATGATTTCGATCTCGGGAGATTCTGCGGTATGGCTATTATATGTAAGTCATCATGGAATTCATCGAGTTGTGCAAGTGCATCCTACCTCGGGTCCGTATCACGCCGCACCGCGTCGGAAGGTCCAGATGCTGAAGTTTGCAATTGAGGCAGGGATTCATCGGGTAATGTTTGAGAAGCAGACAGCTCCGAACTTAGACTCGGTCCCGCTTCATGGCTGGCCCCGATATGAGGGTCCAAGACCCTATCAACTCTGTCACTCGGTATTTAACTGTGGCTGAAGAATATATACCAATGTATCACGATCCCGTCGTCCCTTTCGTACGAACCCAAGGTCAGCGGCGCTCCGACGTGCAGTATAATCAGTGTAGACTCACAGAACGAGCGGCAAGCCAACGACTCTTCGGCCTTGGGTGAAGAGGAGATGTTCCCTTTCGCGAATCATTGTTTCAAAGTCTTTATGACTGAAAGCGGAGACTCTAGTGCCTGGAGCATATTTTATTTCCTCCACTCCGTAGGTCGCTGTGAGTGGGAGGGGATGAGCGTACGGCACACGACCCTCTGAATTATCGCTCTCAGATTTGTGACGTTTCACGGGTCCATGTATTATTGGAGAGCTTGATCTCTTGAAAGTAGAGCCTGAAGATAAGGCCATGCGGGAGAAAGCTGAAATGTTTAGAGAGTAATTGATTCCGCTTCAGCCAAATTAAACAAGTAAACAAGTATACATAACGGCGCTTGCGCGACACCACGACAGCGATACGTTCATCCACATGCATCTACGTTGTTGTCATCCCCAATTGGCATACCCTAATATTTGGTGAGCACATCGGCTTGAATCTTCGAGTTCGGCCAGCCGACATGCTCACCGTGACAAAAAGTGTCGCAGAGTGCGTGCACGTGTCAGTCGGTGAAGGGGTGAAAATTGATTAAATTGAAAGTATCGAGCCGTGGAAAAGTATTTGCACAGCTTTACACGGTGATAGGACATTTTGATAGAGCCCTATGGGGATATGAAATCATCTATCCACTCATCCTAGTTGCAAATAATCACCGTTTCCGAACCAGGTCACTGTGCATGAGACCAGATGGAAGATCGACAACCAAATGAAGTCCGTTTAGATCGCAAGGGAAAGTCCACCGTACCCGCCATCACAGTTACTCGTCGTGGAGGGCATCGTGGAGGACATCGTGGATCCTTCAGAGGCTTTGATTCTAGTCGAGGTCGTCCGCCATATCGCACATTCAATCAAAGGAACTTTACCCCTCACTCTACCCTGTCTCCTGCGTGGGATCATTCGAATAAATTTTCCTCAGCCTCTTCTTCATCCAACACACCGGGTCGTTCGCTCGATCATGTTAAACAAGAGCCTTTGGGCCATTTAGAACAGTCGGACTTGCGTCCGCCCAAGCGAATCAAGGTTAATTCTCAGCAATTTTCCTCAAGGGTGTCTCAAGGCCCAGAGAGGCACGTCCAGAGACGAGGATTGCCCTATAGTACCAGCACTCCTTTACCTTCACAATGCCCAAAAGTCATCCTTGGTGATCATGAAGCGCAGGCTGTTTTCTCCCCTTACAAAGCAATGCACAACGATCGTTCTGTGCCCGGAAAAATGAGTCAAGGTGAATAACAAAATATCCAAATTGACAGTCATTAATACACGGGCTTTTGGTTCCTTTGTGTAACAGCCGTGCAACGTGATTTCCCTAGCGGTAGGGCGCATACTGTTCGAAATGAGCAGTGTGATAAAAATGCGAATAGCACTCAGGAGGTTGCAATGGTGACTTACCTGTACTTCGATCGTGATTAACTCCCTTACTGAACCGTAGGCAAAGGGCTGTGCTTCTGTATATGGCGAGGAGACCTCCAAAGTCAGTCCTATCGTGGGCGCAAGCAGCTCAACTCGAAGACTGCCACAGCTAGCGAAATCTTCTACGCCTGCGTCATTGGAGGTAGTTCTAGGCTCCTACTCAACACACGCAGCAATACCTCAAATAAAGGGTTCCGCCATACCAGGCAAGCAGAGAGCTTTTCCATCTCGAGTTGTATCTCCTCCAGAAGAGATCATCGACCTTACTGTTGATCCTCCGGATACACATGTCATTTTCCCCCCTCCCACACTGACACGTTTCTTCCGCTCTGGAGTTCTAAAGATAAATTCGGTATCTTCTAATGCACCCTCCCCAATGGATGTCACATCTGCGGCGGAACCGATTGTTATACCCGACAGTGATTCCGATGATATTGTTCCACTAAGGGATCTTATCAGCACAGATGGCAGCATGGTTGCGAAGTCTCTAAAAGAACCAGCTCAAGTATTCTCCGAGACGTTAGTCAACGGCCCGAAGGAGATTTCTTCCTCAGATCCTGCTTTGGTGCTCAGCACTAGGCCTGGCCCTTCTCGTCTTCTTCTCGACGCCCACGATAAGCTGCGCCGCATACTCAGCGCACACTGGAACTCGTCTCTTATAACCGTATCTATGCGCGGTTTCGTCGAGAGCCTGGGTATGCCTAACCTGGTGCTCCAGCATAACTTACGTAGGCCAACTGCCCCAACTCAAGAGTCCGTTGATGACGCGTGTATACTTCACGCGGGTGATACGTCAGTCGTCGTTCTGGCCCATGCACGTGAGGAGAAACAAATCTCGTACTTGACATTTCAAACATCCAGGGTAAGCATCTGCGGGTGTTCATTATCACCGTTTAAATCTATCTAAATTCGTAAGGGAACAAATTTTTGCGTTGTCAATCGTCCTTGGAATAGGACCAAGAAGGGGGGGGCGAGTGTTGTGTCGACAATGTTGCAACCACTTATGTTTACCAGTGGAGGTCATGATCATGCCGTTCATATTTGGAAATTTTCCCCTGATTTTATGGGCGTCTCCTCGACACTTTTGGCAATTAAGCACACATCTGTGATCCAGTCCCTTCTCCCCATTCGTGACACTAGTCACAAACTCATATCCGCTGGTGCGGACTGCAGTGTCCATTTATGGGACCTATCTCCGGAACGTGTTGTACATACATTCAAGACATCCAATTCTCCGTATCACGCACATAAGACGGAGTCACCTTTCTGCACCTTACTTGAGGTGCGCATGGCAATTCGTTGTCATATGATTTTATTTCTAACGTGACTACAGGTTGGCCATCGAGATCTGCAATTCGAGCTTCGTGATCATCGTATGGTTCCGGAGCATCCTGCTGAACGCTTTGGCTTTTTCACGACCGAGTTGCATGGTCGTTTCATCAAAGGAGATACTTGGTCTCACTTTTTCGCCTCGGGAAGCCGCAATGGTAGTGTGCGTCTCTGGGACTTGCGCAACGTTCGGGAGCAACTTGCATCTGTATGTTGGTTTCACCTTATCGTACAGGTTTCGTTCATTCAACTTCGATTCACCGAAGGTCTCGTGTTTCAGCAATGACCAGGTGGTGCAGGTGTTGAAGACGGAGTCTGACCTGTTGGCTTTTTCAAAACGCGGTGATGTGATGACATTGAATCACAAATAAAATGATGAAGTGCGGCACGCTCTCAGGCTAGCCTTCGCAGTTCCAGCGATTATTACATTAATTAGTCCCTCTAATTGTCCATCGTCATATTTTTGTATACAGAGCATGGGTATTGGAACGACAGGCTTGTAGTACCACGTGAACATATCATTCACCAACAATTTCACAAGCACCGGGCCTTCGTTTCGTTCCGACATACTCCGAACAATGTCAAATCGTTCCCAGTCACAGCGGGAAGTCGATGCAGCATATACCGTACAAGTGAGGGCCGCGACGAAGGTGTGAATGGCAGCAGTTCCGCATGCTATTCGTTGAATCATAGGCTGAAGCAAAGATATTGAACAGGGAGCAGCCCGAGCAGGAGCTTTCGGCGTTGGAGTCGTCACGTTTGCCCATTATGCGTGGCCACTCTTCCGGTGCGAGTGACGACGGATGGCTGCACACTAACTTACACCTCGTATGAAAGACGACAGACACTACCGTTCAAAGCATTCCTGGTCTCCGGATGTGAGTGTGCCAAGAATCCTCGCTTCAGGCAACTACTAGTGTACCACTGACTCCTCCTTGCAGTCACCATGGCGGGTCTGGTGATTGGGGCAGATAACGCCCTTTTAAGTCACGAGGCAGAAAGGCGACAGTCTGAACATGCTATTCGCCGTGAAGCCAGGATAGACCTTGCTCGCCGAGGACTCGTCGGCACGGAAACTGAAATTGCCAAGTGGCGAGCAGAAAGGACTCGACAGATGGAAGAACGAACGAACAATGGAAATCTTCCTGACGCCTCTGTTCAGACTGGTTGAGATCATCAATACGAGATGTAGAGGAAGCACGGATTGAAAGCACTACATAGATACGACGTGCGACAGAGACTTTCTGAAGAATATCGAACTTGACCGGTGAAGCTTTGAAGTTTAAGATGTGATGTTCTAAGAAACTTGACTCGGACGTAAAGTAAGAAAATATGAGTCCGACGATCTGCATGCGGCTGGGCGCAGAAGAATGAGGTTCCCTATTTCCTTTCAATATATCGCTAGACTTCGAGTTAAGTATTGTTTTATAGATGAAGTCGGGATACAGCAGTTTTTTACAGATATTGCGTGCTAGCGGGCGACAGTGCCTTGGATCAACCGTGGATGTCTAGAAAATGGAAGGATTTACAATCCAACCTATGTCTACATTGCTACTGCGATGGAGCGTCATTACTATGCATATTCAACTGATTACCTATCACCCTGGTTGCCCGTAGCTTCCTTGCTGACCCCAATGAGAATGATCAATCATCTGTGGAGGCTGAGGGGGCGGACCAGGGAAATAAGAATGATTGGCGGGTGGAGCATTTAGTGATAAAGGGGGAGGATGAACCTGTCCGTGACGTGGCAGATCGGGTGGGGGCGGGGGCGGCTGAGGGAGGGGCTGATATGCAGGTTGCACTGGATGATATCCCATGGGAGGCTGCGGGAGGCTAGGCCGTGCTGGGGACACATTTGAGTGCGGCTGACCCGGTGAAGTCGGAAAAGGAGCATAGGATGCTTGCGACTCCCCCTGAGGGGATGGATGCCCAGAATGAGGTTGTGCGGTGGAATGATACTGGGTTGGAAGGGGTGGTGGTGGTGGTGGGATATTTTGGTAGGTCGAACCATTTGGAAAATTAGAGGGGAGTGGGCTACGCGCATTCAGCGATTGAGGGAAGCTCGATGAAGGAGGTACGGCCACAGAAAGATGGCGAGTTCGTGGTGCATTGTTAGCCATCTGAGGTTGAGGCAGTGGTCTAGAACCTCGTGATGCTGGGATATGCTGAGAAGTAGATGCGTACTCATGGGGTGGTGATGGCGATGTGGGTGCATATGTCTGATATGTCTGAGGTGATGGTATGTACTCTTGTTGTGATGGTGATGGGAAGACTACAGATTGTGCATGAGGATCTGAATATTGGTACTGACCATGAGTGTGTAGCTGCGGCGTGCTGAATGAGTGTGAGATCCGCTGAGATGCATTGGGGGGAGGTGCCGGTGTGATGACAGATACTGGGAGAGGGGGGTGGGAAGGATGGCCAATCTGGTGAGATGGCGAGTGATTTGCGGGACCTGGAGGGTAAGATGGAGGGATCGGTAATGGAGGTCTTTCCGGCAGTGAGAAACCAGATGGCTCTGACGAGTGCGATGTCATCGTTCCAAAAGAAGACGAGGCTGGTGATGGCATCGAGATGAATCCCGAAGAAGAAGTTGGCAAGCTATATCGCGGTCCAGTGTGTCCTTGTCGAGATGGGGTAGGGGGAGGATGGTTGACAGTCGAACCGCTGTCATAAGGAGGGTAGTATGGAGCAGAACCAGAAGGTATAATAGATGGCGAGGTAGAAGTTGCTCTCCCCCCATCGTGTGATATCGTCAATGTTCCGTTATCAAGTGTATGCTGATTATATGAGTGTGGATGTGAAGGTAATGAACCAAAGCCCGCAGATGTTGAGGGACGTATCGTTTGTGTGGGCTAAGTCACCAGTCATGACGAGACCTACACCACAGAGAAGGGAAACACACCGGACAGCTCTCCCGTCTTCTGGGATCCATAACACCTAGCTCCCCAAAATCATTGGCAAGCTGATCCGCAGGTGATGGCGATAGGCGGTTCCTTTGCTCATATGCGGGTGCATAGAGCTCTGCTCTCGAGTGTGATGAACGCATAGTAGACGGCAGATGGCTATCAAGAAGGCTGCCAGAGACAGAAAGTCTGGAAGGAGTTGAATGTGCACTGGACCCGTTCAATGAGGAGGTACTGCCACTGGCTGGCACGAAATTTCCTGGACCACCGTAATTGCTATTACCAGCAGCCGGTTTCGGCGTAATTCTTTTGACTGGAGGAGGTTCCTACATACAATCCCATAAGATGATCAAGACAAGTGGGCCAGGAAATTGACAACGTACATTTGACCAGAAAGTCAGTTCAATGTACACCTCGCCCGCATATTTGTCCTTGTTCATGAGTGTGAACCACTCTACCAAAAGATTGATTAAATCAGATTGAAGACAGGTGCAAGTCCCAGCTTACCATCCGTTTCTCCCTTTGTGAGAACCTCTGTCAAGTCGACCACTGTCTCTCCGATCAAGTCTGGTTCCCGGGGATCATCTGCATAACACTGAAGCTTCATGGAATTCCCGCCCTTGATCTTCTTGGGTCGACCCTTCTTTGGCGGAGGGCGCGGCGGCGTGTCCGTTGATTGCGAATTTATTGCCAGCTCATCGTCAGTAGCCTCGTATACAGTAAAGCGGAATTCTTCGTCCCATTCCGGATGTTGACCACCCCGCTTGATCGCCTTTGTACGACGTTTCTCTTCGTTCAAGAACGCGCAGCAGTATGGTGCTTGCTTTCCTATATGCCTCTTATTGGGCAGATTTTTCTGCTCGCCATGTCAAAGAGATATATAATAGAAGGTTGAACTCGATGCGCACCGCTTTCAAGACAACAACAATTAGTGTTCCGATCTCGCGCGACGCTAACGACATATAATCAATATGAAGAAAAGAAGAAAGAAATGTTTAAGGTTGAGGGAAGAATGAATCGTAGAAATGTCTACCAGTTGAACATGAAGCGGTCCAGTTGATCGCAGTACTGACTCAAGAATATATACAGCAATGGTCGAACATGGTTGGCTGTCCCATTTAGATCACACACACTCAGGTTAGTTCACTTTGCCGCAGCACAGTGCGCAAGTTCAACGTTCATTTCCAGACAGTGCTAGTGGACGTGGTATTGCATCATAATAGACAAGCTTATCAATATCTAGGTGACTTGACACGATACAGCATCATGCGTCACTGTCCAGGCGTGTACGGCTTATTGTCCTTGAAGATCAGGTGGGGCTTTCTCTGCGCGAGGTCCAGAAGCATCTCAGAGAAATAACTATTAGCCCATGCGAACCAAGGGCGTGTATAATCTGATATGTTGTAAATATTGATCGACTCGTGGATCAAACCAAGGCCGCCAGTGTTCTATTATGTGCGTAGTCAGCATGGCAGAACCAATATCTTTCGGCACCCACATTAACAATGGTGTACAACGAGGACAGGATTTCCCCATCATCATTGGTTCCAAAGATGTTGCTAACCAGAGACATGGGCCTATATAGAAACGATCAGGCCACTAAATCTCAAGCCACAATCTGCCAATCGTTACCAAGGGTTCCAGACATCTATGTGAGGCCCACTGCCTTCTGTCAGAAATAGACATTCATTCTTCCTTGACTACACTCACCCAATACCATTGAAGCTTCTGCCCTTGGCATAGTAAGGGTTTCCGCGGGACATGAGCATCTTCTTGGTCTTCACGTAATCAGGGTGATCCATGTCGAGGAAGCCAAGGTAGGGAAGTGACAAGAGAGACTATTCAAGGTTATAGCTTGCTTCAAGACAATGTATTTTATTTGACGCCTACCGGAACGTTTGCATCGTCCATCACATAGCGCGAACCCAATCCTCAAAGAGTCTTTCATAAGTGATGCAAAGATAGCTCTCAAAAACATACCATTAGTCTCGTATGCAAAGATGCCATCAACAACCTGCGATAAACATATCAGCAAAATGCAGAACTTCTCCCACACTCGACGTACTGTGTGTTCCCAAACAGCCTGTTCTATCGTTTTGCTCCAGTGCTTTGCCTGACTGCTAACATTGGGGGCCACACCAGCGTGGTCCAAAATGGTAGCCAGATTGGTTAGCTGAACGCTCAGCATGGCATTGGCTGGCGTAAGGAAAGCTAGAAGCGAGCCATATGATCAGAGGAACCAGGCCGCCTCCATGTAAGCTCACCGAATGTGCTCAAGTCATCAGAGGGCCTGTGGTGTGTCCCGACCATACCCGTATATCCTTTAGGTTCACCATTTCCGCCATTGTTTACTGCACCAGCAAGGGAGCCTGCAAGACCTGTCCAGTTGTAGTAAGAGATGAAGTTCCAATCAGCACCAAAGGAAGCTTGAGACTGCTCATTAATGACACGGAAGATCTGATCAATTGCGGCGAGCCCTGCACCAAGAATGAAACCTCAGCACAGCAAGACTGAATAAAAGACAAACATTCTGCATTCATCATGGATGCATCCTTTGTTGCTTCATAGTAAGAGGAGGAAAGCTTGATGAAGCCACACAGCGAGTCGATTTCATACTGGAGATATCATACAGGTCAGTGCTCAAAAGACTACGATTGTCAAGATGTAAACCTTGCACTCAAATACTGTTTGATTGTCCACAGGGCTGTGCAAAGAGCATCACAGGACACGAACCACCACGATGAGCAAAAAACTGACGGATTAACGAGGACACCAAGAGCCCAATCATTGACAGAGGGTCCCAAACCGCTTTCAGGGGGTGGTTGAAAGGCACCACAGTAAGGATACTGTGAAACATAGCGGGCTTCGTTATTAATTACAGCCTTAACCAGGTTGGCAAGGTCGGCGTCAACAGAGAGAAGGGTGTGGTAATGGGAGAACTGGAAGAAAATACTGAATACATTCGAATTGCAAATTTTGCAGAGCGAGTTACCTGGTTGCCAGTATCACGCAGCCATTGCGCACTTCAAGCGGCAATGAAACGTCAATATGGAGAATCCAAGAAAGGGAGCAACGTACGTGATATCCTGGACGCAACCATCAATATGTTATTCACATTGGAGGCAAGCAACTCACCCCAGTAATGATAAATGCCAAGTTCTCCCTCTTCGGCAGTTAGAACGCGTCGAAAACAGGCACCATCACTCATACCTCATTGTAGTATTTCACAGTAGTATCTGCCAGAGTTTTATGAGTGTCCATTGTTGCAGCAACTAGATACGTACCGAGAGTATTTGGGAAAGTATTCTCAAAGAGACGCGCGATGTCGGGGTCTTTCAGACGCGACTTCATGTCTAGAATAACTTTCTGCAGATAACTCC